TTTTTTTGTTTTACAGCAAATTTAAAGAACCGACAATGTGTTCTACATTGAAAGGAAAGAAGGTTAAAATTAAATTTTAAAATCCATTGGTTCTCAAACTGTTTTTATCCATGACACGCTGCTAATTTTAAAAGAAGTCAATTTTGCAATATTTTTCTTCAAAACTTATAAATTCAATTTTTTTTGTTATTTAATAATTTGAGACTTATTAGCTTCCGAGCATAGTTTAAGGCATTTTAAAATTTTCTCATTTCTTGTCATCAATCAAGATTGTTAACAGGCGTTTAAATCATGTGAATATTTATAAACAGAAGGAGACATTAACAAAGAAAGCGTACGAAAGTATCGTGAAACTTAATTGAATTTACTTATTATATTTATAAACCTCATAAAAAATTTATTTCTAATGTGTCGGAGCAGAACGAAATCTGGGGTTTAAGGTCATTTATAGGCAAATTTGCCAGTTCGAGACTTAAGCTTCTGTGTTGCGAGTGGTTAAGGCAAAAGATCGAATATCCGTAAACCTCTTTTGTAAAGACGTAAGTTCGATTCTCAGCAGAGAACGATCCACTTTGGGCCAGAAATGGAAATTTTTTCCAAAAATTATTTCTACAGCTTATATGTTAGTCCTTATTCTGCCCTACATTTACATTCTTAAAACTTTGCCCCAGTCGACAGCATGTCCGAGATAAGACACTTCAAAGTTGGTCAGACGACCATTTTCATGTTACATTGAAAATGCTCTCACCAGATACTGGATAAATGAATCCTTCAAACTTTTCTTGTTAATAGCTTTAAGTAGTTCCTTTATTTTAAGATATAAACAATTGCAAATAACTTTGGAATATTTTGTGAAAAACTTGATTTTTCTCAAAAACCACGTGTTTGTCATACTTTCGTTTGTCTAGGTCTTCACAAGCACAACTAAAGTTACTAATATCTTTTTTATATTAAAGATTACACCAAAAACTATAACTTTTGAATACATGTCATATAATTTTAACAAATTTTGGTAGTGAAAAAAGTTTTTTTATAAAAAAACACCAATTTTTTGACAAAAATCGCTGTAGTGCTTCAGGGATACCCATGGTAGTGGAATTTTATTTCACATTTAGAAAGCTCTCTGGATATGCTATCATTAATGCAATAAAATGAACAAATGTTTTCTTGGCAAACAGCACTTTTTTGACTCTGAAAGTCGTATGTCGAGCAAGTTCAAAAAAGAAAAATAATCATAAAAATTTCAGTTTTAAATAAAATTTAATATTTTTAAATTAGATTGATAGATCTTTTCAAAACGCGTCTTTTGAAAATAAATTTGTCATAGTTTTGTCAAGTATCATGATCATTTTTTTAAAAAAAATAGTTTTTTCCAAAAAAAAAAAAATTAAAAAATAAAGTATTCGACTTTAGAATTTCATAAAATGCATTGTTTTTATCATTTTTTTTGTAAGCGTGAAGTACGGCCGAGACCCAAATCGACACAGTTTAAAAGTTATACCTAATTTATGTCATAATTATGTCGGCTACAAAAACACTTAGTTTGAACTTTACACTTATTTGAACCACATTTTCTCGTAAATGTTAAAATATTATTAAAAAATAATTAATCCTGAATTATGTCGCTATTTTGTCAAGTGTTTTAAGATAAAGAATTTTTTTTTGGTTTCCACAGTGAAGAGTATGAACAAAATTCAGATGGGGTAGTCGAAATTTTAGATTTCAATTTTTTTAAGCTATGCATTACAAAAAGTAATATTGGTTTTGTGATTTATGTCAGAATTATGTCAATTCAAATAAAACATCAAAAAAACTTTTTTGACCAAAGTACACCAAAGAAAATCAATTTTCAATTTTGGACTAGGGGCGACCCTAGTCAAAATCAATTTTGTCACTTTTTTCTTCGAGGGTTTATACAAATGGATTGAAACTTTGCATAAATATTCTAGAGCTTGAAACAAATACAAATAAAACATCAAAAAAACTTTTTTGAGCAAAGAACCAAGTAGGAAATACATTTTCAATTTTGGACTAGGGGCGACCCTAGTCAAAATCAATTTTGTCACTTTTTTCTTCGAGGGTTTATACAAATGGATTGAAACTTTGCATAAATATTCTAGAGCTTGAAACAAATACAAATAAAACATCAAAAAAACTTTTTTGAGCAAAGAACCAAGTAGGAAATACATTTTCAATTTTGGACTAGGGGCGACCCTAGTCAAAATCAATTTTGTCACTTTTTTCTTCGAGGGTTTATACAAATGGATTGAAACTTTGCATAAATATTCTAGAGCTTGAAACAAATACAAATAAAACATCAAAGAAACTTTTTTGAGCAAAGAACCAAGTAGGAAATACATTTTTAATTTTGGACTAGGGGCGACCCTAGTCAAAATCATTTTTCTCACTTTTTTCTTCGAGGGTTTATCCAAATGGATTAAAACTTTGCATAAATATTCTAGTGCTTAAAATAAATACAAATAAAACATCAAAAAAATTTTGTTGAGCAAAGAACCAAGTAGGAAATATATTTTTAAATTTTCTCAATTTTTTGTTCAATTTTGTCACTTTTTTCTTCGAGGGTTTATCCAAATGGATTGAAACTTTGCATAAATATTCTAGTGCTTAAAATAAATACAAATAAAACAACCTTAAAATTTTTTTGAGCAAAGAACCAAGTAGGAAATACATTTTCAATTTTGGACTAGGGGCGACCCTAGTCAAAATCAATTTTGTCACTTTTTTCTTCGAGGGTTTATACAAATGGATTGAAACTTTGCATAAATATTCTAGAGCTTAAAATAAATACAAATAAAACAACCTTAAAATTTTTTTGAGCAAAGAACCAAGTAGGAAATACATTTTCAATTTTGGACTAGGGGCGACCCTAGTCAAAATTAATTTTGTCATTTTTTTCTTCGAGGGTTTATACAAATGGATTGAAACTTTGCATAAATATTCTAGTGCTTAAAATAAATACAAATAAAACAACCTTAAAATTTTTTTGAGCAAAGAACCAAGTAGGAAATACATTTTCAATTTTGGACTAGGGGCGACCCTAGTCAAAATTAATTTTGTCACTTTTTACTTCGAGGGTTTATCCAAATGGATTGAAACTTTGCATAAATATTCTAGTGCTTAAAATAAATACAAATAAAACAACCTTAAAATTTTTTTGAGCAAAGAACCAAGTAGGAAATACATTTTCAATTTTGGACTAGGGGCGACCCTAGTCAAAATTAATTTTGTCATTTTTTTCTTCGAGGGTTTATACAAATGGATTGAAACTTTGCAAAAATATTCTAGTGCTTAAAACAAATACAAATAAAACATCCTAAAATTGTTTTGAGCAAAGAACCAAGTAGGAAATACATTTTCAATTTTGGACTAGGGGCGACCCTAGTCAAAATTAATTTTGTCATTTTTTTCTTCGAGGGTTTATACAAATGGATTGAAACTTTGCAAAAATATTCTAGTGCTAAAAACAAATACAAATAAAACATCCTAAAATTGTTTTGAGCAAAGAACCAAGTAGGAAATACATTTTCAATTTTGGACTAGGGGCGACCCTAGTCAAAATCAATTTTCTCACTTTTTACTTCGAGGGTTTATCCAAATGGATTGAAACTTTGCATAAATATTCTAGTGCTTAAAATAAATACAAATAAAACATCAAAAAAATTTTGTTGAGCAAAGAACCAAGTAGGAAATATATTTTTAAATTTTCTCAATTTTTTGTTCAATTTTGTCACTTTTTTCTTCGAGGGTTTATCCAAAATGGAGTGCTAAAATAAATACAAATAAAACATCCTAAAATTTTTTTGAGCAAAGAACCAAGTAGGAAATACATTTTCAATTTTGGACTAGGGGCGACCCTAGTCAAAATCAATTTTGTCACTTTTTTCTTCGAGGGTTAATCCAAATTGATTGAACCTTTGCATAAATATTCTAGTGCTTAAAACAAATACAAATAAAACATCAAAAAAATTTTTTTGAGCAAAGAACCAAGTAGGAAATACATTTTTAATTTTGGACTAGGGGCGACCCTAGTCAAAATCATTTTTCTCACTTTTTTCTTCGAGGGTTTATACAAATGGATTGAAACTTTGCAAAAATATTTTAGTGCTTAAAACAAATACAAATAAAACATCCTAAAATTGTTTTGAGCAAAGAACCAAGTAGGAAATACATTTTCAATTTTGGACTAGGGGCGACCCTAGTCAAAATCAATTTTGTCACTGTTTTCTTCGAGGGTTAATACAAATGGATTTACTTTAATTACTACCAGAGCTCAAGATCGATGAAATTTTGTATGCGATTCGAGTTGACTCGTAGTTGATTCCACAATACAAAATCGATGAAAATCTCGAGTCGGCTTCGAGCTCTGATTTCTTTTGTTTTTTTATTGCTGGACCTCACCCCCACTGGACGTCATAAGTGATAGGCCCGTTACCAAAATTTAAAATTTAATTTTTGAAAGCATTCCATCACATGATATATATTTCAATGCTAACTGTAGAGGAATTTTGAATGCACTTTACTTGTTGATTCTTAAAGTTCATCTATTGATCAACAGATGGCGCAGCATTTCTGAACTACGAGTATGCATTAAAATTCTAATGAAATAATTACAAGATATATTCAGAATGATTCTTCATTACTCAAATTAGAGTGAATTTTAAATTAAAATATGAATTTTATAAAATATTAAAATTATCAAAAATCTTCAAAGAATGTTAAAAAAATTGAATTTTTAAAATCATCTGCAAGATTAGAATAAAGAGGATGTTCAGAAAAAGTTAGAAGTCAGAAAGAGATGGAAGATGAGTGAGTCTAGAAAATTCATTCATATTTACCCATTGAGTAATTCTGTTTCATTTTATACAATTAAAGTACACAATAGCATGTGTTCATCAACTAATTAAAAATAACAACCAAGTTAATATAAAAATATTTATAAAAGTTAAAATATTTCAATAATTTTATCTTTTCACCGACGCAGAATCTCATCCAAAATTATTTCCTAGTGGGATTGTTTCGTTTCGCAGATATTTTAGTAGCAGCACATATTAATTAAGAAAATTTAGTATAAGTACCAAAAGTGTGTAGCCTTTGGGCTCCCAAGTGAACAATCGGGCATGTGATGAATGAAATTAATCAAGTAAATTGTGGAAAATTGGAAAATTGCTTGTGAAAAATTTTGAAGAAAAAAAAAGTTTTTTTTATTGAAGAAGGAAAAAAAATTTTCTCAATGAAAAAAGTTAAATAAAGGAAGAGAAAAATTCATTGGATTGACATAACATTCAATAGTTGAAGGAATTAGGATAAAGGTAAAAACGCAGTTGACATTAAACATTGTAAAAAAAGTCCACCGGAAGTCACCTGAGAGAAAAGATTCCCAAAAAAAAAAATTTTGTTTTAATTGCGCGTCTGAATTTTTCTGTGCAAAAAGGAAAATTTTTATCTTTAAAAAATCTTAAAAATCAGATGTTTTACATCTTGATAAATTTTTTTCCATCCATGCATAGCCAACATCATCGACTATTTTGCCTTAATTTTAAATTTCATGATCAGATCACGGCGAAAAAAAAAACATCAGAAAAACGATGAATGAAAAAAAAGTATTTTTTAGTGACACATGAATGGATGGGATATGAAAATAATGTTACATATATCTATGCTGTTGTGTGTGGGATGAAGTAAATGAGTGAGTGAGGGCGAATAAAGAAATTTTAAAAAATATGAAAACCGTGTCAATCAAGTAAAATGAGAAGCAATTAAAAGAAGTGACTAAGTTGAGGGAGGTCTGTAGGATGTAAAGAATGCAACAAAGTGTCTGTCTCATACGTAGACATCCTTAACTTTGATTAACATTTGATATCGACTGCTCAAGGTCAACCAAAGATGTTCCTATCCATAAATATTCTCCAGGCTCCACCCTAGCTACCCTAATGTCTTACCCAAAAAGTCATATTTTTATATTTTATCAAAAATCTCATCAATATTGTAAGATCTAAGAATTTGCACAAGAAAATTGCAATTGATCTTGCCATCAAACAAAGCATCCAGTTGCTGGAATGAACCATTTCCAACAACACCTTTTCAATACCAAAAGTCAGACGTAAAAGAATTTATTTTCTAGAATTTTGAAAAAACAGAATTAAATAACTAGAAATGCAGAGCACACGCATTAAAAATCATGTGTGGGTGGATTAAACGTGTTTCTGTATCAAATCAATCTTGTCAGTCTGAAAAGAAATTTTGTAAATCGTAATAGACTCAAAAGCTTCTGTTATTGGATGTGAAAAAATTTATTGGTGGAACTTGAGGGCTCGTCTTATAGATCTGTTAAATGGCTAAGTTTATAGCTTATGCAACGCAACCCTTACATTTTGGCTTTGCTACTCCAAAGAATCCTTTATTCATTACTACTGTTTATCATATGCTTAGCTAAGTGCTCTTGAATTATCACTGAGCTTGCAAACAGTAGAAATTTATTCAAATAGTTCAAATAGTTCCTCAAATTCATACCATACATTTCGCAGAGTCTGGACCAAAATGTGCCATTTAGAAATCTCACCAAAAACTTTATGTCACGCCAAAACCTAAAACAACACAAACTCTAATTAAAAACCTTAAAAAAATATTTCCAAATTAATTCCACAAATTTTAATAAGCACGGTAAAAATCTTAAGAATTCATTAAATTTTTCGAGAATAAAAGTAAGCATGTACAATTTCTAAAAAAGTTCAAGTTCATAAGTCTCATAACATGTAATTTTCATTGGCCTACGTGCTCAAAAGCCATTGCTTCACATTTGCTGTTTTGTTCATCGAAAATAGACGAAATTGAAATTATTTGGTCCAATTGCAGTCAAGAACTCAGGCTTAATATTGAGATTATATTAATAAAGTTCTCGGAATTTGTAGTGTCATAACAACTATAACTTTGTGGTATTGATTATTGGTGTCTAATTTGAGAATAATGTTGACCATGAAATTATTAGTTCAAATTTCATCCAAGAATTTTTATAACGCATGCAGCAACAACTTAACTCCCAATAAGTACTGAAAAAAATAACAATCGAGTTGCAGTTTTGAAAATGTGTCATTCATTCACACCAAATTGTACTGTCTGCGATTCAATTTAAGCGAGCGAGTCATTTTAAGGTTGGATGACCATCGTGTTTTTGGAATTGTTTGGGACAGTAAATTAAGGTTTGGATTGGAAATTTCTGTGTACAATTTGATTTTTGAACCAATCCATACATTTGATTTGAATTGATAAGATTCAGATGAAAGCTACTCGAAAACCGAAGAATCATCCAACTCTGACATATCTCTAGACAAACTCGATCAAACTGGCTACGCTCCTGACTTTGCCTACGCAACTCTTTACTGACCATTCTGGCTATAACTTGATGAGATCATTTTTTAAAGTCATTGATTCAATAATGATCAACTTTTTATAGATTAAACAAAATCCAACTAGCTTTCCTTATTCTAATGAACATTCGACGCAATATCTCTTAAATCTATGTCCATCCAATAATCAAATTAACAGATGGACATCCCAATTTACTCCACAGTTCTCTTTCAAGTGGATCATTCACATTATGCGATGATAATTTTGTTTAATTAAGAAAAAAAAAATTCATTCACACAAAAAAAGAAGAAAAAAAATTGAGAATGAAATAAAATTAAAGAAGACACAGAAGAAAAAAAGATTATTGCGGACGTACGATGAAGATGTTCATTAATTATATTAGCCAATATGATGGTGGTCAGTCAATGATGATGATGGATTATTTTCTGTTTTATGAATTTATGAGGAATTCATTCAACATTTTATGATTCTAATGGATTTGGAACTTTTTTTGAAGTTGAAAAAAAAAATTCAGGGCGGATATCCAATTTGGTTCTCATCTTAGAAATTCATGAGAAAAAAAATATTGAGAGGATGCTGTGATTACTCGCACGCATGTAGGCAGTCAATTTTTTTTCCAATTTGCGTCTGTTGTGGCTGTTCATTGTCAAGGATCGTCTATAAAAGTTTTGCTGTGCAATCGAAATTACTTCTTGCCATTTACTGCTGCCTTTCATTCTTGAATGAATTTTTCTTTGCTTGCAATTTTTTGTTCTTAATTTTTTTAAAACCTTTTTTTTTGTTCTTTGCGAGTTTGCGCTGTAAATGACAAAATTGATCTATAAATTTTCAAGAGACTTTAACTTTTTCTGTGCAATTTTTCAAAAGCTCGATAGCTCAACAGTCGAGATTATTTCAATAAAATGATTTTCAAGTCGTAATAGCTTGTAATTTATGCGATTCACGCGTAAAATTTTGTGTTTGACGAAACGCAATTTAAGCATCCCACATTCATCTCAATTTCATGCCAATAAGGAGTGGAAAGACAAAAAAAGGAAGAAGTATCGAAAAATGAGATTTTTTTGAGCATCAAGTTGATGAGAGCAATCCAGTTTCCACTCGTGGAGCTTATGCGCTTTGGAAAGCTTTTTCTGTTGAGGAATAATTTCCATTATTTTTAAGATGGATTTTTTGATGCCTTTTTGAAATTTTTGCAATTTTATAAATATTTAATCAACAAAAAAAAGTTTTAAATTTTTTTATTTCTCAAAAAAGCTCACCAGGCAAAAAAAGCTCACATTTCGAATTTTCATTCATAGAAATAAAATTCATTCATCCACCATCTTTATTTTCACTTCCCATCCCTCATCAACATTTCCCATTCATGAATTTTCCTCGGTCGCTCTCACTCACATTCATATGGCTCTATCATATCAGCACAACAAGTTTCTCTCTCATTCTCAATTATTTTTCGCCGTTCCCTATTTTTCTCATTTACAACAGAAAATTTTATTGAATGAAAAAATAACTGAAAGCTTTTCATTAATGAAAATATTTTTTTGCTCCCTTCCGTCCTCCACATCGGAAAATTATAAAATAATATAATAAGGCATAATGTTCATCTGTGACATGTTAATATGCGCGTGGCTCATTTCCACATCTTATGCTGTGTGACTTTTTGTATCTTTTTTTAAAAAAATTGTTGCCACTTCTTGTATATTTAATGATAAATCGGGGTCGATCTCAAATGACGTTTTTTTGGAGCAGTTGAGATAGACTTTATGCTTCATATCATAAGTTTAGGAAGGTCTTGATCCATATAGTAACATAAGGTGTTAATAAATTCATTTATCAATATATCTCACTTATGGACAGTTCCTCAACATTACAAAAGAGAAAGCCTTACTCTCTTACTTATCAATGGAGGTGGTTAAGTGTGTATATACGTGTACTCATGTAAATATAGGTCTGTACATAATATGCACGAAAACGCTATATTTATTTCCTAAGGAATGTGTAGGTGGCTGATTGTGCCTACTTGCAATGAAAAAAAAAACATGAAACGTGGCTGATGCTCCTTTGACACGAACAATAATGAAAGCTTTTTGTTGCTGTTAATTCTAATTTTAAGTCTCTCATAAATTAAACGGTTCATCTGAACTTCCAATTTCTTCAATTTTAGTTCTTTTTCTTGACTCTCGATGTGGGATAAATTCTTTTTGTGGCTGTGTGGATGGACAGCATTGATGGAAAATAATGTTTTTGTCAATTTGTTATGTAGTAAATAAGATGGGGATCGCTTTAGTTCTTGTTATGATTTTATTGAAGTATTTACATAAGGTAAAGAGGAACTAGATATGCGGCAGATGGACAAGATTGCAGATTTTATATCATGAAGTCCACATGTTCCAATGATGAGGATTTGTTGTGTTTTCATTGCTATATAAAGGATTGAGGGGTTCATTTGCTGCTTACTGCACCTCACGATAGTCCAACTTCTTCCCGAGTAGCAAAGCAAGGTTTTCAAACTAAGAGATGCCCTGAAAAGTCTAGCACGGCTGTTTTTAAGCCAGTATCACTAATATTCTATGATGTATATTACATAAAAGCTAAATCTTTTCTCAAGAGTATATCCTCAACCCTAATTTCAATTCTATCTAATATTCTGACTAAATTTACATGAATGAATTAAGAACATTATGTAATCTATGTTCCAAAAATAGTTTTGCATGTTAACGGTATGAATGACTCCATTCTTGATTTTCCAAAGCGATACTGATAAATTGCCATATTGTGTGTATTCATGCCTTGTTTAACTAAAATTATTCTCGATGTATAACGAAATCCCCAAAGAAATTATAATATTGCATGTGAAATATAGCAAGAATGAACAATAAGTGAATTATATCATCCATTGACTATTCCAAGCCCATAAAATCCCACGATACCCGTCAGAAAGCCGCCATGTGGATAGCTTTTATAGATTTCTATAGTTCAGGTATGAATGGAAGAAAAAAAGGCAAAAGAAAAATAAGAAAAACCTAAAAATATTCTCGACATTTATATTCTGAAAATAATTTGAATCCACCCACATGTTTACTAAATATTCAGCATAAAAAAATACGAAATAGTTTTTTTTTCTCCTCGTGTAGTTTCCAATTTTTTTCTTCATTTTCATTCTTAATTTTATTTTGACGATTTTCATTGAGCACGAAAGAAAAGGGAGAAAGAAAATGATTTTTATTTTGAAGGCTACGACGCTTTTCAAGTACTTGCGTTTTTCCTTCTCTTTCTGTCCCATTCGTTTTGTTTCTTTTCATTTTTTTTTTCATTCATGAAAATTGCCTACAATAAATAGAGAAAAAAATAATTTATATTAGAATTTCTGCTTCTCTTTCTTGATTTGACATTGTGCGGCTGATTGCATGTTGAAGGGGTTGTTTGGATATTACGGACTAGTGTGTGATTGTGAGAGGTTTGACAATTGGTACGATTTATAATAAAATAAGAGTTAGGCTCGGAAAGTAGGTAGTATACCGCTAAAGTCCACCCACACATAATGTAGCGTAGGATAAAGGGATGATTAGGGGGGGGGGGGGGGTAGGAGGTAGAAATTCACTTTTTGGATAGACTCGAAATTGAAAAGACATGAAGATTTAAAAAATCCATATTATAACTAGACGTCACCAACAAACTAGACCCTCTCAAAAAGAGGTATTGAAATTGATTTTGCTATTTTTATGAATTCAAAAAAAAACATAATATCGAGTATTTATAAAGAAAGAAGCTTATTAGAAGCTTAATTAAAGTTGATGCTTTTAATTGTTGAAAGAACTCATTTTGGATGAAGCTCCTATCTCGAACTAGCACAATTTTAATTTTTTGACAGGTGGTGGGGGGTCTAAAGAGTGCCTATTTCGCGCTTCGTTCTCATGATCAAATAAAAAAACATTTAATTTAAAGAAAATTCCTAAAATACAAAACAAATATTAATCATAGAATTTATTGACACAAACCTTTTTTATCAATTAGCATATCAATAGCTTATCACTAATTCTCTTTAATCAGTCAATCTGCGGACAAGCCTCTCAACACTCACTTCATAAAATTTTTATCAGTTTCAGATAAGTCTATGTTTTAATAAATGATTAATATCAATGAATAAAAAGAGGAGGGGGAGGGGGGTACATAAAAAAAGGGCAAAAGAGAGTGAAAGAGCAATAAGCATTCATAAACGACACCAACACATTAATTCTTATTTTCTTTTCAAAACAGAAGGCAGCAAAAAAATTTATTGAATGAAAAATCTTTTATTCTTCTTCTTCCTGATTGTGCCAAAAAAATATTATGAATAGAATTGAAAGAGAAAAAAAAAACTTTATATATTTTTTATATGTTTGTGACTGTGTGTGCATGAGAATAGATAGGATAGCAAATAAGAGAGTATCGAATGAAATGAGAGTCTGAGAGTGAGGAAGAAGAGAGCTTGGAAAGATTTTCTGTGGAAATTATCGCCTTTTTCCAAAAAGGAAAGGAAAGTTTTTTTGTGTATGAAGAAAAAGTGATAATCGACAAAAGACAAAATGATAAGGCAAAAAGGTAAATTTTTAGTGGATTTAAAAGTTGAAAAATAAAATAAATTATCAATAATCCGCATCATAAGTCGATGATGTTGCAGTTTATGTCGAAAACATAGTCAAAATGTCTTAAAAAAGTGCTTAAAATGTGATTCGAAAAAAAATTTGAAATTTTTTTTTTCATAAAGGAGAAAAAAAGAGAAGAGAAAAAAAATTCTCAATGAAAAGTTCAGGTTTGGAAAATTTTTGGGTGAATTGTGAATGAAAAAAAAAACAGCAACCATAAATGGAGAATGGATATAGGGAGTGTGTGCACGAGAGTGAGATAGCACGACGAATTTGGATGTGATGGAATGGAAAAATAGGCCAAAAGCGAAAAGAAAAATGTTTCAAAAACTCCCTGAATCATCCCCATTTTTGAGTGGATGTATTTGTGTGACTTTATGTGCGTTTTGCTTTTGGGGTTTGTTAAAAAATTATTTCTGGAATTATTTGGGGACATCCTTTCAGTCTGGGGTTCTTTTCTGTATTTATAATAAAACTCAAGGCTCAAAAATTTAATTTTTGGGACTTCTAAAGCAATTTGACCACAATTTCAACGATTCAAGAATAAAATGGTGCTCAAATAGTCAAAAATCCCATTCCCACTTGTAAAAAGACATCATTTACAGTCAACCCCATGCAATTTTTTTTTCAACGACACGAAACTGAATTTTCATTGATGAAAATGTAGAGCAATCCTGGTGAATGAACTTTCTCCATTTTTTTTTCTCTTCCTCTACTCCCCTTTCTTCCATGAAGCTTTTATGTACACATATATACACATCGCACATAATATAATATCAGGGAATATCTATCCTTTCATTCAAGCATGCCTGCGAATTTTCCTGAATGAATATCCATTCAGTTCATTCTTAATTAAGCATCAAGCAGTGACAGAAGTGAAATTCATTGATAAATAAAAATTTTTTTTATTCGTGTCTTTACAGTACAATTTAAAAGGACTGTTACACATCTATTGCAGCTAGTAGTGAAGCACTGAAAGTGTATTATTATAATTATTTAAGCAAAAAATATTAAAAAAGTGCTCGAAATTGCAAAACAAGAAATTAAAAAAATAAAAATTCTTGCCAATCGATTTTTTTAAAAACCAAAAAAAAATTTCGTCGAATGTGAAACAAACAAAAATTTAAGGCCAAATACTTAATATAATAATCATAAGGATAAGGAGCACTATCGACGATATTCGTACACACACATAAATAAAGTGGAGGAAGTAATCAGAAGAATAAGAGAGATACAAGGAGTACCATTGATGTCAGCCTGGATGTCTTTAACCCATTTGTATAAAAATGGTGAATTTTGTGTCATCAAAGCATCACATTAAGCTTAGATACGTTCCAAAAAAATCATGTCCGAACTATACGAAGAGTAAGTTCAATGTTTATGCTGGATTTTATTTTTTCATTCACCTTATTCCTCCCGATGTACGTCATATCTAACCTAATTTTTACCAAACACCCCCCTCGTGTTATGTACTGCACATAACAGTGTAGCATCGCATACATTAGTAGTGTCTGACATCATCACTGACCTATTTTTAAAAAAATTTATCCCTTTCTTCTTTTTCTTTTTCTTTTTTTTTTGTCAATAATTAGTGATTCATTAGTAAAAGTTCGTGCACAGGTGATGACTCGTGACGAAAGTACGGAGGGCTGGTTACCGTTACAAGGCGGTGGCCTAGCAAATGTATCCATACGAAAACGCGCTCGCATGCCGGATGTTGGAGGACATGAGTATATCATTTATGGTCAACGGATATCCGATCAAACAGTAAGTGTCTTTATCATTTATCACGTTCTCAATTTCAATAATGCAATTACAAATTTTTTTTTATAAAATGTCACTTACTTGTTCCTGTGCTTTTTTCAGGTCATACTCAGTTGCGTCATAAATCGCGATCTCCAATATTATAAAGTAATGCCAACATTTCATCATTGGCGTGCGGGAAAGCAACGGAACGGTCTCACATTTCAAACAGCAGCTGATGCACGGGCTTTCGATAAAGGAATCATCAAAGCATACGACGATCTTATAGACGGTAAGAATTGAATGATTCCTGGTTACATTTTTGACATGAGTTTTTTCTCATACATTGTATTATGTTTATGGTGAAATGCCAATGTCGAAATTGGACTAATTAATTTAATTTACATGCTAATTAAGTAGCTATTCAGTTGAATTCTATACCTTTAAAATTTCACAATTTTTGATCAATATTTTATATGGTTTTTAATGTTTTGATGAAATTCTTAGGAATTAAAGAGCTGTTTGCCTATACTTTCTAGGTTTGATCTTATAAGATAAAGTCAAAGTTTCGAATTCTCGTTAATCTGACTAGCTTAAAAAATTTTCAACAAAACTACATATAAGAAATAGCAGAGATCGAAGCCGATTTTTTCGGCTTAACTCAATTTTTGATTTTTTTGATAGAAAAAAGCCATTTGACACCCATTTCAAGTATTTAAATTGAACTTTACTTGCTTTACTATGATTCTGTGTAATATTTTGTCAGCATGTAGCTATAGTGAGCTCAGAATTTCAATTTAGTCGATAATAAGCCGATCGGCTTAAATTTTGGCTTAACATTCTTTAACTTGAAATTCTGAGCTTCCTATAGCTACATGCTGACAAAATACTACACAGAATCATAGTAAAGCATGTAAAGTTCAATTTAAATACTTGAAATGGGTGTCAAATGGCTTTTTTCTATCAAAAAAATCAAAAATTGAGTTAAGCCGAAAAAATCGGCTTCGATCTCTGAGAAATAGCATGAATCAAAGTTCAGTCTGCACAATCGCATGCTTTTTATTGATACCCCCTTTTTCATACCTTCCTTACTAATCGATACGAGTCAATGAAAATATGTTCAATCAATAATTATAAAAATATCAGTGCAAACTGTATGAATTCTTAATTCGAACCTAAAAATAGCTTTCCCAATTCAAGCCCTTTGCATGTTAATGTCATGCTTGTTTTATGCATTCTTTCGTTGAAATATAAAGATATATAAAGATAAATAGTTTGAAATGTGGACCATTTCTCATGAAGTAAAGATTTTGCACTCCTATAAATAGGTGTATGCACTTTTATGACGTATGCATGTGACTGTAGAATTGTAATGACGAAAATTGGATTATCATATAGATCAGTTAAAAGCATTCTGGGTTGACCTCATAATTCAATTTGCAGAATAGAAAGAGTTGCTGAGATTTTGTGATAACTATAGAGGGATGAGGGGGGTCTAGCTAGGGATAATTCTTTCAAGGGCCAGGCTCCATCTCACATCCTCTTGATAAGTCCTTTAAAATTACCAACAAGCATTTTATTACAGAATTAAGAAATTTAAGTTAAACTAATCACAAATTATAATTTTTTGTTAATTTTTTTCTTCTTTTCTCTTTCCTTTCTCTTCTTCTAAACTTCTCCCTGTGTTGTAACCTTATATATAAAAAATTCTGGAACGCATCTGATTTTAAAATTTGAATGATTTGACCACCTGACCATTGAAATACACAAAATTCATATTGCTTTAATTTTGTTGTGTTTGAATTTGCACGTGGTGAGTTTCCTTACTAATTATTTTATAACTTTATTTACATTAACTTTATTCATTTATAGTTTAAATCAGTCAATTCATCAAATAAGTAACATTTATTAATGACACATATTTTTTATTATTTCTTCATTTCCTACTATATAAACATAGGAATGTCACTCAACTCTAATTGGCACAAACAATCACACAATTCAACAAATGAATCGTACAATTATGATGACAATCAAGTGGGCGAGGATGATGTTTTTATGGTGAGTTAATTGCTGCAGCTCTTATGACTATCCTTGATAATTATTCATAATAATTATTTTTTAGACATTGGACTTACCACTTGAGACATCGGAATCAAAGTCGAATTCTGAGGGCACTGGCAGTAATCGTAAGTTTTTCAACCTAATTTTGAGGTTCATAGTTATCCTGAAATACCAAAATGTTCCTTCAATTCCAGAAAGCGTAGAAAAATCTCTCCAACAATCATCGACGGGAAAAAAAACAAACATTCAGTACATATCGTGTGAGCTCACATCAAATAATTCAAATAATACCGATATAAATAATGGTAGTCAGCACCTGCCTCCGCCAGTAACGCAACCATCGTCGATAATTCCAGCTGATAATTACTCATATGTTCAATTGACTGCTGTACATGACTATAATTATCCAGTTGTTGATGATCCAATCTCATCTGTGTTAAGGCGAAGTGATTCGACGTGTAGCTTGAAGAAAAGGCCAGCACTTGATTTGCCTCCATTGAAGGATAGTGGAAATATAAAGACTAGGATGAGGTGTCGGTAAGTTGAATAAGATTCAGTTTAATTAAGGCATGTGTCTCTACCTTTATATTATTTCAGATATTGTCAGGAATTTTATCAGGAAGAATGGAATCGAAAAGGATCATGTGCATTCGCACCAGATTGTATAAAGAGCGGTATCGACACAATATCGGGTATGATGTGCGCTCGATGCATGATTTATCATTGTATGAGTGATTCAGAAAGTGATCTCGTAAATCATCCGTGTTCGTGTAATGGCAATCCATCGGATGAAGTAAGTTGCACAAAGCGTTGGATTGGATTAGCATTACTATCATTATTAGTGCCATGTCTATGGTGCTATCCGCCACTAAAGGCTTGCCACTTAATTGGTATTCAATGCGGTATATGTGGTGGGAAACATAAGCCACAGATATGACAACCAATAAAAATCTATCAACATCATCAACCACTCGGAATGGACAATGAGCCGCAAAGAAAACATCAAAAATCAAAACAGCAGGCTCGTGTCCATTTCCAGCAACCAATAGAACATTCAAATCATCACTTATACTCAACATCCATCGATGATTATCATCGCAGCTCATTTCTCAATAGCAATTACAATTATCAGCACTTACAACAGCCAATAACATCACAACCGGGATATAATAATTGTAACTTTTTCTAAACAATGATGATGTTGATAATGAGAACTGATAACATGCGATAGAAGTACACAAAACACAAGAAAGAATTCTCAAATAAAATGTGATTGACATTTATCACGAAAAAAATTTTAATGGAGATGAAAAAAAAAACATATTTACACAAATACATTTACATGGAATTACAAGGAAGACGTAAAACCAAGAGAAAAACCAGAAATATTCACAGATGTAACAAAAAAAATGAATAAGCATTTATATAATGACAGTAATAAGACACAAAAAAATAATCTTTGCTAAAAACAAAACAAAAAATCTAAAAAGTAAGAAAAAAAAATAGTTGAATCTAAAGTTTAAGAGATCGTGGATGACTTACAGCATGTCCCGGTCGCAAACAAAAAAAATGATATTTTCAAAAACAAATATACATAAACATTGAGAATTGACGATAAAAACTGATCAGTTGAGTTATAAATAATTTTATTTATGAGAATTTAAAGTAATCCTATGTTAGGCTTATGGTTGGTTGAAGCTTTAACTTATTTTTTTGTCCTTTAATGATTGATATGTATGGGGTTATCTGGAGGTGGTCTTGGAATATTTAGAAATAATTTAAGTGAATTAAACTTCATTTTTAAGGAGAATTCTCTCAAAATTTTGAGGGTTTTCTTCAAAAATCTGTAAAATTTCTGACAATATTCATTCAAATTCCAAGAACACCAACAGACCGCATGCGTGTTGTTGCCAATCCAACAATCAAAAAATAGTTTAAGTCACAAATTTATAGCTTTTTAAGTTAATCTAATTCATAGTTGCATCTCTCATCTATTTTAATTAATTTGACAAGGCAATGGATTTTAATTGGAGTTGAGTGTTTGAGAGTCTTGAAGTTTAGGGCTGCAAATAAATTTTAGATCCTTCTTTCTAGAGGAAGAAGCTTGCTTTTAGGTTTTAAATCAGCACTCTCTGTTAAAAGTACAAAATTAATTATTTTAAATGAACGATTTCATGTTTAAGGATTTTACAGTTTGAGTAGATTTTAATCTAGTTTAGATCTGTAACTTGATCTAATAATTATAAAATCTTGTAGTTCTGAGAATTACGACAGGAATGACACTTTTTATTGTTTCTATTCATATCTGCTTAGACCACGTGTCTAGTAATCTTTAAAATTCAAAGAATCTTCCAATAAATTCATAACATTTGAATTCATTTCCTTTGAATCGCTTCTATTTTCCCAAGAATTATTCACAACTTCATTCTTCAAAAGCTTTCTTTTTAAAACAACAACTGGATCATCCATCCAATATATTGCAATATATAAAGTTCTTTAAATGCCTTTACAGCGTTCAAACATCAATTCCAATTAAATCAACACTGTCGGTCTCATTTACCACACAAAGTTCGTTTAAGCCATTGAAAAACTTAATTTATTTTTGCATCGCACAAAAAAAGAATCATTAGATAAAAAAAAACATCAAACTATCCGTCAATAATTCATCTAAAATGAACATCGCTTGGGAGAAATTAGGAAGTAAGTGAATCATAATAAAATTGAGATTCTGACATCAATTGCAGGATTTTCATAGAATTTTAATTCCTCATAATAATTGAGATTGCAATCGACATTCTTCCTGGAATCTAATATGAAGTTTGTTGGAAATAACTTGAAAATTTTAAATTTTTAGGTTATGGAGGAATGAAATTTTCAATGCTTTGATTTTTCGAATCTTTAATTTCAAAAATGCTTATTTTTGTGCAAATTTTTTGTCATACTTAGATGCAATTTTGAAATTAAGGTTTGGAAAATTCTAGCATTGCAAAAACCTTTAATCCAACGAACTTATATGAGCTTTTAGAAATCTATCGTACACAGATTCTCATGAAAATTCATTAAGGTCAATTTAAGAGCAATTGAGGATTCCTAAATACTTCATACCAACAGGCTTAAAAAACTGGAAATTCCATGTGCAATATGGATATTGAACTATACCTTAATCACTATTGTAAGGATATCAACATACACTACTGGTTAAGCTGCAAATCGTCATATTTTTTTTTCATAATCTACAGATTCTTGTTTCTGAGAATCGTAGCTTGTGTCTGAACTATGACATTTAATTTCTATACTGCCGTATTGAAGTTAAATCGTAGCTTAATATTCATATTGTTCCTGACTATTTTTTAAGAATTTAGAATATTTGAAAAAGCAAGCTCCAAAATCCAGCTACTTACTATAAAAGTCAGTCATAATATTTCTATGGTAACATCTCAAACCCATGATAATGTTAATCATCCATAAAAATATCTAAACTGTCGATTAAGTCAATCATTCAAAAAAATTATGAATTTCCAGTCACAAAACTTAAGCGATCAATAGATGAAATGACATTCCATGTCCAGCATGGAGCAAAAGTCAAAGAAACACAAAAAAAAAACTTCAAAGCTATTAGAAGCTTAAAAATTTTGAATATTTATCCAAAAAGAAAAAAAAATCTTTAATAAGCATAAAAAATTACATTAATTATTAAGTAAATGGGAAAAAAATGGCGAAAAAGAGAAAATTTCAATACACACATTTAAAAAAAATAATAGCTTTACATCATGAAGATAAAAAAATATTTATGAAGTTGAATCAAGAATGAAATCAGATTTCAGGATTTAAATGATGGAATATTAAATACAAAACTTAGTGACAGTCAGTAGAATCTATTTGGACTGATTAACATTCAAAAATGTCCATAAAATACTGAATTCGTCACGTGTATTGTGGACCAGAATTGATGGAATAAAAGTGAGATTAAAAAGATTTTAAGCAGTTTACAGAGACAGGCGATCCGTGATTATAATGATAAAGAAAAATTCGAAGTAAATTTATAAAAAAAAAATAAATCATCATTAAACTTCTCATTAATCTTATATTATATGTGTAATGGCTAGTAATAATCGCGAATATAATAATAATTGTAAACTTTTTATGACAAAAAAAAACAAATTTGGATCGTAAAAAAAGTTTTGTTCTTAATTAAGAAACTCTTTCTGGAAACTGCTTAACAGGGGCTTAGTCTTTTTAATCGTGGATTTTTGTCATCCTTCAATTCGCCGACTCAATAACAACTTGTTGGCATATTCGGAGCCGCATACACTGATACAATATTACATACAAAACACATACACGTAAAAAAATTTCCATTTTCTTCATCCACCAAAAAAGTTTAAAAACAAAAAAAAAATCACGAAGGAAAAAAAAGTTATTTTTTGTCCCTTAAAAAAAAGTGAAAGGAAGTAGAAGTTTTCATTAAATTTAGAGAAAAAAAATATATTTAATGTTTTTTTGACATAAACAAAAAACGTGAGAATCAAGAAGAAAAAATTGAAATAAATGAGAAAACTATTTAATTTTAATCGTAAGAAATGAAATGGAAATAAAAATGATATGATAAGGAAGGAGAAAAAAATTTAAGAAAAATTATATTACTGATAAAAAAAAATGAAAAACCAACAAAAAGTGAAAAATGTTGAAAAATACAGAATGAATATTACATGTAAAAAAAAAAGAAGAAAAAGTTGTGTTTTTATTTGCTTTTTATTACAGAGGACTTCTTAGCAGTTCGTTTAGAATGATGGCTAAGCTGCATTATAGTATGAGGAAGCAACCAGAGTCAGATTAAAATGAGTTTTCTTTCTGACATCACCAACTAGCTAGATTTTAGACATACATCACAATGGTTTACACCATTTGCTGTCCAAACTGTCATGAACACTCAAAGTTTGATGGGATCAGGGGCGTACCCAGGAATTTGAAGAGGGGATGACTAAAAAAATTTTTGTATGGAAAAATTTAAGGGGGGGGGGGGGGGTATTTTTGTGATTTTTTCATAAAAACCCTAGCAAAACAAAGAAATTTCTGTTTACGTTGGGGGATTTGTCCACCAATTCCCCTCCCCCCCTGACTACGCGCCTGGATGGCATATTGCGATTATTGAAATTATTCAGAATTATTGGGATTATTTTGGATTTTTGGGATTATTGATGATTATTTGGATTAGTTCCATTGTCCACGTCTTAATGCCATGGGTCATTAACACTGGTTTACATGAAAAGAATGGCATCGAGGCTTCTTTGATATTTTCCTCTTCACCTCGTGTACTTAGACATATGTTAAACTCTTCTTTTTCAGATTAATAACAATCGACTGTTCATAAATGAAGTCAAGTTCTTTAACAGTGCCTCTGTATAGAAATCTCATCTAAAATGTCTATATTCTTTTCAATTGACATCTTATATGGACGAAACCTTAACAAAGAACAAAAATTTAGATTAATCTAGTCAAATTAGTCATTAAGAATCCAAATTTTCTAAACTTCTAGTTCTGTTGAAAAATTGTTCAAGCTAGTTCGTTCTTTATTCTGCATTTCTCAATTCGCACCAGAGCAATGAAATTCTTATTATTATTGATTATTTTGAGTTGTTCAACACCAACAAGATCAAAATTTCAACCAATTAATGAAGACTGCATAGCATCAAAAGTAATAATTGACATTTGTATGGAATATTTTGTAAAAAAATCCATAAAATTTGACTTGATAATCTACGGTGAATAGACACAATATCTTGATATGATAATGGATAGAGTATTTAAAGAAATCGGAAAAAATGCCTCCACAACTGTGCAACATATAAAAAAAATTGATCACTGGGACCAAAGACTTGAAAACTCTGCCTTAATTTTATTTAAGGATATGTCATTTCTTGCTGATTTTAATTCAAAAATAATTAAAATTGAGAATTTTGTACCAAAAGAGACAAAAGTATTGTGTCATTACCAACATCTAGGCAGTAGATCAAAAATTCCTTTAGTTGGATCCTATGAAAGTGGCATTCGACATATAAGCTCAATTGAATATTTTATTAAAGATGTTGGATCAAGAATTGATTTGATAACTTTAGACCACTTTTTGGAAGATTCATGCAATCAGCAAGTAATTACAATTTTAAATAGTTTTGATAGAAGATCCTTAAAATGGAAAAAGACTTTGACATATCATGAAAAGTTTGTAGATTTTAATGGATGCCCGATTGCCTTAACAGCAGATTATACTTTGAACTTTCACTTCAATAAATACAACTATGAAGTTTTTGAGTGTTTGAAGCACCATAAAAATGAAAATGTTTGCCTTGAACTTTTCGATAAAATCATCAAAAGTCCTGAAGTAAGCTATCATGGATTGTTCTATGACATTTTTGAGGTCCTTGCTAGAAAAGGAAATTTCACTCCACATTATCAAGTCTTTGTTGCAAAACGGATATTTTCAAAAAATTCAATTTTTCTTAAGCCAGCAATAACATTGCAACGCGAGGGTATTTTTGAAATCAGTGAGTTGTTATCCGATGTCAGAATGTCTCCAATATTATGTGATGCTTCATTTAAGATATATGTCACTCCTTCGGAATTTTATTCAAATTACGAGAAACTTTTGCTGCCATTTGATGCTTCAACATGGATTTGTTTGCTGTTTGTATTTTTGTCCATTGCATGCGTTATTTTTCTCAAATCTTTTATGTCCAAAAAAGTAAAATTATTCATTTTTGGTCGAAAAACTATGGAACCAGGATTAAATGTCGTTCGAATATTCTTCGGAATTGGTCAGACAAAGTTACCAGATGAGTCAATTTTAAGGTTCATTCTCATATTCTTCGTGCTGTTCTGTTTAATTATGAGAACATGCTATCAAAGTATGATGTTTGATTTTATCACATCTGACATGAGAAAGACGCCTCCAGATACATTGAAAGAAGTCATTGATAGAGGATATACGATAGTTATAGTTAAATTTAGTTTGACAGATATGACACATGAAGTATTAGAGAAAATCGTTAGAAATGAAAACGAAAGGTAAGAAAAAATTAGAAGTCTTGCTAAAGTTGATACCAAATATTTTGATTTTCAGTGCAAAAATGAAGGTTTTAGGAACAGATATAGAGTGCATAAAACTTTACTGCAATTCCATCTACAATTCATCAGCAAAGTTGGCCTTTTTTAATTCCAAAGAATTCTTTGAAGCTGCTAATGTCCTTTGCGGTGACTCATTGGTTCTTGTCAAGAATGTCATCATTAATGCGATTCCAATTGGAGTAGCAGTTAAAAGAAACAGAATTTTAGAGTCAGTTTTCATTGATGCTATGCATCAATTTGTTCCTTCTGGAATTCCTCAATATTTAAACCATTTTCATGCTGACATGTTTAGTTCCAAATATCAAGAGGAAGAAGAAAAACTTCCTAGAATTTTGACACTCGATAATTTGGCTTTTGGATTTAACCTTTGGCTTATTGCTTGTTGTATATCAATTTGTGGTTTTTTATGTGAGCTTATCCAGCATTACACTTTTAAAAACGTTCAAAATTATGTAGGGCTGTTGTATATTTTAAAAGTTTTCAATGATTCGACTTTTATGAATTCTTGAAAAAATGTAAGTTTGTTTTCATGATTTTGGTAAGCTTCATTCTGGAATATTACATGTAAAGTAAAAGTTTTGATTTGATATTCTATTTACTTCATATGCTTTACGAACTCACTCAATTGCCATTGGTGAAAAAGAAAGTATATAAAAAAATTAGAATAAATCATAGATTAAGCGCAGATGTGGCAAAATAGTGCTTTAAATATTAATGTAACCGAAGCTACTCTCGATGTTTCTTCTAATTCGTGTACAAGAGTATATGTTTCCAGTTCTTCTTCGTTAAAATGTTTAAAATCAAGAATTAAGACCTGTCGATAGATTGTATCAACAGTTTTCAGTGTAAGTTGGTTTGTTGCTGTGTAGATGTATGAAAAATGATTGTTAAGGAGGTCTAAAGTCTCATTTTTAATTGTCATCATTTATTAACGATGCTTAAATTTAGGTTTTTATCGTACTGTCACACAGTACGGTCGCAAAAAGAAATAATTATCCAATTAAATAAATTAAAAGTTTTTTGAAGAGTAAGCAAGTGAGGTTTAATTACAAAATGAGTGAGTCGGAGGAGGAAAACAGCAGACTTGACATATCTGTTATATGTGTAAGCGAAATGCAAGTGAATAAACAACCGTATTGTTCAAATGATGTGTGTAAAAGAAAAGAAGTGTTTCCGCTAAATGACTTGATTGTGAAATGTATCCACTGCCAGGGATGTTATCATCCACAATGTGCAGGAATTGAAGAATTTGAGCATTGGCAAAAGTTCATGATGAGTATTAAAAATAGAGAGGACTGGAAATTTGTTTGTGAGTTTTGTAAAAAGGAAATTCACCTAATAGTGAGAACAAAAGAGCTGGTTAAATCCCTCATTGACAGTGTGTGTAATAATCACAGCTTGACATTTGGTAAAGTTTTGACCACAGCAGCCAAAGTTGAAAAATTAGAGTTGAATCATGAAAACGTGGAAAAATCTCTCATTGGAATAAGTGACAAGCTTACCGTAATCAATGGAAAGGTCGATTTGTTGCCGGAAGAACAACAGAAAATTGAGAAAAGTATTGGAGAATTCTGTGTAAATAACGCATTTTACACTAGCAAAGTCACGGACTGTAATGAAAGATCAAAAACAATTGAATCAAAAGTTGATAAAATAAATTTTATTGCCAAAAAATACCAGGATGAAGAATGGAAAACAGTTACAAACAAGAAAAAAAATCGGCCACTTTTTTCTGTGGTGTTAAAAACAAATCCACAGAACAATGTTGGCACTTTAAAAGAAGAAATGTTAAAAAATTATGTCCCAAATGAAGTTAATGTTGCAAAAATTATAAATGCTGGTGACGACAAGTTGATAGCAGTTTGTGAGAACGAAAATGAGCAGCAAAAATTCGCTGAGGTCGCAAAAAAGAAATATGGAAATATTTGTGAAATAACTGTGCCAGATAAAAAAAATCGTAGATTTAAAGTGCTGAATGTTGAAATTTGGTCAAATTTTGATGACTTGTTGAATGAATCAATTGAAGAAGTTGTCAAACAAGAAAATATATATCTTGACCAAGCAAAAACTTGTAAGGTCATAAAATTTATGAAAGCTCGCATTAGTGGCAAACAAGTTGACACAAAAATTCACTTTATTGTGGAAGTTGATGAAAAATCATATGATCTTGCAATGAGTAAGGGAAGGATTAAATACCGGTATCAAGAACCAAGAATTGTTGATGGATTCATCGTTGGAAAGTGCTTCAACTGTTTCTCCTTCAACCATGTGAAGAAGGACTGCAAGAGTCTTGTGAAAACATGTTTCAACTGCGGAGAGGACCATCATGTGAAAGATTGTAAGGAAAATAAACCATCGTGTATAAATTGTAAAAGGGCAAATGAAGAAATTAAATCGGGAAAAAAGTTTGACATTAATCATAGTATGAATGATTTTGAGTGCCCATGTTATTTGAGAAAATATAACTATCTTATGTCAATGGTTAAATAGCAAGATGAATTTCCGATAATGTACACAAATGCTCAAGGTCTGAGAAATAATTTAGAACTATTTCGGGATTATTGTAAAAATTATACACCGTTTTTAATTGCGTTATCGGAAACTCATACTACAATAGATGTAATAAATAGGGAAATTGATATTGAAGGATATGAACTGATAAGATGTGATTCAGATTCGACTCACACTGGTGGGGTTGCATTTTTTATTAAAAAAGACTTTAAATATTCAATAATTAGCGCTAAATTTAAAAGCAGAACGTGGCTATTGACAATCAGAATATTATTAGAAAAAGTTGTAGATATTACGGTAATTTATAAATCACCTAAAGAAAAAAGCAATGAATTTTTTGAAATATTGGATGAGTACATTAATGAACACTTAAATTACAACTGCAATAATATTATAGTAGGTGACATAAACTTGAATGTTGCGACAAAAACTGTATCAGCTAAAAAATATTATAATTTATTAAGTGAACATGGTTTTAGACAAATTGTCAAAGATCCAACAAGGCCAAATAAAAAAAATTTAAATGCCTCGTCGATCATAGATCATGTAATAATAAATAATAATAATGTAAGCTACAAAATCGATAGAAATGAAAAAATCTCAGATCACTATATCATCAATATTATGTATAATAGTTCATGTTTTTTGCAGACATCACCCAAAATCTGTAAAATGATTAGAAAATACAAAAAGCAGACATTTTTAAAAAAATTGTGTAAAAAAATTGATATTGAAAATGAGAAAATCAGTTTCGAAAAAATATATAATGAACTAAAGGATGTAATGAAGTCGTTTGTTGAAAATGTTGATATGTCAAAAAAGCGACACAAATATAACAAAAAAATTGCTGAATTGAAGAAAACCAGGTCTCGTGCATACAATAAGCATATAATGAGCAATAAAGTTGATGATTTAAAAGAATACGATGAGCTTAACAAAAAATACAAAAAAGAAATAAAAAGTCATATAAGGTCTGAATTACAAAATAATCTAAGAAAATATAGGTTCGAACCAAAAAAACTGTGGAGTACATTAAAAAAATTGTACAAACCAAGCATAAATGAAATCAAAGCTATAATTTTTAATGGAGAAGAAGTTGACAACCCTAAGGTACTTAGAAATAGTTTAAATAAATTTTTTGTTGAGTCAGTACACAATCTAATAGCGAATATTGAAAAGTCCAAAAAAAGTGATTATAATGATGCCATTTTGCAACCGAATGAAGAGTTTAACCTAGTAACCATTGACAAAGAACAGTTAATGAAATATGTTGAAACCATTAAAAAGAAAAATTTTGATGACTTTGTTTACGGAGAGAATATTTTTGATATGATAAGTTATGAACCACTTGCCGATAAACTATTAGTAGCTACTAATGATTTAATCATAAAGAGTGAAATGCCCGAATCCCTTAAGGTCTCAATAGTATCGCCGATCCCGAAGGTAGATAATCCCAAGACACCCGAAGAGTACAGACCAGTAAATAATCTCCCAGTGTTGGAAAAATTTATTGAATCTATAATTTTGGACCAAATGAATGAATTTTTAGACTCTAACAAAATTATTTCAAGCACTCAACATGGCTTTCGTGCAAACCACAGCACCGAAACGGCTCTAATAACATTAACTGATAATATTATTCAAAATCTTGAAAATAAAAAAATTGTCTTAACGATTTTTTTAGATTTTAAAAGAGCATTTGAAACCATTGACAGAAAGATCTTATTAGATAAATTAAAAAAATATAATTTCAGTGATGAAACTATTAAATGGTTTAAAAGCTTTTTATCTAACAGAAAGCAAGTTGTAAAAATTAATGGACTTTATAGTGATAAAGTTGAAGTTTGCTTAGGAGTCCCACAAGGCTCTAAAATAGCAAATGTACTTTTCATTCTTTATATAAATGACTTGGTTTTGCATTTGAAAAATTGTAGTATAATAATGTATGCAGATGACACGTCAATATCGGTCACTGCAAACACACAAAAAGAAGCGGTCGAAAAAATGAATGACATTCTTTTAATTGTATCAGACTGGTTGAAATTTAATAGGATTGCACTTAATATTAATAAGTGTAAATACATGATTTTTAATAAATCTAAGAAAAATATGAATGATGATATGAACATTGTCATTGATGATGTGGCTATCGAAAAAGTCAATCAAATAAAATATTTAGGTGTAATTGTTGATGAAAATTTGAGTTTCAATTTGAACTCAGAAAACGTTGTTAAAAAGTTGAATAAAAAGTTAGGTTTTATAAGAAGGCAAGGATTTAAAATGAATGAGAGCAGTAGAGTTTTGTACTACAAATCTCTAGTGCAGCCTCATCTTGATTATTGCTCATTTTTGTTAAATATGTCTAACAAAAAATATTTAGAATCCATTCAAAAAGTACAAAACAAATTTTTAAGAGCTATCAAATTGAAGAAAAGAATGGAAAATCATGATGGAGTAAGAAAAGAATTAAATATAGTAAATGTTCATACTAGAATAAATGTCAACATCTTAAAGACAATTAACCGAATTATTACCAAAAAATTGCCATGTGAATTAAATAATAGAATTGCACTTGTTAGTAATAAAAATAAATATACGCTGAGGAAGGGTGGAGCTTATAATGTGCCTAACTACTATACTAAAGTAGGAAAAAGGTCATTTATGTACTACTCTCAAAACCTGTTAAATGAATTTAATGAATTTGTAAAGAAAAATAAATTGGATAAACAAAACATAATTGTTAACTATTTAAAATTTTTAAGTAATAAATAAAGCCTTTTAGGCGCTAATTGAAAAAAAAAAAAAAAAAAAAAAAAAAGATCAATCTACAAAAAATAATGAATCCAAATTAAATAAAATTTTAGTGCTGTTTCAAACTTACTCAAGCAAGTTCGCTCTTTGTCATGAAATCAATTTTATTATTTTTTGCTATTTTAAGCCATTTAATACACAAAAGCTCAGAGTCTCTAAAAAGCGTAGAATCTCAAAAAATTAATAAAGACTACACAGCATCAAAAGCAATAATTGACATTTGTATGGAATATTTTGTAAAAAGATCTATAAAATTTGACTTGATAATTTATGGCGAATAGACACAATATCTTGGTGAGATCGTGGATCGAGTTTTTAAAGAAATCGGAACTAATGCAACCACAACTGTGCAACATATAAAAGATATTGATGTCTGGAACAGAACAATGGAATATTCTGCATTGGTTTTATTTAAAGATAACACTTATCTTGCTGATTTCAATTCCAAACTTATTAATATTAAGAATCTTGAACCAAAAGAGACAAAAGTACTATGTCATTGCCAACATCTAGACATTAGAACAAATATTGACTTTGTTGAATATTACGAAATTCATATTCCACATATCAGTGCAATTGAATATTTTATTGAAGATGTTGGGTCAAAAATTAATTTGGTAACTTTAGAGCATTTTTTGGAAGATTCTTGCAATATGAAGGAAATAACAATCCTCAATAGTTTTGATACAAGATCTTTAAAATGGAAAAAGACTTTAACATATCACGAAAAGTTTGTAAATTTCAATGGGTGCATTATAGCACTTACCACAGACTATAACTTCAATTTTCACTTCAACAAGCACAATTATGAAGTTGTTGAGTGTATGAAGCAAACAAAGGACAATGGTTGTTTTAAACTTTTTGACTCAATCCTAAAACGACCTGAAGTAAGCTATCATGGATTGTTCTATGATATTTTTGAGGTTCTTGCTCGAAAAGGAAGTTTCACTCCACATTATCAACTCTCAGTTGGAGACAAAAAAATTTCAAAAAATTCAGTTTTCCTCAATCAAACGTTAACCTTTAGGCGTGAAGCTATCTATGAAATTAGTGAGTCGTTGGCTGATGTCGAAATGGCTCCAGTGTTTTTTGATATCTCATTCAAGATCTATGTCACTCCTGCGGAGTATTACACAAATTACGAGAAACTTTTATTACCATTTGATGCTGCGGCATGGATTTGTTTGCTGGCTACTTTCATTGTTATTGCAATTATTATTTTCTTTAAGCCTTTCATGTCTGAAAAGGTACAATTTTTGATTTTTGGTCGAAAAACGAAGGATCCAGTCTTAAATGTCGTTCGAATATTCTTTGGAATTGGTCAGACAAAGTTACCAGACGAGTCAATTTTGAGGTTTATTCTCATATTCTTCGTGCTGTTCTGTTTAATTATGAGAACATGCTACCAAAGTATGATGTTTGATTTTATCACATCTGACATGAGAAAGACGCCGCCAGATACATTGAAAGAAGTCATTGATAGAGGATATACGATAGTTATAGTTAAATTTAGTTCAAAGGATATGACTCACAGAATATTAACGAAGATTGTTATGAATGAAAACGAAAGGTAGGAGAAAATTGATAATATTGACTTAAAAAATTGATTTTATAAATTTTGATTTTCAGTGCAAAGTTGAAATTTCTAAAGACGGATATAGAATGCTTACATCTTTACTGCAATTCCATCCACAACTCATCAAAAAAATTAGCCTTTTTTTATTCAAAAGACTTCTTTGAAGCTGCAAATGTCTACTGCGGTGGCTCATTGGTTCTTGTCAAGAATGTCATCATAAATGCAATTCCAATTGCAATTGCAGTTAATAGAAACAATATTCTAGAGCCAGTTTTCATTGATGCTATGCATCAATTTGTTCCTTCTGGAATTCCTCAATATTTAAACCATTTTCATGCTGACATGTTTAGTTCCAAATATCAAGAGAACGAGGAAAAAATACTGAAAGTTTTGACACTCGATAATTTGGCTTTTGGATTTAACCTTTGGCTTATTGCTTGTTCTATATCAATTTGTGGTTTTTTATGTGAGCTTATCCAGCATTACACTTTTAAAAACGTTCAAAATTATGTAGGGTTGTTGTATATTTTAAAAGTTTTCAATGATTTGACTTTTATGAATTCTTGAAAAAATGTAAGTTTGTTTTCATGATTTTGGTAAGCTTCATTCTTAGTCGATGAGGTTTAATTGAAAAATAAAAAATTAATATTACATGTAGAGAAAAAGTTGTGATTTGATATTCTTTACTAATCCGAATGGCACAAGTCAATTAATTGATCAAAAATCCGGCACCAAGCCAGTGTGACTCTGGCATAGTACTATTTACTAACTTTGCTGGTCGTACAGATCAATTGTGATCCATGACATCAACACTGACTTTGGCATAGTGCTGGATTTAAATCAAGGCTAGCACCATGCCACATTTTTCCTTGATTTTCGACGTGTGCTATTTGGAAATAGCTAATAAAGAATAAGGTTTATTAAATATTACTTTCTTGATTCAAAATTTCTTATTTTTATAAGATTTAATCAAAATTTTTTTTTTGCTTATGCAAAATCCTTAAAAACCTCAACAGCAAGAAGCATGCTCCCCCTAATCCTTCGACTCTCCTTTTGGGTCGTTGCCATCTTCTAGAGTTCACTTCATACATATTTGATACAATTTGATATTAAATGAAATTAATGCGTCCAAGGCTTCTCTTGATGTTTATTTCACCTCGTGTACATGAACATATGTTTCAGACTCTTCTTTTTTAAAGTTCTAAGTTTGGAGCAGTTTATAAAGCGTGTCCAAATTTGTGAAGGGGACATGAGTCCGTCTATATGTGGCAATTCTATTAAATGGGGAGGGTGGGGGGCTTCGAAAATGTTATTTTCATTGACATCCTTTATGGATGAAACCTTTTAAGATCCAGTCGAATTAATTGAATTTAATAAAAAAAAGTTTGGAAACTTTTAGTTCGGTTTAAAACTTGTTCAAACAAGCTCGTTCTTTTGTGGATACCTAAATTTGCAATATTACCATGAAATATTTTTTTATCTTAATCATTTTAAGCTTTTTAGCACCGAACATATCAGAGGCACGAGGATTAAGTAAAGACTACACAGCATCAAAAGCAATAATCGACATTTGCATGGAATATTTTGTGAAAAGATCTGTAAAATTTGACTTGATAATCTACGGTGAATAGACACAATATCTTGATATGATAATGGATAGAGTATTTAAAGAAATCGGAAAAAATGCCTCCACAACTGTGCAACATATAAAAGAAATTGATGACTGGGACCAAACACTTGAAAACTCTGCCTTAATTTTATTTAAGGATATGTCATATCTTGCTGATTTTAATTCTAAAGTAATTAATATTGAGAATTTTGTACCAAAAGAGACAAAAGTGCTATGTCATTGCCAACATCTAGGTAGTGCAACAAAAGTTCCTTTAGTTCAATCCTATGAAATTCATATTCCACATATAAGCGCAATTGAATATTTTATAGAAGATGTTGGATCAAGAATTGATTTGATAACTTTAGACCACTTTTTAGAAGATTCATGCAATGAGCAAGTGATTACAGTTTTAAATAGTTTTGATACAAGATCCTTAAAATGGAAGAAGACTTTGACATATCATGAAAAGTTTTTAGATTTTAATGGATGCCCGATTGCCTTAGCAACAGATTATAATTTAAATTTTCACTTAAATAAGTACAATTATGAAATTGTGAAATGTATGAAGCACCAGATAGATCAAGATGACTGTTTCGAACTATTCGAAACCATTCTTAAACGACCTGACGTTAATTATCATGGATTGTATTATGAAATTTTTGAGGTTCTTGCACGAAAAGGAAATTTCACTCCACATTATCAAGTCTTAGCTGGAAAATGGAAATTTTCAAAGAATTCAGTTTTCCTTAAGCAAGCTATTAAAATAAAGCGTGATGCTGTTTATAAAATTAGTGATTCATTGGCTAGTGTCGAAATGGCTTCAATATTTTTTGATGTCCTATTCAAGATTTATGTCACTCCTGCGGAATTTTATTCAAATTATGAGAAACTTGTGCTGCCATTTGATACCACAACATGGATTCTTTTGCTGGCTACATTCATTGTTATAGCAATTATTGTTTTCCTTAAGCCTTTCATGTCTACAAAAATAAAATTATTACTTTTTGGACGAAAAACCAAGGAACCAGGCTTAAATGTCGTTCGAATATTCTTCGGAATTGGTCAGACAAAGTTACCAGATGAGTCAATTTTGAGGTTTATTCTCATATTTTTCGTGTTGTTCTGTTTAATTATGAGGACATGCTACCAAAGTATGATGTTTGATTTTATCACATCTGACATGAGAAAGACGCCTCCAGATACATTGAAAGAAGTCATTGATAGAGGATATACGATAGTTATAGTTAAATTTAGTTCGACAGATATGACACACGAAATATTAGAGAAAATCGTTAGAAATGAAAACAAAAGGTAAGAAAAAATTAGAAGTCTTGCTAAAGTTGATTTCAAAAATTTTGATTTTCAGTGCAAAATTGAAGGTTTTAGGATCAGATATAGAGTGCATAAAACTTTACTGCAATTCCATCCACAATTCATCAGCTAAATTGGCATTTTTTTACTCAAAAGTCTTCTTTGAAACAGCTAATGTTTACTGCGGTGACTCATTGGTTCTTGTCAAGAATGTCATCATTAATGCGATTCCAATTGCAATAGCAGTTAATAGAAACAACATTTTGGAGCCAATTTTCATTGATGCTATGCATCAATTTGTTCCTTCTGGCATTCCTCAATATTTAAACCATTTTCATGCTGACATGTTTAGTTCCAAATATCAAGAGAACGAGGAAAAAATACTGAAAGTTTTGACTCTTGATGATTTGGCTTTTGGATTTAATCTTTGGATAATTGCTTGTTGTGTATCAATTTGTGGTTTTTTATGTGAGCTTATCCAACATTATAGTTTTAAAGTAGTCCAAAATTATGTAGGGTTGTTGTATATTTTATAGTTTTCAATGATACAGCTTTTAAGGATTTAAGAAAAAATTAAAGTCTAATTGAAGCACGATATAAGAAATTTGCACAATTAAATTCGAAGCGAGCAGCATTTCAGGTGAAAAACTATAATATCAGTTAATTAAGAAGGTGCTAAAAGAGTATCACAAACTAGCTATACTCCAGAAATACATCATTAGAGTGTACATGAAATCAGTGGATACACAAAGAAATTTTTTGACACACCTTTTGCCTCGTGTGCATTAATATGTGTTTCAGATTCTTCTATTTTAGATTATCAATTCGGAGTTGTCGAAAATTTAAATTATATTTCTAAAGGAAATGCAGTTTTAGTTCTATTTCAAACTTTTTGAAGCTACGTTGTCCTTTCCCAAAACATTTCAATATAAAATAAAAAAAAAAATCTTCTTTGAAGCTGCAAATGTACGAAAAAAAATCACCGAAAGTTTTGAAAATTGATAATTTGGCATTAGGATTTAACCATTGTTATCGGTTCTCAGTGTCAGTCAAAGGTGCAGAACTGATAAATTACAATTAGATAATTTTTGATCTATTAGAGCTGTATCAGGAGGCTAATATAGTGAAGGTGTTGCGAATAAATCGATTGAGATGGGCTGGGCATGTAAACAGACGCCCAGAAGGCTCATCAATACTGAATGTAACAAAATTCGAATTTTTGGATGCTAAAAGATCTCGAGGTATACCGAAGAACTTATGGAATGGCTGTGTAAGCAACGATGCAAATGTGCTAGAAATTAGAAACTGGCAAAAGTTGTGTAAGGATAGAGCCAGTTTTAGACGAACTCTGAATGCGGCAATGGGGCAAGTGCGCCTTAGCCAAGGAAGTAAGGAAGTAATTTTTGATCAATTTTGATAATTTTTTGATCAGTTTTGATCATTTTGATCAGTGTCATAAAAAGTTCATTTACAATTTACATAAATAAACGTTTGAAGGACCTACATACTGTATAATAATTATGTTATAATAGATTCATGAACCAATAGTACTGCAATACACGTTTAATTGTGTTACCAACTTTAATTGCTCTGTCATGTTGCTTCCTAATAAAATGTCGCATTGCTTGTAAATTCAATAAGATCTGATTAAAAAAAAACAATATTTAAGGCATATTTACTTATTTTATTCGTCCTACTAGTTTGTATTAAGCTAGGTTAGGTTTCAAAACATAAATAAGGAACCTTTTTAAACAACTTCGCTTACAAGTGTAGCATCCACACAGTCAGCAAGAGAACAATGAAATGCAATAAAATAAAAAGTCAATTTGAGTCATGTGAATCTACTCAACTTTGTAGTCAGCCAAATGTATTATTAGTTTTTATTAAGGACGATGACCTGATTAATATTTACATTGAGGATTCAAGTATGACAAATACTGTTTTTTGATCAGTTTACAAATTTCTATTTTACAGTGTTGAATATTGTGAATGGAACTAGATGTATTTGTGAAGTATGAAGGAATGATTTTTTATAAGTTTAGAATAAGTTCAAAATTCTTCAAAGATATGAAAATTTTAAATATTTTCATTGCGTTGTGTTCCTTAAATTTTGCAAATTCTGAACACTTCGCTCAAGATCTGTCTGATTGGCAGTTAGTTTCAAGAGCAATTGCCGACATTTGTGAAGAATTTTTAATAAAAAGATCATTAAAATTTGACTTGATCATTTATGGTGAAACTACACATCACTTAGATGATATAGCGAATGGAATATTGCAGCTTATTAGTCACAATATCTCAACTGACATCCTAAAAGTTACAGATTTTGAAAAATGGAATCATGGGTTGAATGACTCTGCAGTAATTTTATTCAAAAATACGACATCAATGTTGAATTTCAATTCTCGAGCAAAAACAGCGTATATTTCACCAAAGGGCCTCAAGTTCTTTTTGTGAAAATTGGGATAGAAGTAATCAAATTCCATTTGTATTTGTGTATGATAAAGAATCAATGCTTGCCAGTTCTTATGAATATTTTATTAAGGACAACAATTCAACAATTGAACTCAGAATTATGGATCATTTTAAGGAGAATTCATGCAACTCAATGAAAATTTCGATATTAAATGTTTTCAACAAAACTACTCAAAAATGGAAGGAAAAATTACAAAATCATGAAAAATTTAAGAATTTCAACGGATGTCCATTGACATTAACAAGTAATTACAATTTAAATTTCCACATAAATAAGCATAATGAAAAAATTGTAAATTGCTTGAAGTTTGAAACTAATTTTAACATTTGCCTTGACATTTTTGAGCATGCATTTAATCAGCCGGATGTTAAATATCAAGGATTTGATTATGAAGTTTTTGAAATTCTTGGAAAATGGGCCAACTTTACCACAAACTATCAATTAGAAATTCAAGATCGACATTTTTCAAAAAGTGGAATTTCGATGTATCAAAATTTTTCGCTAAGTCGTGTTTTAATTTTCCCAAATAGTTCGGATTTCGTTCAAGTTACTTCGATCTTTTATGATAAAGTGTACAGCATATACGTAACTCCGTCAGAGTTTTATACGAATTATGAGAAGCTTTTGCTACCATTTGATGCTACAACATGGATTCTATTGATTGCAACTTTCATTATTGTATCATTTGTCCTCTTTGTCATGAGATTCGTGCCTAAGAATATCAAAAAATTTGTTTTTGGTCAAGGAATTCACACACCAGGATTAAATGTAGTCAGAATTTTCTTTGGAATTGGACAGAATCGACTACCACGTGAATCAATCTTGAGATTCATTCTTATATTTTTTGTTATATTTTGTTTGATCATAAGAACTTGCTACCAAAGTATGATGTTTGAATTTATTACATCTGACATGAGAAAATCACCACCAAAAACAATTGAAGAGGTGATTAATAGAGGATATACGATTGTGTTCACGAATACTGACAAAATCATTTTCAAATCAAATTTAGAAATGATTAAAAGTGTGAGCAACAGGTAAGTTTATTAATTGTTGAATAGATTAAAGGAAGTAAATGCAAGTTTTTATAATTTTTTTAGCGCCAAAATAAAAGCATTTGATTCTGATATGGAGTGTATAAAATATTACTGTGCGAATATTAACAACTCTTCAAACAAACTTGCATTTTTTATCATACCTGAGTTTTACAGAATAGCAAATTCAATCTGTAGAGGATCATTAGTTCCTGTTAAGAATTCCCATATGAATGCACATCCTGGTTTCTTAACATTTCAAAGATTTCTCTTCTTACAGTTTGCATTGATTGAGGTTATGGAACGAATTGTTACTGCTGGAATACCTCAATATTTTGATAAATATTATATTGATTCCTTCTTAAGAAAATATGAAGAAATTAAGGAGGATTCACCAAAAGTTTTGACGCTTGATGATCTATTTTTTGGATTTAGTTTATGGCTTTGTGCATGTGTAACATCCATAATTGGATTTTGTTTTGAAGTTTTAATTCACAGTGTTAATCGTAATTTCAAACGATGCGTTGGTTTAGTTCTCATTTTAAATATTATTAATAATAAAGGACAAGCTTACTAATTTCTAAATCAATTGATTATTATGTTCTGAATCGATCTGATATATCTTAATCTTGCTGTTCATGTAGAATCAGGCGCTTAACCGGGGGGTGGGGGATTTGGGGGACAAAATCCCTGACGTTAGCAGAAATTTCTTCATTTTGCTAGGAGTTTTATGAAAAAATCATAAAAATCGCGCCTTCCCTCTGAATTTCCTATATACATTTTTTATTGACCCCCCCCCCCCCCCCCATTTCCTCTTCAAATTCCTGGCTACGCCCCTGTGTAGATTTACATGTTCTGTTGACATTACCTAGATTCACAAGTCTATTAAATTAAATTTGTAAGAAAATGGCATCCTGGATGTTGTCTGTAGCTGTATGAACTGGACAAGCTTGTGTAAAGAATTAAAGAAGAAGAAACTACACTCATAAAAAAAAGTTAATAAATCTTATTAAAAATGTATGAAAAAGTTTGATAAAAGTTATTAAAAATACATCTTGCAAACTTTTATTAAACTTTAATAAGTGTTGTTAAAAATTCTTGATTTTACAAAAATATTTGAATTTTACAAAACCGTTAAAATTTTAATAATCTTTTTATTAAATTTTAATAAGTTTTTTTTAAAAATCATCATGCTAGAATTTAGTGGGAAAATACCAAAATTTAATAAAAATTTACTAAAATATTTTATTATGCTGAAAAGTTAAATGAAATTAAAAAGAAATAATTAACTTTTATTTTGTTTTTTATTACAATTTATGTTTTAATGAAACTCCAACAATTTGGAATTCATACTTATAATTCATTACTCATAAGTTCATCAGAGATGAGTTTTTCTAAAGATCGACACTTAGGAGCAAGCTCACATTTTTGATCTAACAAGTTAGAAGCCATAAATTCATGAACATTTTTACTACAAGCTGGATAGCATAGGTTGAATACAACAAACATTTGCAAATATGTTTTAAATGTAGTACAAAAGTCAGTAAAAGTGTACATAAAATCATCAAAAATTAACATGAATCTATTGTTTATAATACTTTCAATATCGTCGCCTATACAAAAAATCACCGGCTGAAGAGTTTGCTTTTTTAATTGAATTTTTTCACGGAGACTCTGAAGCTTAATCTTTAAAGAGCCTTCACTTGGAATAATGCTGATCATCTGCTCGAAACTGTCTTCAATTGTTTCTCTAATGTGTGTATTACTACGAGAGTACAAAAATCCATGTAGACCATACAAAACTGTTATTGACTTTGATTCCTCAGACATATCATCAATCATATCTAACTTTGATATGATTCTCTGGTTTGCTATATTTTTAGACAATACTTTGGACAGTTGTGTTTTTAATCGACTCCAATTTTCCTCAAATAAAACATTAGGACACAACGAATTGAAATCTGAATCCACCTGAAAGGAACATAGAAGGACGTTAAAAAGATTTAAATGATTCAAACATTTTCTAAAATTACAAACCAAAAAATATCCGTCACTACGACTATAACTTTTGTAGACATTAATGATGTCTTTCAAATTGCAATCATTGTGACTCTTCATGAAATGCGATCTCTTACGGAATCCAAGATCCCAATGGAACATTAACTCGTTCAAAGTTGAATGTGGGTTTGAACGCACAAAATCATCGGAATTCACTTCTTCAACAGAAAATTCCATTTCTGTAACTGAAAGAAGTCTTTGCTTTTTCTTCGCGGGTTCATCAACAATTTTATCCTTAAGCTTATTTCCAAGATAAACAGCTTTAGAATATAAGACTCCAATTTTACCATCGAAGTAACTTTTTGGATCTTCTTTTTCATAAATAGCACAAATTGACTCTGACAATAATTTGGCTTCCTTCCGTCCGATTTTGAGACCTTCATTTAGTACAACTCCACAAATTATTCCAGAAAGTTCAGCCTTTGCCTTCACGTTTAAAGCTTTATTAAAAGGATGTTTTCTAATGAATCGCTTTCCTTCGTCCGTTTCGTTTAAAATGTTAAACACACTTCTATCGTCCAAGACAAGCTGAAATAAAAAATTCATAGTCAATTCACATTTTATTTTCAATCAGAAGATAGTAATTTACCTTATCATTCAAAGACGAAACATTAGATGATAAACTTTTTGAGCTTGGAAAACTACCAATGTTATATTGGTTTCCTTGGATACTTTCTAGGAATGTTCTTAACTTGAAGTAAAACTTGATACGGATTCCAATAGGGTATTCACGTAAAAGCATCATTATTGCATTCTGATTTAAATTGGCCAAGACTTCATTATCAATTTTTTCATCTAAAATCACAAATATAAATAATAATTAGAAAATCGATGTTCAAGAAAGATCTTATTTTAATATATGTTCTTTGAATCATGTAAAACAGAAATTTAATAAAATTATTAAAGCTATGCACTTTCTGTCTTTACATATTCATATCATGTAAACCGAATGAAAATTGAAACATTATAATAATGACATAGAAGAAACTTACGATAGAAAAGCTGTTGTAACTCTGGATAGCCAATGTAATGAAGCACTTCATTTACTTCTTCCATTCCATTTTCATTGAAATTATGGTCTAAATCTGTGTTGTAAGTTGAGCCTATGTATGAAAAATTAATGTATCATAACTTGAGACGAATTTTTCGAATTTTATCATTTTTACCTTCTCTTTCAATCACTTCTTCAACGAGATTTTCATCACTATTTTCCTGTTGAATTAATGGCTTTTTAGCACGATACATAACTATTAGTGTAATTATTTTAACTAAATTCACAGCGAGAGATGTTTTTTTATTGAAAAACTATAAGACACTAATCTTAACAAAAGTTAGTAAAATTTTAATAACATTTACTAAAATTTGATAACTCTTAATTAATTTTAATAAAGCTCATTAAAATTTTGATGAAACTTATTAAAATTTTAATAAAGCTCATTAAAATTTTGATGAAACTTATTAAAATTTTAATAAATATCATTAAAGTTTGTCATTGACGAATTTCAATAATCACATATTTATGTAGATGGCAATTACATCAAATTAAAGCTTTGTTATTTATTTCGAATATTTTAATCTTGTTTATACATCAAGGAATCATTTTAATAATAATCTATTTTCAAATATACTTAACTCTAAAAGCTTTTTTACCTTCAAAAGTTGAATGAATTTGAAAAGGAAAATACAAGAAATCTTCAATTTCTTTTGCAATGAATATTTTTAAAGATTCGCCAACATAATAGCTCAATGTTTTGTTTTCATAATAAAGTATTTGAAACTCTTCGAGGATAAGATAATATAAATCATTTTTTCTTAAAACATCTACAATTTTAAAGCATCTAAGTTCATCTATGTGCAAAGCCATATAAAAGTCACGCTTGTACAATGTTCCTTTATATTTTATCCATTTCAGAATGTAGAATTTGTCACCACTTTTGAGTATTTCCAAGGCGTTGTATTCTTTGTTCAATAAATCTTCAACGTTGGTGGGTTTAGATTTTAAATCACATAAAATGTTTGATGGAAAGCCATTGCTGTGTTCTTTTAAAAACAAGTTAAAACTCATTACACTTTTGTACATCAAAGACCATGACAAATTTACTCTTTGATGACATACTTTGGAATACTTTTTCACGACTCTGTTTTTCTGTTCATGAGGAAAACACATTAAGTGACGTATAGGTCCACTATTTAAAATGCAATCTCTATAGTGCAACATAATATGATGTTTTGGTTTTAAATTCTTTTTGAATAATATTAGTCTATTCTCTATATATTCACTAATTAGTATCTGTAGGTAATTGACGTCATTATGTTCCATCGAACGTTTCATGAGTTTGTCTCCAATATCAACCAGTTGAAGGACTAATTTCCAAATTTTAGTATGTACATTATTTTTGAATAAATGTCCGAACATTAAAGGTAAAAAATGTAAGAATGTTTTCATTTCCGACGCACTCATCATTAAAGAAAAATTTTTAATTTGTGTCTCTGATATCTCTGGTCCCATATTTCCAATTTCAATTGAACCGTAGTCAAACTCCTGCTTCAACTTGTTTAAGGTCCACAAATTGAAAATTTTTTTTTCATAAACAGCATAATGGAAAAATAATGCTAGATCATACCGTGTGATGCCCTCAAATATGTCATGCATAATATCACATGAAAAGTTTTTAATTGGATGAAAATATCTCAAATCACTAAGTGGACAGCTATTAATAACACCAAATTGTTGTTTTTGTAGATCGTCTTCATACGTTAATAAATCTCTTGTTCTGTCTCCTTGTAGTGAACTTTTTGTGGCAGTTATTTTTTTTTCAGTTTTACAAAAACGGCAGAAGTATGTTGCGTTGAAACTTTTTGAAAAACCAAGAATTTCATTTAGAGCAAGATTATCTCCAAGCAATAATGAAGCAACGATATATATTTTAACTTTTCTATCATTTATCAACAATTCAATGCCTTCTGTTTCTAGGTCTCGGAACTCTTGGATGAGTGGTATTAATGCACTTTCAACATGTTCTCCTTTTAAGTGCGATGAAAATAGTAATGCATCGAACACATATTTTGGTGACGATAAAAGATGCTCTGGAAGAACTGGAAAACTGTAGTAAAATGCAGCAATTTTATTTGATCCAGCATTACTACCTAATGGATTGTCCGGCTCAAAATCATCGTGATATATGAAACATGGAAGAACAATATCCTCCTTATCAAAGTTTTTCTTAATCTCTTTCCATATATTTCCCTGAACAAAGTTTTTTATATGTGTACTGTCGCTTTCTAGTCGAGTCATATTTTCAATTATTGTATCTAATATAGTTGGAAGTTCCAAAAAGGTTTTGATTTGTTGTTTGATTGGCATCATTGTGACTTTTTCTTTAATGCTTCCATAATGTGGTCTTCCATGTTTAAATTGGAATCCAGTACGTTCATTAATAACTCTTTGCGTTGCTTCTGACATGCAGTTTCGTTTGCTTAACTCTTTTTTGTATTTATAGAATGTTGAGCACTTTTCAACAGATTTTTCAATCTTATCTTTTATGTCTTTAGTTGTATGGTCCAAAATCTTACTCAAAATATCTGTTTTAAATTTGTTGAAGATGCTCGTTGAAAGTTTTATTGACATTGAGCTCTCAGAGTGCATAAATGTCAAAAAATAAAAAAACATATCATCGAAGTCCTGAGGCAGATCTGCAGGGATTTCATTTTGTGGACTTTTATTTGAATTATCATTCCTAGCCACACACGTATTCGTTTCATGAAGGATTTGGGTTTCGAGTTCTTGAACTTCTTCAATAATAATATGATGACTAGCTGAACTATTATTGCAATCGTTGGCTGAAATATAAAATTATTAATTTATGTCATTGAAATTAATATTTAATGTGTACATACATGAAATTATCTCGCTATGGATTTCCAAATGCTTGTAGAAATTTGAAGCCAAATTGAAACTTTTTCTACACTCCCTGACTGAACATTCATAAATATCAGTTTTTTTCTTATTGTGTACATGTTTTAAATGATTTCGAAGTGATTCGATATTTTCAAACGATTTTTTACATGTTTTAACTATACAGTTCATACTTTATTTTTTTTAGTTGAAATTATTTTGCACAAAAAAAAAAGAAAAATTTTTGTAAGAAATGCTTTGATGACACCATATTAAATTTTAATAACATTTTACTAAATGTTTTGTAGAAATTCTACGAAACTTTTCAGTTTACAATATTTTAATATATATTTTGTAAAATTTAAAAAAATGTTTTTAAATTTTAACTTAAGTTTTTAAGATTTAGTAATTTATTAGTAAAATTTTTTTAAAAAGATTTTAGTAACAATTTATTAAATTTTTTTTTATGAGTGTAAGGTTAATTTGAGATCAGATAATTCTATTTGTTCAAAGTAACAGCATGGTCTGGAGAATCCAATTTTTTTATGAATAAAAGTTAATTTTGTAAAGTTAACAAAAGAGTTTAAATTTCAATCCCGACAAAAAAAAACCCACAATCACTCAAATTTCAAATGATTCCAAAAGGATGAATTATTGGAATATTCCCGAACAATAAGCGAATCTTTATTTAACTCAATAACATATCAATCATTAATTTCAACTTCTATTCGACATTGCGATCCAAAAAAATCTATGGAACTAAAATTAAATCGCAATAACAATTCTAATGTGATAATAAATGTAATAGCTTGAATTAGATTTGGATATTACTCGTAATTGATCCATAATTTAGCGAATGATCTATGATTCTAGTCAAAAACAATGAAAAAATCTAAACATTTCAGCAAATGTTGGGACAGATAGAAGACAAACAATTAAGGTTATCACATGATAATGTCTTAATAAATATATAAGTTTTTAGAATTCTATATTAACATCCAGGAACCAAGTGATCACAACATCATAAATGTATAATTCAGAGCCCATGCCTCCTCCTCCTAAATATGAGACTACCCTAGAGACATCATCAATGAATAAATCCCTGAATACATCCAAAAAAAAATGTTTGACAATTTTCCAAATTATTATCAATTACATTTTGCTACCAGAAATATTTTACATAGTTGACTGAACTTAATTTTTTGCTCAAATTAAATTACATAATTTAATCCAGCATTAGCAAATAAAACAATAATGATCTCCAACCGCAAAAATCAATTCAAAGTCAAGAGCCCACAATTTCTTGCAATTTTAAAAATCCAAATTAAATCATTAGCTAACAATGCCTTCTATTTGTATTCACATCATGTACATGCATAGCAGAATTTTAAGCACACATCAATCAAACACTTTACAAATATGAATATAATTAACTCAATAGCCAAAAAAATTATTGGTGTGAAGCAATTGTCTCTCAAATTCAACATTTTAAGATGATAATTAATTGCAAAAGTAAGACCACTGAATGGAACCGCTTTGGGGCCGTTCACTTATTACGTAACGCGAAAAAACTACTTTTTAGACCCCCCCTCCCCCCCTCGTAACAAAATTTGTATGAAAAAAAAATTCTTTTGTTTGAACCGTAACAAAATCTTAGACCCCCCCTCCCCCCTAAAAGCGTTACGTAATAAGTGAACGGCCCCTTTGCTAATTTTCTTACTGCAAAAAAAAACATTTGCACAATTTTATTTAAAGCAAGTAAATCAAGTTTTTTGAACTTTTTTAAAATAAAAAATAAAGTTGTTGTCTTAATTAATCCAATAAACAAGACGCAATTGAGATAAATTGAATACAGTTCCATTAAAATGAGCTGTATAAAATCTGAATAATGGCTTATTATAAAGTCCAGAAGTCAACGACAGAATTTTATGTATTACATTGCGTATTTCATGATGAAACTACTTGTCAATCGATGATTAATTGCTATTTAAGAATTTATAAATGGTCAAGAAATGATGAAGTGCTATAGATGTTGCTAGGGGGTCTATAACCATCCCTAAATTATATTGATTGATATTTAAATTGAATACTAATTTACGAGGAAGTCTAAGGGGCCGTTAACTTGTGACGTTCTAAGGGGGGGTCAACAAGAAGAGAACAATATAAATTCCTGGAGATCCATGGTTCTTTTTTGGAAAATGACCGTTAATTTCGAACGACATAAGTGAACGACCCCTAACCCAGCCTAGAATATTTCTATAATGTCTTTGTCATGTACAAGTAACTTAAGTCAGCAGCTGAGAAAATATCCAAAGAATCCCACAATTAAATTAATTCTGAAAATATTTTGCAATTTTAAAAAAAAAATTCAAGCTTAAAACATTTTTTTAAAAATTCGCCATGATCGCGTCTCGAACCCGCAATCTACAAGACGGCCCAAGCAAAAACTGAGAAAAGAAGAAAATCCAGCACAAAAATCAGCAAAAAGATAGTCTATTGTGTCGATTTTCTTATTCAATGATTTAAATCATATCTTAATATGGGTTTGTTTTGATCATAAATGACCTATTTGACATCTTCATGTTTTTTTAATCAAACTTCTTGAATTTTAGCGAAAGTTATGGACATCGCCTATCCATTATCGAATCGACACCGCGACCATCGAGCGTACATTTGGCAAAAATGCAATATATATCTCTCAGGAATTTGAATATGAAATGAAATTGAAAATGGAATGGGGTTGAAAGTGGAACACGAAGAGTGCAGGCGCATTTGATTTTTGATTTGCTGCAGTTTTGAGTGTAATTTCTTATCTGAAAGTTATTAGGAAAATTAAAAATCATTGATTTTGACGATATTAATGAGAATAAATTGACAAAAGCTGTAACGATGGTTCTCAAGATTCGAACTAATGGCTTTGAAATGGAACCAAACAACATTAATTAGTATTAAAGTTTTTAACAGAAATCCTTATACTTCATAACATAAGGATCCTTCTTGATAGCTTCCACATGATATTTAATGAGTTGATCTATTAATTATTGACTCTAGCTAGTAATTTATGTGATTATTACTCGTTCATTACCTTACATGATAACATTTAGATGTAGACTGATAAAAAAATTGACAAATGCAAGGTCAGTTGGATAGACAGACATCCAGAAGTTATATGTCCATTAGACAGTTCAGTCAAGATAGAAGGCCACAAAAAAAAATATAAAACATGGACATTTGTGATTCAACTTAACCACAAAAATCCAAAAAGCATAAATAGGCAATATAACGCAAGTAAAAAGACTCCCCCAAAAAAATGGCAAAAAGATAGTCAATTGTGTCGATTTTGCCTTATTCAATGATTTTAAATCATATCTTAATATTGGGTTTGTTTTAGTCAGAAATGACAGGATTTGAAAGCATTCATGTTTTTTGAAGCAAACTTCTTGAATTCAGCGATCTTTATGGACATCGCTTATCCATTTATCGAATCGACACTACGACCATCGAATGTGCGTTTGGCAGAAATGCAATATAAGCTAAGTAATTTAAATACGAAGCTGGAATTCCGTAGAAAATGAGACACGAAATTATACGAAAGAATGTGCTGTGGCCGAGTCTAATTGAACAAAATTGGCTGTCTCAAAATATAACTAATTTGATAATATAGGAAGTTTGTGCTATCGCATGAGTAATGTTATATGAAAATGAGCATTAGACATAGCAACAGAAATCATCGTCATCATCATTATCTAGCGGCATCAAATTGTCTCTCACGTGACATTTAAAATCCACTTACTTATTATAATTGCGAGAGATTCCCCGTTCAAAATAATGGAAAGTCTGAAAACTTTACATCGCATCCACTGTGATTCAATTTTACATGACCTTCCTTCAAAAGAATAAATAAATATTATGGCTGAGTTCATTGAATTTCGTAACATAATGCATTGCTAATTGGACAGCAAAACGCAGGAAAATTCAAGCAAATAATATTCAGTATCGAGTGGCAACGGTACTCAAATGTCAGTCAATTCTTTTTTTTTGTGAATGAACAAAAAAATGTTTTGTGTCTATTTTCAGGGTCGTTCCAATCCACCCGATGACATAATTTTTCTTGTTTTATGTACAGCTGTTTTAACGATTTTTAGTGGCTGGATTTTTGCGCTGTGGTTGAAATTTCTTGTGTTATTCCAGTGTAGCTTATGTACCGGGAGTTGTGGTGGAATTTTTATTCTGGTTTTGTAATTTTTGTGTTTTTCTGTGATCTGATCTTGATTTAAAAGTTGTGACTTGAAAGAAAAATATTAAATGTTGATGATTAAAAAGTAAATCCAAAGATTAAAAGCTAAAAATCCCAAAATTTTCCTCCGGAATGACTCAAAAAACTTCTCTCCAGTGTCAGCACTTGCGAAATTCTCCATAAATGTTTTATTTTCTGTGTGCGATAGACTGCTCCTTCAGTCAAAGTCAGTTTTTTCCTTATTTCCTTAGTTCCGATAAATTTTTCTTTATGTTAAATTGCGTCATTTGTTAAAGAACTTTCATCAGAAGCAGAAGACATTAAAGTCGTGATTTAAAATTTAATTTTTGTGCATTAAAAATAGTAAAACATAAAAAAAAAATATTTTTGAAAGAAAGAGAAGCAGTGGCAATGTGGAAAAATCGATGTAGTACATATATTACATTATTTTTATTGATTCAACAAAATGATTAAATATTGATTCAGAACGTCGCATTTTATGGTATTTTGTGAATGTCAAGAAATGCCAAAAGTGGCAATAAAGCAAGTCAAAGAGTCTCAAATTCTTATTGACGTGAAATTTACTCGTGAGAGTGAACAGCACAAAGTTGAAATAATAAAAACATTTAAATTGTTAATTTTTTCGAGGTGAGAAAAAGAAAAAAAATATGAAAAGCATGTGAACTGATTAAGAAGATTCATAATATGGACAATTGGAAGAATTGAAAAAAAAAATCATGAGAATCAACCAATTAACACCAAATTGAAAGAAAGAAAAAAAAACTCATTCCAATTATTTTTTTGTTGCTCATGATTTTTTTTATGTAACTCGAATTGTAGAAAAAAAAAATAAAATATTAAATGTGTAAATCGAAAACAATTCAATTTAGTTAACTCCACGCATTTCTTTCATTCTATGTAGCAGTTATATGCTGTTGTGCCATTTACTATGAATCAAAGCGATGACGATTTACATAAAAAAATTAAATTGTTAAGTCAGGAGCTTGAGGAAAAAGATAAGGATTTACTTTTATCAGCACAAATTGGAAAGGAGTTGTTGGAGAAGAATTCAAAATTAGAGGACAAAATTTATGAGTTGGAGACAGACTTGAAGTCTGCAAATGAGAATATTGAACAACTTTCATATCAACTTAGTCAGAAAAATGATCTCATCAACATATTAACTATCGATGATTGTGGTAGTGAAAATGGTAAGCACAAAAATATTTTTGAATCTAATCTGTTCCTTGTGATTCATGTTTACTCATCTGGTGGACCTTGATTTTGAAAGATTCGATTTTTGTTGATTTTTTCTGATACTTCTGTATTTGCATTAAAGAACCAACATCTTTACCCTCGTCGTCAACATTCAAATTAAGACCCACCAATCAAATTAATTCACAGTTGCATACCCGTGAAATAATTCACCATTTTTGCGCGCAACCTACCTTCTTACTTCCACTTATCCACCATAAAATAAATTGCAAAAAAAATTAAAGCAAAAATAACATCAAGAGAATGTTAAGTGACACTGCAAAAATACTTTTCATACATAATGATAATACATTCGAGGCGTTGTAAATTTTCTACTCAATTTGCGCTGCATCGATGTCACTTTTATCGTGGTACGAGATTATTACAAATGAATTTTCTCAGAAAGTTTTTTTTTTTTTATTTTTTAATTTCATCATTATGACACAGCTCATGTTTCGAAATTTAATTGACGCTAGGCTGTGTTGCTACATTGAATCATAGAGCTTGTTTTAGAATAACTGTGGTCAAGTGCTGTCAACTTTGAAAATTTATTAAGACTTGTTTTTGCACGTTGATGTTTTGTAACTTTCTTGTAATCCTCGTGCAAAGCTCAGTTAGATTAGATAGGTTTACTAATGTCTATTTGGAATAGGCAAGTGTGTCATCGCAGACGTAAATCTTTTTTATTTGTAAGAGAATGACTGAGTTGCAAGATTTATTTAAGATTTTTTTGTTGTGAACATCAATAAATTATAAGAAGTCATGTGATTTGATGAACTTAATTAAGGTAACTTCATGACATGATCTATCAGCTGGAGACTGAAAGTTAACTTACGGCTATTGCCACTATGAAGTAAAGAATGGAAGTTGAGGAACCAATCATTTTTAAATGGGAAAGAAATGCATAAATTTGAAACTTTTGTCAAGTTCCTGACTTAAGCAGGGAAGGTTTTTAAACCTAGTTTCCCCCAATTTAACTTAATTTATTTTTTTAAATTAATATTTAATTTATTTTCGTTAAATCACAAACTAAGAGACGTTTTTAATGAAATGTCAAAAATCCCACAAAAAGCAAGAACATTGACCTTTTAAAATTAGAATTCAAACTTGTCTTATAAGAATTGTCTACCTTAAAAAATGCTGCTATTGAAATGATTAAATCTAACATTGTTTCTATGTCTTTGGGAGTTTACACAGTTTATCATATTATTTTATGATACTTTTCTAAATTTGAATTATGAAAGAAAAAAAAAACAAATATAATTTATGATAATCTGGAAATTTGAGGTTTTTTCATTATTTTGATAATTTTTAAAAGATTAAGAATAATTACGTTTTAAGAAATCTCAAAATTTTATTAAGTTTCATAACTTAGTTGACTGTACAACTTATTCTAAGAGCTCGAAGTCGACTCCACCATACAAAATCGATGAAAATCTCAAGAAGACTTCGAGCTCTGCTTATTCTATAAACTTTCAAAACTATAAAAGTTACTGATTTCATTGGAATACCCAGCATGACATTACTTCTGGTGACTACAAAATATTTACGGCAAATAAAAACAGGTTTTCTTATTTTTTTTTCTGTCTCAAAAAATTGTGTTCTATAACACTTGCCATATCAAAAGTTATACGGCTGACAAAAAACCCGGCGCAAATTTTACTACACATAAATATGGCGTCTATAGTTTGTGCCAAAAGTTAAGTGCCATTTCAGTATTTTTAAGGAGCCTAATAAATGCATAAAACGCATTTCCAGACAGCATTCTCACAAATTAAAAAGCAACTTTCATTAAAAAATTTATCAAAACAAGAATCGGCAATAAAATATTGATGTATGATGTCTGCCGCAAGTAACAACATGTAATATTTATTACCAGCGGTTTTGTTATGAGACTGGAATCATTTAACTTAAACTCGACTACAACTTTCCTAACGGAAGCTTTTGCCATAAGCGAATATTGCCTGACCTAGGTAAATTTTCGATAATTTATTCAGAAATTGTTATAAGGCTGCACGTTGACTTCTTTGCCTTGGTTGTATGTTTTTTGCGTATCTTGAAAACTTCTGGAAAGAAATAAAAGATTTGTTGAGTTCGCAATTTTAAAGTTTTCATGTCCTTTTTTCATCGATAAATCAATTTTGAAAGGACGATGAAATTGATGGAAGAAAATCTGAAAGTTTATTTTGAGTTTTTTTATTATTAAGTGTCGCTGTGATTTTAAAGTACTGTGGTGTACTGAGTAGCGTAGCATGGGGGTATGATTGAGTTTAATGCATCAAGTCTCATGATTTTAGACATTTTAAACTAAGAAACGCTGGAAAGACGTGGTGAAAAAGGAGAAGACGTTGGATTTTGAACCCCTTGGAATTCCCCTAGCTTAATCCATTAAGAATGCATGCATTTTTAAAACAAAATACATAAAATCTTTGTGATTGAAGCACCATAAGCTCTTCTACTGTCTATTTTGAATACACCTCTGACTATTTGCAGTTCACACTGAATTAGATAAACATCATTGAGCAATCGACACCTGTAATTAACCTTTACATCGTATTTGGCTTGCATCATGATTCATAATAATGCATTACTATATAAATCTCATTATGTGACTTATTTTTCTAAGAAAATCATTACGTATTAACTTTAAATCTGTTTCTATGTCCCCATAGAGTCCGAACATTAATGAAGATAATGACAATTTTTTTTATCAATTTTTCATATTTGTTGTGTGCTGTCAAAATATTGTTGTAGACGTTTATGCTCACATATCATTCACATTTATTGTTATGAATAATGGAAACACATAAAACCTTTAAAAATAGTCACTTTTGATTTAATCTGAGAGAGAATTTTGAGGCATAAAACATTCTTGTTTTGACACGCCTAAAGTTTGAAATTATTTTATTTTTCAAATGCAATTTTCAGCACCTAATCGGCAAATTTGTAAAATAATATAGAACTTTGTCATTACAATGGCATGTAAATACTATTGGTGCGAATCACAAGTCATCAAAATATTTATTTAGACAAAAATATTCTTTGTCATTTCCACAAACAAATAGCCTCAAGAACGAAACTTTATTTTATTTGCTCAGAACTAGCAATTAGCACTACTCTTAATTAATTTAGTACTTTTGTTATCTGAACGATATCGTAAAGAGGTTGACGGCATTTCATAACACACTATGTAGACCATGTGATAGATATCAATTTATAAAACCAAAGGAATAATTATAACCTAGATGCCAATTTGCCTGAAAGGCTATAAATTGCAACATATTCAAAGTTGACGATTTGTGAGGTTTTCTAAAGTCTTAACTTCAAAAATTTGTTTCTAGTGCTACCTGGGGTACTGTCGCTGTGGGATATTAATTGACTGATCCTAAGGTACAACAGGTGCTTAAATGCACCTCCAACTGCATATGCTTAGGTATAGCTGAAAACCCAGTTCTGCCAACATTTTGTTCAAATTAATGGGTTTGATGGAACGAGTCGAGCTCGTTGCAAAAAGTGAATGCACATAATAATTTGTCTGTAAATGAAATTAACCTGATTTCATGTCTGTGCATTAAAATATGAATTTTTAGCAGGTGAATGTAGTGCTTTAAACTGAGAATGGGCTTATGTAAGTGTAAAGCTGTTATCAAAAATTATAATGAGGCTTCGAAATGAAACTGCAGGTTTTAAGCAGTGAAAACATGTCGGGTGGACCTTCTCAATGAAAAAATTCTCAATCTCTCAGTATGACTTATTTTTTGCCTAATCTTAGCATCCAAAAATACTTTTGACATTCTCAGAAAGTCAATTTCACGAACGAAATTAATGTCAAACTTGATAAGACCGTGAATCAGTTCTTTGTTTTCATTTACAAAGTTAATTAAATCAGCTCGATTAATGCGCAAATTGTTTCCATTCTTTACTAATCCCTGATATCTTCAACCTTAATCCCACAACAAAAACAATCATTTTATTTTTAGACTATCCACATTGTGAACTGAAATTTCCACAGTCCAGCAAGTGCATACGAAAAAATAAGAAAATATGCAGACTTCTTCTTTAATCTCACATTTTGCTTTAAAGCTCATTCAATATTACCACAAATATTTTGCACTTCCATTGTTGGCATTTACTTCTTTTTTTATTTATTATTCAACCATAGAAATATTTACTTTCCTTGATTGTTGAGAGTTGGAAATTGTTTGAATTGTGTCTTGTTAAGTTTTTATGCTTATATTATTGAGAATTGATAGATGACGTGAGAATTCGGCGGGTTTTGACTTGTGAGGCTAATGAGATGTGTACTTAGAATTATTTTGAGCTGGTAAATAGTGTGCTTGACATCAAAGTGATGCTAATAAGTTCATGAATATTTAAATTTATTTTAAGGGGGTCTTCGTGAGTGATGTTTATCATTAAATGATTTTTATTAGGCTCCTACCCATCATGTTTATAATTTTCAATGAATTTAAAATTCCTTGAGGGTGCTATAGCTATAGACTCACTAATCAAGTTCTTAAACCTTCAATTTATGTCCCAAAAAATTAAGTCTTACAAGCTTAACAACCAAAATTGTCTCGTCTTCAAACACTTTTAATTCAAGATGGTCGATCGACATGCTTTTAAAAATCAGTGCCTTTATTCATTCATGCAAAGTGTGCCATCATCATCTCAATTACATTACGATAGTACAACCGACCTACATTAACAAGAGAAAATACAGCTCGTGTAGCTCTGGTATACAGCTTTTAAATTCAATTATTTAAATGCCACAGACTGATGCGGTGGTGATTTTAAAAAGGATTGCATTTATGCCACTGTCTCAGATTACACAATTTGCTTAAAGGCAGACTTAACATTGAACTTGGAAAAATTAAATAATAAATTGCCCCTTGTCTGTTGTACGACTTCCTCATTACACAAAAAAAACTTAATCACATTTTTTCTTCTTATTTTATTTTTAGCGAGTCCAACAACATCTAAATCAATAAATATAGAGTTGATGTATCGTAAAATTGCTACACTGGAGGAAGAAAATAAATCACTGCGAAGTGACATACATGAAGTTGTGGCACAAACCGATGAGATTGAGGAGCAAGAGAGAAAAATTATGGAAGATTTGAGTAAACAATTATTAGATTCGAATCAGCAACTTGACAGCCTTAATCTCGAGCTTGAGAGATATAGAGAAGAGAATCGACTGCAGTATGAAGAAATTGTAAGTCTTACAAAGAGATGTCAAAATGCTGAGCTACAACTTCATTCGCTAATGACTGAAAATGATGAGACAACTTCAATGTTATGTATTACCAAAGAAAATCAAGATTTACTTGCCCAAGAGTTGGCAGAATTTAAAGTCAGATATACAGAAACGTGTGCTCTACTTCAAGAGACACAGGAAATGTTGAAAAAGTATGTCAAGAAATTCCAGCCAACGGCAAAAAGTTCACTAATTCCAGGAGGATATACAAATCATTTTAGTAATAATACTTCATATTTGAATGACTCCCTGCACACGGAACTTCTTGATAGTTTAGACTCCGGAATCCTTTCGGATCCAGGAAATGTTCCTGGACGTACCTATCAAAATGTCAACGATACAATGAAATTTGTTCAAAATTCTACCAAAGATTCAAACACATTTACAAATGGAATGCCACAAATAGAATATGGTTCATCCATTATGAGCACGTCCATGACACAGTCAAGATTGTCCACGTTTGCTCAGCCAAGTGCCATTGACAGATCAAATCAATTTTATAGCACAATTTATGGTTCACCAGTGAATGTGAAGATGAAGGAACCGGAAGATGAAGGCATTGGAACAAAGAAACTTGGCGATATGGGAACGCCAGGTGCTAAAGATCTAGAAGAAGCACTTAAACGCCTTACACCAGCCGAGATACTATCAAGGCGAGCGATGTTATCTTATTCACCTGCCGGAACATATTCTTATGATGAACCGCCATTATGTCGTACACCAGAATCAATTATGTCCACATTATCGAGTGTATCAACGACACGATGGCAGTTGCCAAAGAAACTTGAAATTGTTAAGCCCTTGGAAGGGTCAATGACACTTAATCAATGGAAAGGCCTTGCAACACCAACTTTTGGTGGTTTATTACAGGATAATGTACATGTTAAAGTAAGGGGTGAGAGGAAGTTAGAGGATCTTGGTGTTCAAATGTATTCCTTATCAGATCTTGAAGAGGATGTCGAAGATCATCCAGGAAAGCAATTTGATCAATCATCATGCATTTACACGTTTACAAATAGCACTGTTTTACATCCTGAGGATGGAACTAGCATCACATTCAGTTTGCCACCTTCGCTGATTTCATCGAGGATGCAATCGACTGTGGCGTCAAGACAAGCAACGTAAGTAGATTAAATTGTGGGTGGATTTTTGAAATACTTTAAATTTTCATCAATCGACCCTCGTAATTATCAATTTAAATTCAACAGCACGCAATGACAATTAATCATAATGTTTCCATTTATAATTTTAGGGCGCCGCCAACACCTAGAAATTTATCGCGAAGGAACTCATGCAGTACATTCTCCATGAATATGGGTCTTGCATCAGTGCTAAATGAACGAGGCATAAAGGCAGTAACACCGAGCTGTCTGAATACTCCAACGGGTCAAAATTTCTCGCCAACAGTTACACCTTGCAACTCTCCAGAGAGTACATCACCAACACGTCCATTATCGCCAGAACCTGGTACATCCTCATCATCACAAATTAAGAATAAAAGTGCACTATTGCATCTGGAGAAGAAGGCACTAAGATCACTTAAATTACTGGAAAAAGTAGAACATTTTGGATTTGAGAATGTTATGGCAACAACTCCATCATGTAGAATTAGTCCCCTTGCACTTTATAGTTCGAATATTTATACACATAGATCTAGTCCTATGGCTCAGTTGACTAGTTTAAAATATTTATCTGATAAGCGTAATTCCGATGAGAATTTAAAGTCACATCTGCAAGGAACGTCGCAAAATGAAGTAAAAAGTCCAACAGAAAATAATCCAAAGAAGCATCATTCCGAAAGAAAATTTAATCGAGTTCAGAGAACACGATCACGTCGAAATATTTTGAATAATGGTACGGGACAGATACGACAAGATTTAGGAACTGTTCACGTTCGAACTGATTTGGGTAAAATTGAACGGCATAGAACTGAAGATAAGCCGGAGGAAGAGAAGTCAATTGTGGGTGAATTTGTTGGCACAATATCGTCCCTTTTATTTGGTCGTAAAGGGGGTTTGCTTTGAACTGAATGTGAATTAAATTTTTAATCTATTCCAAAAAAAATAATCCTGAAAGTCAGTGTCACTCGGATTTGAGTGACATTTTTGGAGACTGATGGATATTTATCATAATGATAATAAATGCAAACATAAATCCATGCATGCAAGCATAATTTTTGATAAATTTAGAAATTGGCTGATGAAAAATTTGTTGCTAGTGCTTGTTTTCTGTTTTTTGCTTGATTTGGGAATCATCTTGCTGCGGATGAAACCAGAATTCTTTTCAAAAATGAGGGAACCCACAAATTTTCCCCCTCAAGCAAGTTGTTGATTTTTTAAATCAGACACGTTGTAGATATTATTATTAGATCTTTAATTTTACTTTTTAAATCTCGTCTTGATAAAAAAGAATTCCATTTTTTGTGAGAATAACAAAGTGAAAATCAATAAATACTAATATTCGTTATTAGAAATTTATAAATTATTTATGCTGTTTTTTTTTGGATGTTTCCTTCTTAGCAATTGCTGTAATTTGTAAATTATTCATAAAGGTCAGCTATAATTTTGAGGAAGACAGTCAATGTGATTTACCTTCAATAAACTGCTTCTTCTTAGTCAGAAACTTAACTTATGAATGGACAAAGCAGCAATTATTTATATATTAATGTGGTGCAATTAGACTGACAAAGATTCAATTTCCACTAACAATTGAAGAAGGAACCAATAATAATATTTGAGTACTAGTTGAAGAGCAATACATAATAAGGCTTGAAATTCCACACTAGACATGATTTATGGTGAAAATTGGCTTTGAATCATTTATTGAGTTGATGATTCATTTATGGATGTGCCATGTGCATGTCTATGCTTGTATATTTTGACTTTTCCAAATTCTGAATTTCATAGTGAGTCAGGTAGGATATTATATAGGGGAGCCTCGGTTTCTCCCTGCTGAGAAAGCTCTTTATCATTATTTATTAACTGAACGTTCAAGTTCAATGTCAGTATATTCAATGCCGCAGACATCTGTAACAAAAGCAGCAATAATTGAGTTGATATAGTTTGTATGATGAACTAACGTTCATAGACCGCAATATTCTCATCTATATAGAAGATTGCCATGTGATTCATATTGACTCATTATGAGCTTGTCATATCGTGCCAAAACCTTTTCAGTCTCTACATCACTTAATTGAATATGTCTCGTCGGATGAAAACCTGTGTCCTTGTTCATTACTTGGAAAACAAAAAATTAATTTCATTCAGAAGGATAAGATAGACTGAATCCACTAAAATTGATGAGTATGAACAAAATTCAGATGGGGTAGTCGAAATTTTAGATTTCGATTTTTTTTAAGCTATGCATTACAAAAAGTAATATTGGTATATGATTTATGTCAGAATTATGTCAATTCAAATAAAACATCCAAAAAATTTTATGACCAAAGTACACCAAAGAAAATCAATTTTCAATTTTGGACTAGGGGCGACCCTAGTCAAAATCAATTTTGTCACTTTTTTCTTCGAGGGTTTATCCAAATGAATTGAAACTTTGCATAAATATTCCAGTGCTTCTAGGGTCGCCCCTAGTCCAAAATTGAAAATGTATTTCCTACTTGGTTCTTTGCTCAAAAAAATTTTAAGATGTTTTATTTGTATTTGTTTTAAGCATTAGAATTTTTATGCAAAGTTTCAAAAAATTTTTTCATCCAAAGTTGAATTTTATAAAAATCACAGTGAACTTTTAATGAAAAATTCGTAAGAAAGGAAAGTTTTTTGCTTTTTCTGAAGCAACGGCTGTTCCTACTTTGCCCAAAAACAATACAGCTCTTCTATAGAGCAGCATGGATCAAATGTAAAAAACTAGAAGTCTCTACAATGTCTCGTTATTGAGATTTCTTGCTGATTAACTTGCTTGTTTGCTTGTTTGCTTGCTTACAGAAAGCATATTTTGCGATTTTCTCAGCAATGCCCCAACTAATTTGAAATCTGTTTTTGCAGAAGATGTGAAATTCAAGGCACAAACTTTTCATCTCTGAACATTTTAAGCTATCTTGCTCCATATCCTCACAAAATTCACAAAACTGATTTTTCAATCTGAACAAAACCAATAGATTCACACGTGAAAACGGTGTGAATATAATAAGGGCAATTCTACGAAAAGGTTTCATGAAAATAATCCGTGTCAATTGCATGAAATTTTTTAATTATTTTATTTTCACTTGTGCATAGTTTTTCAAAAATCTAATTCTCATTTTCTTTTCTATTGGTTAAACTGTGAATTATGATTACATCTGCACTCAAATTACTTAGCTATGGCTTGAGAAATTCATGGTTTTAATTTTAAAATTTGGTAGTTTTTTTTGAAATTGTCTTCAAATTACTCTGTTTCACTTATGAAATTTTTCGTACAATCCAAATTGCAGCTTAATTAAGGCGTCCACAAATATGATTTTGACATCGTTTTGAAGCTTTTACTTTAAGCTACAACTTTGTATACTTAGTATTACTGGAAATTTTACCACCTTAAAGATATTAATGAAAACATTTTGGAAATTTGGGCGAAAAAATTCATGTGAAACAGAGTAATTTTTCGTAGAATGTAAATAATTCTTTAATTAACCATTTTTAATATGTTTGGGCGAGAAAATTATGTAGATATCGGTAAAATCTACTATTAAATACATGAAACATGGGGAGTAATGCAATTGATAAAGAGAAATATAGATTTGGAGACAAATTTGTAGAAAAAATCATTCGTAGAATCGCCCATAAACTTTGACAGGCTAATTAAATTGATACTGGAAACAATAATTGATCAAATACACTTGGGGATTGTTCACTTATGACGTCTAAAATTAACGGTCATTTTTGAAAAAAGAACAATCGATTTCAGGAATTTTTATTGGTTTTTTTCTTGCTGACCAACCCCCCCCCCCCCCCCCCCCCACTTTTTTGTAGGCATCATATCTATATCTGACACTAAGTAAATAAATAAGGAATAATCTTTCACATCAATCTTTTTTTTGCGGAGTATCATCTTTAAGGGTCGATATATTTTATCTTAGTGACATAATCCAGTTAAATTGATACATCCTAGTGTCGAGTTATTCAACAGTAAATCTTTATTATTTATTGAGAATTTTTTTACCAAGAAGCTTTTTTGACACGATCCATTTTTTTGATGATGTGGTTAAGACAACGACACTATAACGACTTGATACACAAAACCGCAACTATTTATATTTAACTGACACGACACCTTAAGTGAAAACATCATAAATTAAGTAAATCAGTGAACTTCGTTTTATTTATAAATTATGGAAATAAAGGAGATGCTTTTTGATTCAAAAATTCTATTAATGACATTGGAAAGAAAAAATCTCTTAGCAAAAATCAAATAATCTTGTAAAGTAGCTTCTATATATAGCTTCTTTACAATTTTAGAGAGAGGAAACTTCATCTCAGCGTGTGAATTGCTTAATGTCATTAACAATTATGATAAAATAAATGAATGTTTAAATAAAAGAACAAAAAGTGTGTAAATAAATCAAAAGTCAGGTGCTCAGTCAATTTCAAGTTTTCTGAAGCTCCCAATCACTTCCTCATTTGTATTCGATTTGATTTTTTCGACTGGAACTTTTGACCAATCTAATTCAGCCTTTTCTGCTGTATCTAAAATTAGTGGCCATTTGGCGATGACAATTTCTTCAAATTCTTTAATAATTTCTTCTTCTGACTTAAGACCACCATGTTCTTTAGGCAGCATGTCAAGGACACAATTGTTACTTTCCTTAAAGTCGTCCCATGTGTGATATAGGAAGAAGCGGTTCTTCAATTTCTCGGTAAGAGCACCTCGAGTTAATTCCAATAAGAAGTGTGCAAATGATGGAAGATTAATCATGTAGGAACCTTTCTGTCTAGCACATGTGATTGTCTTAACCATATCAACGAATTCCATTGCATCTTTCGGCATCAACAAATGCTTTGATGTAATGTCTTGTTGATCATAAATTATTTTAACTCCAGCAATTTGAGTTTCTTCTTCCTCCATAATTAATGCCAAGATGAAGATTGTGAGTCTAATGCCATCAAAAATGGTAAATTTTTCAGTATCAAGTCGATTAATTTGCACTAATACGATACGACATCCCTCAGAATCACGTCCAGGAAGTGGATAGCAGTAACCACTCTTAAAGAACTCCATAACTCGTTCAAAGTTTGGTTTTTTGTCAGGAAAGAATTGTGGATATTTTTTACGTGCTACATAAAAGCGTTCAAATGTCTGCATTGCGTCGTTCATATTGTACTTTCTGGCTCGGAGGAACTGGAGGAGATGAATATCGTCTAAAATTTGGAAAAACCAAAGGTAAAATTAAGGTTGAATGACATTGTTGTGGGCTTGAAATGTGTGGAATTTATGGGGGGATTTTACAGAATTTTTGAAAAGACGGGATGAGTTGGCAACTTTTGAATTATTATTATCTGATGTGCTGAACCAGACTCTTGTGATGAGAATGTAATAAGATGTTATTTTGCTCTTTTTATATGATTATCGAGGGGTTGCTAATTATTACAAGATTAACTGAAGCGACTCTAAAGAGCTGTATAATTATTGAAATTAAGCAATATGCGGTAGTAAGTTGCTGTATTAAAAATGAAATCCGAGGGATCAAGTCAGTTAAAGACAAATCTGCCAGTACAAGAATTAGGCCTCAGTGGACAAGTTGTTTAAGCGTCTTATCAACATAAGTGTTCTTTCCATATGCATAGGTTCAATTCCTATCGAGTTCAATCTCGGTTCAAAACGTTAAAGGAACACGTTTAAACGAGACCCTCCTGGCTACGCGCCTGTGGACATACCAATTTCTTATTCGATAAACAGCAAATTCAGAGAATCTACATAAATTCCTTTTAATCCAGTCAGAAATATTTCAGTTAAATAACTCCTATCAATGAATATTTCAGCCTCATTTGCATAGAATTTAAAGAAAAAGAAAGACGAAGATTCCATATGATCTCCAAAATCACGTGCAGAGAATTTAGATATTCCGGTTTATGACGATGTATACTTTAATCACCCGATATTTAACCTTGATAGACGAAGTGTGAAATTTGAGTTTCTCATTCTGTTAAATTCACAAAATAAGTATTTTGGCACTGATTTCATAGCAATTACGAAAGTTTCCTCTTAGTTTAAGAAATTAAATTTTTTTTAATGCAGAAATAACAGTAATTTCCCACATCAATTAAATGATATTACCGCTACAACTAACATTCAAATCTCCAACTTTAATGACCATAATTTAACAATCTTCAAATATTGCCAGAAAAAGTGAGAGTTGCCCTTCATAACATTTATGTCAATAAGAAATCAAGAAGAGGCTAGAAACGTCACACGAGAAGCATTCAACAACTAGTGTATCGGGTAGAAACCCAATGCGGATTATATTCACACCGTACTATCATAAGTCTTATGGATAGACCAAGATTTGCCCATCATAAGTATGAAGGTATGAAGCTTGATAAGTCAACTAAGCTTCGCTCAGCATAAGTTTGAAGTTATAAAGCTATCGCGTAAGCTGAGCTAGGCTCAGCATAAGTTTAAAGATATGAAGCTAAAGAGGCAGCTGAGCTTCGCTCAGCATAAGTTTGAAGTTATAAAGCTATCGCGTAAGCTGAGCTACGCTCAGCATAAGTTTGAATATATGAAGCTAGAGAGGCAGCTGAGCTTCGCTCAGCATACGTTTGAAGTTATAAAGCTATCGCGTAAGCTGAGCTACGCTCAGCATAAGTTTGAAGATATGAAGCTAGAGAGGCAGCTGAGCTTCGCTCAGCATAAGTTTGAAGTTAAAAAGCTATCGCGTAAGCTGAGCTACGCTCAGCATAAGTTTGAAGATATAATGCTAGAGTGTCAGCTGAGCTACGCTCAGCATAAGTTTGAAGATATAAAGCAATCGCGTAAGCTGAGCTTCGCTCAGCATAAGTTTGAAGTTAAAAAGCTATCGCGTAAGCTGAGCTACGCTCAGCATAAGTTTGAAGATATAATGCTAGAGTGTCAGCTGAGCTACGCTCAGCATAAGTTTGAAGATATGAAGCTAGAGAGGCAGTGGAGCTTCGCTCAGCATAAGTTGAAGTTATAAAGCTATCGCGTAAGCTGAGCTACGCTCAGCATAAGTTTGTAGATATAAAGCTATCGAGTCAGCTGAGCTACGCTCAGCATAAGTTTGAAGGTATAAAGCTTGACGAATATGCGAAATATTCTTTAAAAGTTTTTTAAAAAAAATTTTCATCCAAAGTTGAATTTTATAAAAATCACAGTCAACTTTTGTTTTAAAAAATTCGTAAGAAAGGAAAGTTTTTTGCCATTTCTGAAGCAACGGCTGTTCCTACCTTGCCCAAAAACAATACAGCTCTTCTATAGAGCAGCACGGATCAAATGTAAAAAACTAGAAGTCTCTACGATGTCTCGTTATTGAGATTTCTTGCTGATTAACTTGCTTGCTTGTTTGCTTACAGAAAGCGTATTTTGCGATTTTCTCAGCAATGCCACAACCAATTTGAAATCTGTTTTTTGAAAATGATGTAAAATTTCAGGCACAAACTTTTCTTCTTGCCCTTTTATAACCAATTTTGCTTTGTTTTCTCACAAAATGCGAAAAACTGATTTTTCAATCTGAACAAAACCAATAGATTCACACGTGAAAACGGTGTGAATATAAAAAAAAAGAGTGTAAAGCAACAGTTGAAATAAGAAGAAAGTGGGCAAGATTATTTGGAGAATAAAATACACAAAAATGATTTTTTTTTCAGCTAGACATGAAACAATGAGTAGCTTTTGTGGGGTCGGTGATGAGTAATGACTAATATAAAAGGATTTGGGGTATAAAGCTTACTGATGCTCCACCAATTCAGTGCTTTAAGAGTTGGGTGGGGCTTTAAAAACCCAAATTTTTCATACACATCACTTATGGACCACTCCTTTGTTAACTTTATCGAGCAGCTTTCTTACAATTTTTAATGTTTTTGAGGTAAGCAGAAGAAATGAAACTTTAAAGTTTCTAAATTCATTTTCGGGTTTCGTATTCAAATGATTCGTGCACTGACTTCAATTTTAAAGTATGTCCAACAAAAATACACCTATTTGCACTGTAAACATCCCATACGTGACTTCGTCAATTCAATAAAGTCTAATTTTGCTAATTAAAGTCTATAATTTTTTCCATTCCCGAAATGGTCTCACCTTGACGAACATCCTTTAAGAAGGCATGCTTTGATATCCAATCTCTAAATTGCTCAAGTGATTGAGCCTTTCTCGTTTCAGTTTCACGCAATTCATTCTTAGCTTTTTCAATAAAAAAATTATCCAAAGACATTTTTAATACAGAGACAGAGAGATTCCGAACCTACGAATTGAAGATCTAAATGACGACTGATCGTTGTAAAGGTACGAACTGGTTTCATTTACTTTCCGTATCTTCACATTCATCACTTATAAAAAAGTGAGAAGAGTTGTGTGCCGCTAATGAAATTGAGGTTGTGGTTGTGTTAAATTTGAAGTTATGACGTGAATCATGATTTTGTGGCTGCGAGTTGATCGTTTATTACTTAAAGGGGTTGTCTGTAAATAATGTCAAGTATAATATGATATTTTATGGAACTTGAGATCTTCATTAGCACAGCATGTATGTTTATACAGCTCTTAATCTCCTTTACCTCTTAAAATATTAGACATCATTTACGAACGACCCTAACAAGCTTGAATTAATTTTTTTTTGAACAATCTCTGAATATTTACTGTTATTTATGCTGTATGCTAATTCTCTACGTCATCAGCTGTACTGAATGCTCAATGTTTTCGATTGCTTTGTTTACAACCTATGCTCAATGTTTTCCTCGTTGTTTGTGTCTGTAGCTCATCAGCTGTTGAATAATTTTGTTAAATCCCTGAGTCTATTCTCGTTTGGCCAGTCTCAAAAATATTCTCGCTGGAGAAGGATGAAGAAAATTTTAGCTTCGATCTGTTTTGTCATTTGTTTAAATTTTGTTTATTCCTACTATGACCTAAGAGTAAATGAGAGGTGCAATGCTCATACCGGTCAGCAAGGAATTTGTAAAGATGCTCGTAATTGTGGATCATTTCAAGCTGATCGGAATAGAATATTGATTTGCTCATTTCAAGGAAGAATTCCAATTGTTTGTTGTCCATTAAGAGGATCTGTTGGGACGGTAATTAATGCTCCGCCTCCTACAACAACTAGACAGACTACAACAACAGCCAAACCGAAAAGAATTAGTGCATCTAGTAAGTCAATCACATGTATAAAGTGAATTTTGTAATTTTTTTAATATAATTCATTAGATTAAGCACTAGTGTGATTTAAATTAAAATTCAAAAAAGTCAAAAGTCATAGAATCAAGCTTTGGTGATTATTGTGATAATTGAATTAAGTGATAAGAATTATTTTTGTTGTTTTAAATAACACTTGATGCCAAAATTGCTTATTCAAGCTTAATTTGGACAATTTTGAATTTAAAGAAGCTTTAAAGGTAGTTCATAGACCTCAAATCATAAAAACCGGAGATATATTAAAATAAAACATGATTATTGTTCCGATTTAGCCTCTGACTATCGTTTTAAATACTCAGAGGCTTCTTAAAAACCAGAAAATAAATGTTGGCACTCCTTAAGTTCAAAAATTCGCACTTATGACTTTTGAGATTCAAAACAGAGGTAGATTGAGCTTAATAAGGATAACTTCAAATAAAATGTCTGATGTATGTAAATTTAGCGGCACCCGATTTTTATAAAACGTCATAAGCAAATGATGGGATTAAAAATAAAAGAAACCCTCTCGTGTTAGTTTATTCTTAAGAACTTAGTTCCATCTGTTGTGATTTTTATGGCCTTCGACATGTAATTTATTACGTACGACACTATTTTAAGTTCTCAAAATCTATAGCCATAAAAGTAAAATAAACATAATATTTTTCTATCAACAAATTTCCCAATTACAGAATGCGACAGATATGCTGAATTGATATATGCTCCACCAGTATCCAGAAGAAAACGATCTCCTAAAAAATCCCCTTCCGATCAATTAGGAAACAATAATGTTACTTTTGTTGGAGGTGTAAAAGCTGAGTACAATGAATTTCCTCATATGACTGCTATTGGATGGAGACGCGATAATACTGTAATAGACTGGCTATGTGGTGGATCATTGATAAGTGAAAACTTTGTCTTAACGGCTGCACATTGCGCGTCAGTTGGTCGAGAACCACCAGACGTTGTAAGAATCGGCGATCAGGATTTAACTGTGAATGAAGATTCAATAGCTCCTCAAGAAATTGACATTAAGACAATCATTGTTCATCCAGAATACAAGCATACACTTAAGTATCATGACCTTGCCTTGTTTGAGCTTGTTAATCCAATTACGTAAGTTAATTTAATTACTTCTGAAAATTATTCATTAAAAGCTATTTGATGTAATTACTAGAATCTCAAAAAATGTATGTCCAGCATGTTTACGTCAATCACTTGCTGATCCATCTGGAGCTGTCGAAGCTATGGGATATGGTCAAACAAGCTTTGCCGGAATTCAATCAAATGCATTACTGAAAGGTTTCTTAACAGTTGTTAACAATGCAGAATGCAGCAGTGCTTACAGTGAAGAGTCGTCTGACCTTCCACAAGGCATCACTCAACAACAACTCTGTGCATGGGATCCAGAAGGAAATAAAGACACATGGTGAGTAATTAATTTCTTTATAAAAATTCATTGTCACACAATTTGTTATTCTTTTTTTTTTGTTTCACAGTCAAGGTGATTCTGGTAAGTAAAGGAATCGGGGAAATGCCCAAAAATAATTTATTCGTTATTTATTCTTCTCAGGTGGACCACTGCAAACAACAAAACGTACACTGACGTCAAATAAAAAGTATTACGAGATCGTTGGTGTCACATCATTTGGAAAGCTTTGTGCTGCAGGCGTCCCTGGTGTTTATGTCCGAGTCGCTGCATATCTTGACTGGATTGAGAGCGTTGTATGGCCACAAACGCAATAGAGATATTTGTAATGAGAAAATCAAGGTGTGGAAACTATCTCAAATATCCCATAATCCCTGAGCCTGTATTCATTTGAATTGAGATATCCCATCATATTCTGAAATTACAAGTCCAATACACTAAGGATACGTTAGGATATCTTTATTATCGTGCATACATGCTCAGGGATTATTTTGAATATTTTTGGGATATGTGTGATAAATATGATATTTGAAATAGTTTCCACGCCTTGGAGAAAATATTGTAATAAAGAGAATGGATATGCGAGAAGATAGTTTTTTTTAATTCTCTCACTTTATAGTGATTCATGCTTAACATTACAGTGCTTCCCCAAGCTATACCAGTCTCAAAGTAAACATTACGAAGTAAAGATGCAAATCTTTGTCTGTTTAACAATTTTTATTCTTTTATTGAGATATTCAGAAAGTGTCTTTGACCTGACAGAGAATGCTCAATGCTCATCAGAGTTTACTGGAGACAGTGGAGTTTGTGTTCAAGCAAAAAAATGTAAAGAGTTCAAAACCAAAAGAAATGAATTAAAAATTTGCTCTTTTCATGGAAAAATTCCACTTGTGTGCTGTTCTGCGGGAGACGCTAGTGATTTGGTTAAAAGTGGAGACGTTCCAGTGAAAAGGATCAGTGCAACAAGTAAGATTTTGGTTTTTATGAGCCTAAGAATAATAAATGAGATTGTTTACCCAGGTATCATGTCATACTTCGACGAAAGTGGATGTAAAGCTTCTGTGTTCGAGTGATTTTATAAGAGTTTTTCATTCAGTTCCTTCCAAGATTTTGTTTAAACCGGTTCTAATTGCACTTTTAATTTATCAGATGGTGTCATTAAAATAACTTAATACTCAAATGTTGTCATCATGAATTAATATAAGGCATAAGATTCTTATTCAAGTCTAAAAATAGACCACATACGAAGAAGTACATTCTATAAAGTATATTTCTTTACTTTATTTTGTCATTGTCTTTTTGTGTCTACTGAATCCTATGCCGCAGTTCCTAAGCTGATCATTTAATTATTAGAATTGAATTACTTTAATCTTTTACTTTCTATTATATTATCAAGAATGTGAGGAATACATCCAACAGTCAGCTGACTCTTCTTCATCAGCTCGATTCAAAAGATCGCCACAAGAAGGAACAAACTATTACACACCAGCTTTCGTGGGAGGTATAAAAGCATTAATTAATGAATTTCCTCACATGTCAGCGATTGGATGGAAGCGAAGCAACAACAAAACAGATTGGATGTGTGGTGGGTCACTAATAAGTGAGAAATTTGTCTTAAGTGCTGCTCATTGTGGTTCATTAGGAAGGAAAGTGCCAGATGTTGTGAGAATTGGCGATCAAGATTTAGTTGTCAATGAAAGAGGAATAACACCACAAGAAGTTACTATTGCGAATATTATGATTCATCCTGAATACAAGCATCCGATAAAGTATCATGACCTTGCACTGTTTGAACTAAGTACAAAAGTTTTGTAAGTGATGAAGTTGAAACCATCAAATTCTTCCTTAATTCCGTTCACTTCATTTTAGCTTCACAAAAGACGTTCTTCCAGCTTGTTTATATCAATCAAGTAATGATCCTATGCAATCAGTTGAAGCTATGGGATATGGACAAACAAGTTTTGGTGGTCCACAGTCAAATGCACTGTTGAAAGGATACCTTAATATTGTTGACAATGCTAAATGTAATGAAGCCTATGAGGATGACCAAAGTGATCTTCCACAAGGAATTACTAAGCACCAAATGTGTGCATGGGATCCAGATGGAAATCGTGATACCTGGTAAGTGGTTGTTTTGACTAATTAAGAGCTAATAATGAGTATTAAAATTCCAGTCAAGGAGATTCTGGTGGACCTCTGCAAATCACAAAATATTCAACAGGCTCCAAAAAGTATCATGAAATCATTGGCATCACATCATTTGGTAAATTCTGTGCAGCTGGAATTCCTGGAGTCTACATTCGAGTGTTCGCATATCTTGATTGGATTGAAAGTGTTGTATGGAAATAAAATAAACTAGATTCAAGGGGAATCACTAGCTGGATAAAAGGGGAAATCCCCAAGGGAAAATAACTCGTATGAAAATGCGTGAAAATACATGTAAATACAGGTATGCACAGAAAATAAATTACCATAAATATATTGGGATTAAAATAATAATTAAAAGGTACATTTTAAGGAATAATGAAAAAAAAGACATAATTGTTTATTATTTATTTAAATATTATTGTCAACAGAACGTATGAAAGTAGCTATGTCTTCCTGAGTAAAGTCTAGATTAGCTTAACATGAAATTTATATAGCTTTAATTCAAAATACTTAATTATGTCCATCAAAACCTTTTGCCCATTAGAAATAAATTATAAATGGACTTAACAGTAAACCAATTTTTTCACAATGCTCTATCTCTACAAAGTCCTGATAAAATGTTGATTTACTCATCGATTGGATATACAGGCGCTTGAAGTTTAAAACTTGTCCAAAAATAGTATTTCCTTCATCAAATAGAAGAACATTATCACCTTTTGAAACTTTTGTGGCTATCCAAAAATCATCAACTTGATTTACTGATGTATTAATATGAATTATCCTACGAGGTACGAAACGTTGTCTAACATCTGTATTGACATGAATTTTGTTGTTTTCTAGCATTCATATCAGCTGATCTTTCTTAACTATTCGTGTAGTTTCACCCTCTTTGATTGTTAAGTAGCCATTGTTTGATCTGGCACTAAGAAACTCAACATTTTGAAAAATAAATATCTCTCTCACATCCAGCTCTTTATTCATGTATTTTTTAAGACCACTCAATTCAGGTAAAACCATATTAGCTTGGAAAAAGTTGTACAATGATTTTCCACCTCGTGTAAAAATGAAGGATGACAGATTCTTGATGATATCACTAAAGCTATTGCCTTTATACTGCAGCTCATTATGTTGGACATTTTGTAAGCAAATTTTTAGAAAATTTGGGATTTGTGGATTGTCATTTTCCATGTTTATTGTAATTATTATATAGAAAAAAAGAAATTCAATATGTTTGTCTTATATTAAGTTTGTCTTCGAGAACGTCTTGAGGAACGAGTTTGTAAACGACGTACATGTATCTGTGGATCATTCGGGGTCAGAACTGATTGGGAATGGTTGGAATCTAATCGAATAAGGAGCGAGTTTCGACTAAAAGCATCAAGGGTTGAACTATTGTCAGGAACCGAAGTAGCAACCTTTGCACCGTTAAGGATATTTGGAAATAATTTTTCAAATTCTACCGTTAAAACTCCAGTGCATTTTGCGATACGACGTTGAATCCCATTGCTAACATTTTGCATATTACTAGTAGACGCTGTATTTCGTCCCGCAGATGCACGATAGTGATGAGCGATTGACTTAATTTTTCCAACGACTATAAATGGTATCTCAAAATTTTGAACTGTACAAAAGCAATCGCTTATAAAAGTTGAAGCTTGTGCAATTAGCTGATTGTCAATGCCTGGTCCACCTGTGGATATTTGTACTATCGGAAATAATTCAAACTTGTTACAGAAATTGAAATGACTTAAAAAACTTCTTAAATACCTTCTTAGAAAAGCTATCCACTAACTTAGGGATGTCTTCGTCTGTAAGTTCTGAAAAATCTTCAGGTTGTGTCACGCCAATTGCCTTTAGTGACATTAGAATAACATTCGGTAGTTTCTTCTGTGTTCCTAAAATTATAAATAAAACATTAAAAATAAGCTCTTTTATTGAAATGAATTTAATTATTACCATGATCGCGTTGTATTCGTTCAATAAAAACTTATATGCATTAAGTTTTCACACTTATTTTCTTTTTTAAAACATTTTACTATTTAAATTTAAAGAAAATTCAAGTCAAAATTGATAAAATTAATAAAATCGTTGCAAATTACTTTTTTAAAAATAATTGAATATAAACCATCGCTTAATTGATAATAGCGGTAAAGTACATGTAAATGCAGGTAAATACATGAATATACATGTAAATGAGGGAAAATGCATGTATATACATGTTAATGTGAGAAGATTTTACAGTTCTTCCCCCTTGGAAATCCCCTCATGAACAAAATGAGAATAAATTAAATTTTATTTTCAATCCTCAGCCTGGCATTTATTCTCATTCTGTTTCCTAAGCTCAATAAAGTATTTCAATTCCTGATCGCGCGCCTCAAACATCTTTTCAGTGTATCGATAATGAAGAAGAAAATTCGCAAAATAGCTTAATGGATCTGACGGTCTATGAATGTAAGTAGCAGCACATGCTTTAATAATTGCTGGTCCAACAGTTTCCTTGATGTACTTCATATCATCTTTTGAGATTTTGTGCTTTTGAATTGGCACTGAATTGTCAGTTTGAAGATCATGAATTTCAGCTTCTGATTCTTGTTCAGAAACGTCAACTGGATCTTCAACAGGATTGATTCTGATCCCTTTTTCATCTCTTTCATAAGTTCCTTCTGAAGTCTTTACCCAAACACCATTGACAAACATGTACTCACTTGCTTCTGTATCAGTTTTATAATGACGATCGCCATAGACGTCGATATAATAATGTCCATAATCATCCTCAAAGTAATACTTTATATATATTTTTCGACTTTTGATGTCAAGATAGAATTCTCCATTTGTATCTGATTCTATTGGAAATGCTTCTTTGACTATGACTTCGTCACCTTCAATGTTGATTGTGTAATGTGCTGTATGGAACTCATCTTGAAAGACTTTAACTCGTTCGTTGTTGAAATAGAATCTACGACCTTGAGAATCAAAGCAAAACTGTGCTGGTCGTCTGATGAGCTTCTTTAATTTTTCAACATCTGATGTAAGCTTCTCATTAATTTTTGTAGCATCAAATATTTTGTGGATATCGGAAATGACGTCACCAATTGATGCTGCAAATGACTGAGCTGATTTCGTCAAGTCACTTAAACTTTTTTCGCCTTTTTGGAACTGAGGATGGAAAGATTCTTTGAGCTCCAAAATTTCATTTTCAAGGAGATTCTTTAACTCGGTATCATTTCCTCCTTTAAAATTCTTCATCAATTTTGACTCTAAAATAATAATTTTTTGCTGGAAATCGAATAGCTTATCAGCAAGCAATTCCTCAATATCCTGAAGATTGTCTTCTGATTCCGCGACTTTTGCAAGAGCTTCAAGAATTTCATTTTTCTTCTGCTCGATTATTTCGTTTATTCTTGCCTTTTTCTCCTGAATGGACTCAATTTCGCCTTGCAGTTCACTAACATCAGTCTTCAGTCTTTCAATCGAATCCATTCTCGTCCCGACTAAAGACCGATCAACAAAAAAACAGCTAGAACTTTTCGGCTGTTCCTCATTTTCAATATGCTCATTGATTTTTGGATCAGTAAATTCGTAAATGTCATCATCCTCACTGCTGCCTGAAGATTCACTAATTGATGGGCATTGTGTATTATTGTTTTCAGGATAACAAGGTTCCATTGGCGATTCTTTAAGTTTATCAATCAGTTGCAATAAATTTTGAAATTTCTCTTCAGCTGAATTTTCCAACTTTTCAACATTTACGATTAAAATTGTTTGTGCATTGTCTACTGTGACGAGATTTTGAAGATTTCTGAGATTTCTTTGAATTTTTATAAAACTAAAGTTGACTCGTTTAGCTTGATTCTGAATTTGCAGGATGTGCTTAATGACTGTTAATTTTCGGAGTAATCGATTGACTGATATGTTAAATTCTTTGTTATATTCGTTGACTAATGTTTTGGATCTGAGGATGAAGGTTGTGAATGTGAAGATTATTGAGGCTTTTGCTATGTGAATCTGTTTACAGCTTATCACTAAACTTAACTAGGACCAACCTAAGAGCTCAAGGTGGATTCTAAGACCATACTCAATTACTCACGTTTCAATAAAGTCCTCAAGCTCAACATAAGCTTCCTCTTGTGACAACTCTCCATACTCAATTATTTTACGCTCATACTTATTTAAAATCCTCTTTTTAAAGTCTTCCAAGACTCGAATCTCTCCAAAAACTGAGTTACGATAGAATTCATGAGTATCTCCATCACTAAAAATCAGTACATCATGTAAATTCTCTTCTTGTTCTTCAATTTCTGCTATTAAGCTGACATATTCGTCTTCAAGCAACAAATTTTGGAATTCACGGATTGTTGCATGCTTTCGTCTGATGAGCTTTCTAGTTTTCCTTAAGATTTGACATTCAAATTGCTTCATACTTTTTATTTGTTAATTTAAAATGATACAAAAATTTTGACTTTTATTGATTGCTGTGATTTTTTAAGCATCATGAGAGTTTTTATTCTCATTGCAATTTTATGACGTTAACTGCAGATGAGTAGGAGAGTCATAATCTCACAGAATAGATTGTTTACTATTTTTGTTGGGATTCACATTTAGTCTCTTTAAGCATCGTCACCATGCAAGTCATAGATTTATGTCTACAATTATTTTACTTTACATTTTTATTAATAAGCTCAAGGAATGTGGTTGGAAGTAAGTATTTATATGATTTAATGTCGATGTTCGGATCAAGGATTTAGCTTGTTAGCACCTCGTCTTTCTGCTGAAAAAGTAGTCGATTTTAAAATCTGAATGTTAAATATTAAACTTAAGAAAAGAAGTCTAAACTTACCTGGCAGTGAACAAGTTCAGGAGCATAATTGCTTCTTATGAGACACAATACCACAAAATTACTCATAGCAGCTGACTATATTTCCAGAAAAATGCATCCTTCCAAATAAAGAATCTGGCACATGCTTGCCGATTAATGACTGTAAAGTTTTTAAAAACCTTATAGCTTCAGAAAGCAAAAATAGTCAGATCAACAGCTACTTTAATCAGGATCAATGCAGACAGAAATCTAATTCAACAATTTGTTGTGCCTTACAAGGCAGTGTTGGATTTTGTGGACGTCAATTGAAAATTGGTCTTGACAATCGAATTTTTGGAGGAGAAGAAACAGTTCCTGGTGAATTCCCTTGGCATGCCTTGTTGGTTTACCGTAAACGTGAGTCACGAAGTTGTAAGGATGTCAAACTTTTATATAAAACTTTATTAATCTCTTAAGCATTCTTCATGTTTGGGCATCACTGTGGAGGCTCTTTGATCACTAATATGCATGTTGTTACAGCAGCCCACTGTACATCACGAGGAATTATTCCAGATACTTGGGAAGTCTCAAAAGTTAGACTCGGTGAAAATGATTTGAGCACTTTAGAGGCATGCAGTTTATCAAGAGAGGAACCTCCAAAATGTGGAATGGAAATTGATATTGCAAATATAATTATTCATGAGCGTTACACTGCTCAGTCAGGAAGTCCAAATGATATTGCAGTCCTTAAATTGAAGCAAACAGTTCAATACACTGAATATATCCTGCCTGTCTGCTTACCATTTAATAACAAAGTCAGAAGTGACATTGGAACTGGAACTATTATTGGATTTGGTAAGACAGAAAATAGTCCAGCAAGTGAGAAATTAATTAAGGCTGAAATCAAAATTCAAGATCATCGAGGGTGTGTCAATCAATATTCAGAACAAGGAAGGCAGATTCAAAGTACCCACATTTGTGCGTCTAGTCCTAAATCTGATAGTTGGTAAGGAGTTCCTCAATTAATGATGGCAATTAATAATAATTTGATTATTTTAGTTCTGGTGATTCAGGAGGTGGATTTGTTGTTCAAGGAGATAACAGCACTTCATACCTAGTTGGAATAATATCGTACGGAACTAGAAAATGTGACTCATCATTTCCAGGTGTCTATACTAAAGTACAAAGCTATCTAGAGTGGATCAAGAATAAAATCAAGGAATGAAAAACATGACGTCATTAGTAAGTGACACCCTGTCTAAATCAGCAGGGAAATTCCTCTCAACGAGCTCAATTTTCAGTCTGAAAAGAATATTATTGATAAGACTTACTAGTTGTGAAATAAATCATATTGTTTAAATCACAAAAAATGATACATCTAGTTCAAGATTATCAAAACGTTCATTCAAGTTAAGCTCAATTAAGGGATGGAGTGAGGAGGTTTACAGGAGTGTTGTGATGATGATCTTTTCCTGTCGACAGCACTCTTTGTATTGATCAAAAGTTTGTACAAAATGTAAGGTTAAATATTTCAGGTTTTTTCGTCCAACCACTCTTTTACAGACGCCTTAATCTTGAGCTGACAAATTTGTCTATCATGAATCGCCAAGATTCCACTCTGCTCAGATCCTAGACTCAATTAATGAGAAAAATGAGAATTATTCAATCTTAAATGATTCAATTCTCTCGTAAAAATTCATCAATTTTTTTTTCATTTATATTCAGTCAGTCAACAAAAGTTTCATCAAAATGAAAGTCAGTCAATTTTTATTTTGCATATTTCTTGTGCTTTTAGCTTCAGAAAAGGTATTTGGAGGTAACTTGATATTATGTTAAGCTTCAAGTTTCCTAAAAATCATAATTTATTCCAGAATTTTGTAGACTTCCAACCAATGAAGTTGGTTCTTGTGTTCTCCTTAATGACTGTGAAATTCTCAAACAATCAGCTCTCTTAAAAGAAGAAAATGAGGAGATTAAGAATCTTCTGAAACAGAGTAAATGCAAAAACACAGATGTTCCTTGGGTATGCTGTCCTTTAAAGAATCATCAAAACTTGCAAGCACGAATTGAAAAAATTCATCAAACTAAATTGCTTCCTGGAAATCTTGGCTTTTGTGGACGTCAAATTGATCTTTCAATTCGAATTATTGGTGGGAAGGATGCTAGTCCTGGTGAATTTCCTTGGCATGCTTTGCTGGTTTACAACCTTCGTAAGGATATTTTGGACTTAAACCAGGGATGACTTTTTTATGTTTTTTGTTCATCTACAGCATTCTTGATGGAAGGATATCACTGTGGTGGTTCACTGATCACATCAACTCATGTGCTTACAGCCGCGCATTGCACAAGTCGAAGTCATCTACCCAGCACATGGAACTTGACAAGAGTTCGATTAGGCGAAATTGACATAAATTCTATAGCTGATTGTAAAAAGTCTAACGATAAACCTCCAAACTGTGGAATCGAAATCTTTATATCCAAAATCTTTACACACGAGCTTTATTCTGCAAAACCAGGAAGTCCAAATGACATATCAATCATCAAACTTAAAGATAAAGTTCAATACACCGACTATATAATGCCAATTTGCTTGCCAATTAAGAAGAACATTAGAACTGACTCTGGAATTGGAACAATCGTTGGATTTGGAAAGACAGAAGATGGCTTATCGAGTGACACTTTACTGAAAACTGAAATAGGAATTCTAAACTTTTCAGAGTGTAAGAGAAAGTATCGATCACAACGAACAGAAATTCAAGGAAGTCAAATTTGTGCAACTGGGGAGAAGTCTGATAGCTGGTAAGAATCAAAGACATGCAGTGTCTATAAAAAATAATTAAACATCAATTACAGCTCTGGAGACTCAGGCGGAGGATTTGTAAGAAAGGATGAAGACAGTTCAGTTTGGTATTTGATTGGAATCATTTCCTTTGGACCAAAAAAGTGCAATTCAGAATTTCCAGGTGTTTATGTGAAGGTCCAGAACTATATTCACTGGATTAAAGAGAAAATCAAGGAATAAGACTTTGAAGATAGACTATTGGCTAAGTCTAAGGGCGTAGAAGAGGGTTAGGCCTCCATTAATGTGCCCATGCACCAAAAACCTAAAGCTATAATCCCAAATATTTAATTTCCCGTTAATTCAAGTTTTGACAACATTCAATAAATATTCAATAAACAAATGCATGTTAATCTGTCCCTCTCCGAGCAGAAATACAAGTTTATTATCACATTTTTATGACGTATCAGCATAATCAGTCGGAGATTCTCGAACTTCTCTCTTTTGTTAATTTTTCTGTGAGATTTAAAATTTAGTATTTTATAATATCTACAGCATGTCAGTCGCACATCTTTATTTGCAATTTATTTACGTTATTTTTATAGTATTGAGCATCAAAAAAGTATTTGGAGGTAAATTTTTGATTAGGGTGCATTCAAGAATGACGTTCAACTTTTGAGAAATGGGGAAGTGACTGGAAATTTTGTGACACAAAAGATGAATTTTAATTTGAGGCAAAATAGTTTTTCATTTTAATGGACGTCATTTGTAAACAACCCCCAATATTTACCTAGTATTTTAGACTCCTTAAGCCACTTAGCGTCTTTTTAAATATTCAGAATTTTGTAGATCACCAAAGTATGAGGAAGGTTCATGTGTTCCATTAGCTGACTGTGAGTCTCTTAAAGCATTGCTTCCTCTCGCACGTCAATATGAATATTATCGGACGTTCTTGATAAGAAGTCAATGCAAAACATCTCGCGTTCCTTGGGTTTGCTGTCCTTTGCCAAAGGACGAGGAATTCAAGGGCAGATCAAACTTTATTCATCGTGTTCAACTTCCATTAGCTAGTGATGGAGTTTGTGGTCGAGCTTATGCTCCAGATGGATCACTGCCAAACAGGATTGTTGGTGGAGAAGAAACTTACGTCGGGGAATTCCCATGGCATGCATTATTAACTTATCAACTCTATGACGAATACTCAAGAGTTTCCAGAGTTGGCTATTATTGTGGTGGAAGTTTAATCACATCCAGTCATGTTCTCACAGCAGCTCATTGTACTTCACTAAATATTATTCCTCCAAATTGGAATTTATCAAGTGTCAGACTTGGTGATACTGACTTAAATACAGAAACTGACTGTGAATGGTCATTCAAAACTCCTTATTGCTCATATAAACCAATTGACATTGACATTGAGAAGATATTTGCACATGAACTCTACAATTCACAGCAAGGAAGTCCAAATGACATCGCATTAATAAAATTAAAAGAGAAAGTTCAATTTAATGCATTTGTCAAGCCAATATGTCTGCCTGTAGATAAAACAATTCACACAGACTATGGATCAGGAATTATTATTGGTTTTGGAAAGACAGAAACAAAAAATTTAAGTGATGTGTTGATCAAGACTGAAATTGATATTGTAGACCATGAAGATTGTATGAGGAGGTATGCAGCTCACGATAAGCATGTTGAAGATAGTCAAGTTTGTGCTGTGGGGCATTCATCTGATAGTTGGTAAGTTTTATTGCATTAATATCAAGGTTATGGATGGTTCATTAATGCTAATTCTTAATGCGGTGCTGATTTATGGCAACCAACAAGATGACATCATGCTTACATTCCATAGACTAAATTTCTAAACTTTCAGCAAAGGAGACTCCGGTGGTGGATTCATCAAACAAGGTGACTCTAGTAATGCTTGGTATCTAATAGGAATAATTTCATATGGTTCTCGTCGGTGCCGTTCAGAGTATCCAGGTGTTCATGTAAAAGTTGAAAGTTATATCAATTGGATTAAAAATAAAATTAATGATTAACGATGGCAAATCTTTTCATTTACATCAATTTGCATCCGGAAATTCCAATCTGATGTTTTTATTTGTGAGAATTTTGAATATTCATCAGTGAATCCCAAAACAAGATTCTCGTGCGTCCTTAATTAGATTGAAAAATTGATTGCAAACTGGTTCGACATGATTCAGATGACTTTTTTCATCATACTCAATTATCTTGTATTTTCTTGATTTTTTTGGAGTTTCGGCAAGTAATTTTTTTTGTCAGCAGAAATATTTGAGCCTAGAAATAAACTGTCTTGACCGATTAAAGCCAGAATGATTGATCAATAAACTTATTTTAAAAATAACCTATAATGTTTCAAAAATTCGGATATACAATTCAAAACAAAAGCTTTTGATGAGTTGACACACAAAATTTGTTAAAGAAACAAATTGCCAAGGTCAAGATTATCAGATGCCGGTAAAACATGAATCGCAGCCTTGGATCATCGTAGGAAACCAGCACTGTTATCTCATATCTCAAAAGTCATCAAAAACTCAAAGAACTGATAATGACAAGCAATTGATTCTATTGGAAAATCCCAGAACATTTTGGTATATTTTGAAAATTAATAAAATCAGCTCAAGCCCAATTTTCTTAATCTATAATTACCATCTCAACTAATGAATAAGAACTACTTCAAGAGTTTCGACTATTAACTTTCTCAAAGAACTTCTTTTGATTCTCAAGTTGATCACGTTTTGTGGATGTAAACAACATTTAATACTCATCTACCAAAATATAAACGAATTAAGTATGAATCACATGCCAACCAAAAATTTCTCATTCTTCTCTTTTCGGTCTTCTAATGGTCTCAATTATATATTTTTTTTTTTTCTCATTTAAAAGCTTTGTAGCCTTTATTGATAAAATTGATAATTTATAAAATTGCTATATTTTACAAAAACTTGGTGAATACCAACTTGAATAAACATAGAATAAGAATAAGTTCACAGGAGCAAATGTATAGCCAAAACTAATTAACGACAAAAAAATATTCAAAATGTAACGTTTCTTTTCTTTTTAAAAAAAGTTGCTCAGATTTTGACCGTTGAGTGCTCAGTTATAAATATTGTTACTACTTTTGTTGTTGTTTACATTAATTTCAAATTATTCGTTTAAATTGTGCACAAATAGGAATAGGGCAATTAAAAGGAATTCTCAGCTGTTAGATTTGCTTTTTACTCGACAATGATCTACCAATCTAGACAATCATCATCAAAGATTTCGTACTCGTCGCCTCCATCATCTAGATTTTCACTGTAATTATTTCTAATCGATTTTCTTTCATCATAACTCAGTTTAAAGTAATCCTTGTTGTAGGTTTCCGCTGCTGGGACAGTATAATTGAAGTCTGTTAGGTTTTTGCGCAGGATATCAAGTTTCTTCATGGAATTAACAAAAGTTGATTTCGATTTTCGTTCCTCATAATCAATCTCTTTGTGGTATACTTTTATACCATCGTTAGTCACCAAAACACCTTCAACAACATCAAATCTCTTCATTTCTATACATGGCTTCAGAATCTTGCGGATGTTGAAAGACCAGTCAGTGCTGGTAGTAAATTTTATGTGATTCAATTTATTCCTCTCGGCAAGAGACTTGTTAAACTTTCTGATGCCATTTTTAACAATCGTGGCTAGTGCAGAACTGACAAAAACACAGCAAAGAGCTGTTTCCGGAATTGTTTGTTCTTTAGAGAACCGTCTATTTTGGAAGTAGAATGTCTCAAGAGGATATTGAGCCATATCAAGCTTAATGTTCATTTGATTGAATATTCCTTGGATTGCTGCATGACTATTAGCGTTCCTTAAATCTTTAGCGTCTTTAGCATTAGTGAATCTTATCCATACATTTTTTAAATCTCTAGAGCAAGCTTGGATTGTATTTAAACTCTCAATTCTATCGTCTTTTTTGATATATTCAATTTCTCTTTTTATATAGTCCATCTCATTAATGATGAAAGAGTTGCTATCCTTTAATTGATCCCTGCAAGTGTTAATGATGAGTTTACTTTTATTCTCAACAGCAGATCCAAATTTCGCCATTAATTCGACCATAGATTTGTTCATTCCCAACATAATTTGCAGCATTCTCTTAACATCGATTTCATCTTTTTGTAGTAGTTCACTGTATTCAGCTGCAATAATCTTGGCTTCAGTTATTATTGAATTAAGCTCAATTAAAGAGTTTTCTTCGATATTAATGCAGGATGAAGTGGTTGATAACTTTTTAGGCATTTCAGTTTATTGGACGTTGTGAGCCTTATATGATTAATTCTTTAATAAGACGTGGATAGTAGATGACTTATAAAATCCTTTTTATTTCCAGTATGCTTTAATTAATTACTTTAACATTTAATTTAACTTTTATTAAAATTCTTACGACTTAACCTTATCTGAAGAAGAGCTAAGATTTAAAGAACTTTGTTTGAGTAATTTAAGGTCAGTTCAATTTTTAGTCAAGAGTTAATAAGATGATCAGTCTCTTTGCTCCATCGATCAAAATGCTCTTGCTTCTTGTGTTTTTCGCAAATTTTATTGCTATTGGAAGTCTACAAAGTAAGTTTTGGATGCAATGCTTCATTTGCTGCATTAAATGCATTTAAATGATGAAATTCGAGTAATATTTAAATTAAATATTTCAGCTGCTAAGTGCTATACACCTGATCAGTATCCTGGGGTATGTGTTGAGCTGAAACAATGTGAGCCTTTATATAAAATTCGATACAAAGTGCCACAAACTAAAGAAGATCGTGTAAGTAATTTTTGGAGCTTTGGATATCAATTTGTGGACATTTTTTAAGGAGGAACGCTTAGTGTCAATTATTATTGATGCGTGGCAGATTAGAGATCAACCTTTCCCTAAAAGCGTGATATAAATATCCAAATTACAAAATTACGCACACAAAACTTTCTACGAAACCAACGCAAAGTTCTCAGAAATAACATTTGCCTTACAAGTTCCGGAATTAGCAAAAACAAACATGATTATTGACCGGCGTTTACATCCAAACTTGACGTACTTGTCGACTTAAATAAGTGATGATTAATTATTAAATCATCGACAACAACAGAACTCAATAAAGATATTTATATTTTTTGCAAGACCCTTATAATTAGGCATGTCTCATGCCATTCAAAAACGTTCATTCTTATTTCAACAAATAATTCAAACCTCATTCAAAATAATTTCTTTAATGTTCTCTTTCACAGATTTTTCTCTCATTGTCTCTTTGCGGATTTAGACACAAGCAGCCTATTGTGTGCTGTTCAAGCTTAAAATATGTGAATCCCAAAAATAATCTTATACAAGGCAAAGAATTTATTGTACCGCAAAATTCTTTACCAGAACCTGCTGAATGTTCAGCAGCTCATGAAGAGAGGATTTTTGGTGGTGACGAGGCAAAGGTTGATGAGTTTCCGTTCTCAGCACTTTTATTGTACACTAAAGGTATGAATGATTCTAACATACAATAAGTCATATTTTGTTAACATAGCCCGTCTCTCTTCAGTTGTCAGCGACAGCAGCGCTCAACCTGAATATTCATACAACTGTGGAGGAAGTCTCATCTCACACAATGTTGTTTTGACTGGTAAATCAGTCCCTTTCCTTCCTTTATCATTCAAAAATATATTTGTTCTTTCATCCATAGCTGCTCATTGTGTATCTGCATCAATTTTGAGAACATCATTGCGAAATTATGAACTGCGAGGAGTCCGACTAGGTGAATATAATCTAAAGACAAATCCAGACTGTGGAGAAGGAGTGACAGAGGATTACATTTGTGCACCAAAAGTTTTGGATGTTGGAATTGATCAGCAAATCGTACATGAATTATTTAATCGAGATAAGCACTATGACATAGCTCTACTGAAGTTATCACAGCGTGTTGAATACAGCAACTTTATTAAACCAATTTGTCTTCCTTTTGATGATATCTTCCGGAATACTGACAATTTAAATTTTATTGTGACTGGATTTGGAAGGACTGAAGTTAGCGATTTCAGTGATATAAAATTGAAAACGAATGTTGGTGCTGTAAGGAATGACGAGTGTGAGAAATTGCTCATTACTCAAGACAGCAGTAAAACTATTTTATCCAGTCAATTATGTGCATTAGGAATTGATACTCAGGACTCATGGTAAGATATTTACAGTCGCAAGACTAATTTTTGAAAAAGTGACTCAACAAAAAATTGCAAAATGTCACGCGGTTAGAATTAAAAAATCTAATTTCAGCAATGGAGACTCTGGGAACGGATTAATTTATGTAAATACAAGATCTACACATGCTCATTGGTGAGCCATTGATTTTTGAACCTAAAAGGATTGTTGAAATTATTTTAATGAATATAAATTTTATTTATCCAGGGTAATTTTGGGTGTCACTAGCTATGGACCTTCACCATGTGGATCAGAAATTCCTGGAGTGTACACTCGAGTGAGTGAGTTCATTCCATGGATCATGGGAAAATTGTGAAGCTTTATTGTAGAAGACGAATTTATCATCAAAACCACTGGTTTTTAAAAAGTTTAATAAAAATCCCTCATAATTCCATAATTAGCCTCTGATGTCTCTTTAATTTACAATTCATGCAACAACTTTTGACTAGTTCCAAATAGTTCTACATACTCAGAGAATAAGCATCGAATTTTCTCAGAGCACCTAACTTTATTGAGTATTGAGTAAATCTTGTTTTTGCAAGGAATTGTTATGGTTTAAACTAAATAGAATGTAAATATTGAATTAGTTGTTGGAGATCGCTCTTTAACAAAAGATTAAAATCATTTATGATATTTTTCTCATTCCTTATCAGTCTTATTCGAAAAGGATGATTAAGTTTGTTTTAGTGCCATTTGTTTGCTTATTAAGTGATGTATTTTCACGTGAGTACAATTAGGGAACAATTAGAGATATAAAGTTTATGTCTCAATTTCCTGCCCAGAAACGTCAAACAGATGTTTTACACCAGACGAGTACCAAGGAACATGCATACCCTTCATGTCATGCACACATTTATATGACTTAGCACAAAAGTTTCCTAAAAATCCTCGCAATCGTCTCTACATTTCATTGAGTCAGTGTGGGTATCATAATGAGCAGCCGTATGTCTGTTGTAAAGAACCAACAACTTCATCGCCACCACAAACAACAGAAGTGCCTAAAATTTCGAATAAACAAATTCCAAAGCCTGGAGAGTGTGGAAACTTTTATGAATATCGGTTGGTACGCGGCAATGTTGTAAGTTTTGAGTTAATTGATGACCTTTTGATAACTTGTTGTAAGCATATGATTGCTAATTTTAGACACAACTTGATGATTATCCGTGGTTAGCCTTGTTGGGGTACTCGAAACGTAAGATCATTAGATGAATTTAATTTTATAAAGCAATACGAAATTTTCATCTTCTATTTCTAGCACAAAACGAAACAGGTATTGACCATTGATTCACTAATGCCAACCTTTGTTTTAATTTCTTCGAATACTGTTAAATAAATCAGGTTTCCATTGTGGAGGTAAGAAGATGATTTTGATTTTTTAACTTTGTGGATGATTTAATTCTAATCATCCAGGTGTACTCATTGGTCATCGCTATGTGCTTACATCCAGTCGTTGTGTTGAAGGGAAATCTATTCCTCAATCATGGAAACTTACTCATGTCCGACTAGGAGAATGGAATTTAAATACAGTCGTAGATTGCGACGATGAATATGTCTACGATAAAGTTTGTTCTGATCCTCCAATTAATGTGAAGATATCTGAGATAATTCCACATCCACAATATTATCCTAATGACAAAAATCAATACAATGACATTGCATTGTTGAGATTAGAGAGCGAGGTGCAATATAGTGATTTTATCAAACCCATTTGTTTGCCATTTGAATCTAAAATAAGAGGAAGTTTGTATGTTAAGGAGGTATAGACACACTTGAATTTGCTATGAAGTCTTTTTTAAATATTTTTTTTTTATTTTTTAAGATCCTTGAGGTTGCAGGATGGGGTATGCTTATTTATTCTTTTTTAATGGTTCTCTGATATTTTTTTATTTTTTAAAGCCAAAACGGAGAAGCCATCCTCCACAAGCACTAAGTTGAAATCCCAAGTTGAAGGTATGGCAAATGATCAGTGCAATCAAGCTTATAAGAATGAGCAAAGGCAAATTAATAGCAACACTCAAGTAAGAATGATTTTTAGTGGTGTATTCAGGGGAGGTGGAGTTGATATTCAAGGAAGAGTCGCAAGGATGTTTCTATAAAAAGTCAAGAACAAGAGTTTATTTGGGATTTTTGGAATTTATTTATGGCTCGTGGTTTGATCTACAGCCCCTTCAGAATGCACCACTGTTCACTAACAGAGCTTAAAGTTAACAAGCTTGAATAGACTCTTGATCAGAGTCGACTTCAAGCTCTTCTTCCTGATATTTATTAAAATGTCATTAATTAAAAATTGCTTTTAGATTTGTGCAGGAAAAGCAAAGGAATTCAAATGGTATGTAAAATTTTAGAAATATCGTAATTTATGAATAATAATTTTTGGTTTTCTAACCTACAGCCGCAGTGATTTAGGTAAGATCAATAGAAATGATTTCTTAAAATTGTGTATTTTAAAAAAATATATTTTAGGCGGTCCATTGATGAAAATAAATTATGAAGGAAGCCCACCTTACTATTATGTCGCTGGAATTATGAGTTCTGGTATGATTAATATCTTTTTTCAAGAGGATTTATTTTTTAACAGACTATAAAATTGACAATAGATCCATCACTTTGTGAACCAACAGGAAAACCAGGTAAATATTTTGATAAATTAACAGTAGAAAGCAAATCCTCATAATAAGGCTGTATGCAGTCGAATGAACTTTACTAGCGTTGACTATAAATACAATATCTTATTCAGCTTTGCTTTCTGATTGACAGAATTATGAAATATGATATTTTTTTTATTCTAAACTAGCTATCTTCACACATGTTGGAAACTACCTCGACTGGATTCAAGCAACTATAAAGCCATAATATTCCTATTAAGTTATCTAAGTTGCAAGGTAAAATTAAAAAATAGTAACATTTTGATAAACATCATTTGTGAATGCCCCCCAAACCTAGACTGCTCATCTTGACTTCAAAACAATTTACAACGAAAAGACACAACAAAAGTTTCGAACATAAGTTTTTGTGTTTATTTCTTTTCAGATCAACTGACCTTGAGGAAATTCTAGCTATTGTCAGCATATATGGATGTTGAACAATATTTTATGTATTATTTTATAATAACTGTTAAATGTAGCAACAAAAATACGATAGATTAATAAACTTAAGCTAGAAACTAGAAGCAGCAATTAGCATTCAATGAACTTGTTTTAAACACACTAATGACATATAACTTGTGCCTTTGACAAATTCTTGGTAATTTCCGATAACTTGTTTATTTTATTTTTTTTGTCGCTCAGAGAACTTGTCTGGACATCTTCAAGTTTCTCAGAGATTATTGAGTAAATCTTGATTTTTCTTAAATTCATAATCGATACTAAGTCAGTCGTGAGAGAGCAGTCGTTGCGTTTAAACCTTATCTCACATGTGATTGGCGACAAAAAGGCCAAAATCAAGCTTTTTTTCTTCTTCTTTAATCGTCTTGAAATAAACTTAAGAATAAGATGTTGAAGATAACATTATTTTTACCACTCATTGTGTGCACATTAAGTGTTGTTTCGGCACGTAAGTGATAAATTTATATAGCTAATAAGTGACTATACAAGCTACAAAGTTTCCTTGATAACCTTTAAACTTTAGGTTTTTTTGACAGTTTTATTTGTTTACTAAAAATATTTTTACTTTCATATTCCACAACCGGCACATTTCTAAAATAGAAACTTCATTCGGTCGTTGCTTCACCCCCGACGAATACCGTGGCAATTGCGTTTATTTCAAGTCATGTCAGTCATTATTTGAGCTATCAAAAAAGAAGCCACAAGATAATCGAGATCGTCTTTTTATTACACTAAGTCAGTGTGGATTCCGTGATGGTCAGCCACTTGTGTGTTGTAAGGATGTCCCTCCACCACCACCACCTACTGAAGCACCAACAACAACACCAGCAGCTTTAGTAATTTCGACAAAAGACATTCCTAAACCTGGCGAGTGCGGTATCGACTTTGAGAATCGTATTTATGGTGGAAATAGGGTAAATAATTAAGAAATATTGGTTTGGGATGAAGGATAAAATTTATATCTGGATGTGACAGGGATTTATGCCTTCATAATATATGTGATAACGTTGCATTGTTATTAAAATTGTGGGAAATTTGGTTTTGCTCATCAAAAGAATTGAAAATTTTATAAGCTTCAAATTAGATTTGAACTTCCATTAATGACTAAATTGGGAAATTTGAATAGATAGAAATTCAAGCGCAAACAAGTTCCATCGCTTGATAAGTCAAATAAATTTTTTCAAATATGTTAGATTTGGCAGTAATGACAAAAATCTGCGTTTGATCATCTGATGGGTTAAAAATCAATAGTTTTCCAATCGAAACTTTACAAAATAATGCCATTCAATGGATTTAGCAGACACAAGTCTCCTCATATAAATATTATTTTAAATTCAACTCAGGCTCTTACTTACTATATTCAAAATTCAGAATGACCTTTTCATGATATTTTATTTTTAACTCAACAAAATAGACAGAAATCGATGAATATCCATGGATGACATTGTTGGGATACTCCAAACGTAAGTAAACTCAATGAATTTATTATTCAAAATTTTATTCTCAATCAATTCTTTTATAAATTTTACAGCACAGAACAAAAGAGGTATTTTGTATATTATTTTTAAATTCTTAATCAACTCAGCATTAACTCGTTTGCTTTAACTCTGTTGAAAAAATCAATTAGGTTTCCATTGTGGAGGTAAGGAATTGATTCTTATTGATTTATTGACCCAAAGATTAATTTGAAATTTCAATTATTCAGGTGTTCTCATCAATCATCGTTATGTACTTACTGCAAGGTATGTGTAATTTAAAATTGTGTTGCGCAGGATGTAACTTAAGCTAATGGCTCTTAGAGCTTATACCCTCAAATAAATTGATGTCTGTCAATAATCTGTCTATTTCAGTCATTGCGTCAACGGTAAGGATATCCCACAAACATGGACATTAAGTCACGTTCGTCTTGGTGAATGGGACACAGCTCAAGAAGAGGATTGTGATGACTCATTTAAAAACGAAAGAGTTTGTTCACCACCGCCAATTGATGTTAAAATTATTGAAAGAATTCCACATCCAGAATATGATCCTTATAACAACAATCAGTTTAATGACATTGCAATGTTGAGATTAGAGTATGATGTGCAATACACAGACTATATAAAACCAATTTGTTTGCCAATTGATCCAACTCTTCGAGGCAATGATTTTATTAAGCAGGTATGCACACTGTTTATTATGAGATTAAATTTTTATTTATTTATCAATATTTACGACTTTTTAGACACTTTCTGTAGCTGGATGGGGTAATATAAAATAAATTAAGATATTTTATAGCACCTACTTTATTTATTATCATAATATAGGTAAAACTGAGAAGCTTTCCGCATCGAATCTCAAGTTGAAGGTCAATGTTGATGGTGTATCGAATAATGATTGCAATCGTGTTTACAACAACGAACAGAGACAGATCATTGACACTCAAGTGAGTTGATTATTATGGATGGAAGTCAACGAGATTCTAAATGTTGATTGTTTTAGGTATGCGCTGGTGGAAAGAAGGGACAGGACAGTTGGTGAGTTGAACTTTATGGAAATATTTTACTTGCTGATTTGTTGAATTTGATATCGAATTATACAGTCAGCAAATGACCATTATTCCCAATTAACTGTTCATAGTCATTGATAAAAAAAATTAACCATTGATATCCTTTTATCTTTATAGTCGTGGTGATTCAGGTATGAAAGCTTGATGATTTATTTTGGTAAGTTTTAATAATTGGAATTTGAAAATTATCTAGGCGGTCCATTGATGAGACAGAATGAGAGAGGAAACCCACCATACTGGTATTTGGCTGGTCTTGTTAGTTATGGTATGTCATGGCTAGTAATTGTAATAGAAGATTTTAATCCTATTTTGTCAAACTTTAGGTCCTTCACCATGCGGATTAGAAAATTGGCCAGGTCAGTATTTGTTGTAAAATTATTAACTTTGCTAGTCGAAAGGACTCTAAAATTCACCTTATTAAGAGTATCTCGCTGATTTTTATCCCTGAAATATCATCAATAATTACTAATTTTATTTATTTCAATATTCAAACCCTATCAGGAGTCTACACACGTGTTGGAAAATACATCGAATGGATTGAAGATACGATTCAACCATAAATAAAATTCAAACAAACTGGAATCAAGTGATAACTAGACAAGCAAATAAATTCTATGAACTAAAATAAATATTGCAAAATCAAACCTGATTAACTTGTAATTTTTGGAGAAATCCCCACATTACGTAAGCGAATGAATAAAATGCTGTCAAAATGTTTATTAATAAAAATGTTGTCTAGTTTTGTTTTTATTTCCATAATTTAAATACGATCTTAATGTGATTTATGAGCAATGGTTAAGGTGAGGTTAATGATCTGAATTAATTATGAAAGTCAGAAATTCAAATTTTTTTAAAAATCTGAGAGGCAATTTTCATATTTTATTGGACATTTAAATTTGAATGATTTTTCATTTCACATCAGTTTCACAGTTTTGATCATTTTTAAGAATTAAATATCTTTAAAAAAAGCATTGATCATCTGGGTTTGGTTAATTATGTATAAGGTAACCATCTTGAAGAGAATATGTCGGAAACATTTACCGCCTGTTTCACTAAATTGGATTATCCTCGATTTCTGATTATCCACTTCAGTTTTTTGGAAATATCTCCAGACGATTAGGGTTTTTAAGAGATCTAACGTATGATCTACTTAGAGTACTTTGCTACTTAAATTAACATATACTTAGAATTTTTATATTTTCATTAGTTTAAGAATTAAAGCAAAAATCGAAGTTAATCTACTAGATTTGGCTAGAAAATTGAATAATTAATAGTTCTTAACGAAAAGTAAAAGTTTAAAGTACACAGAAATTTCAGGCATAGTTCACTCTATTATAATCCAAAATTAGAAATACCACACCTCCTATTAAGTTTAAGATATTTACAAAAAACTGAAGTAGATAATCAGAAATAGAGGATAATCCACTTAAGTGAAACAGGTCGTTAAGGTTTTTGAGGTAATTAAATCTTTCCTAGACGGTTATTTTTATCAATGTCTTATTTGGCATTTTAAGTTGACCTGTTGTTAATTTTCTAAACAAGTTTTAAGCTGTACAAATGCAAAATCGAAAATATTTTCACTAAGTCTGCATCTTCACTTTTCTGGCTACATCCTTGCGAACTCATTTGCCTTCTTTTTACTATGCTCGTAATTTTTATAAGTTTCAGAGCTATTTTCTGCGAGCTGTGAAAGAAGTCTCTTATCTACATGGCATTACTAGCCTGGAGATTTGACTCCAATGTACTATTTTATTTTAAAAATTAAATTTATCATTGGGCTCGTTCACTTATTACGTAACGCAAAAAAACGAGTTTTTAGACCCCCCCTCCCCCCCTGTAACAAAGCGTAACAAAATCTTAGACCCCCCCTCCCCCCCTCCATAACGTAACAATAATTTTTTTCATTAAAATTGTTTATCAAATGTTTATTATACTTCCTTTAAGTACATATGTAAAAGTAAATAGAAGGAAAGCAATAAAAAAATATATTAATCGTTTACATCCATATTATTAACTAAACGCAAAAAACTCATAAGTTTTGTAATCATTAGTCGTTTTCCCAAATTGGTTGAAAATGATCTTCAACTGCAAATACATTTTGATATTCAACAATAATATCAGTATTTGCACGTTCCTCTTCAATATCCAAGTTCTCAGCTTCTACCCAATCCAAATCCTCTTGCAATTGTACTAATACTTCTTTTTCACGTCTGCATATTACTTTTCTTGGTTTTTTCTTAGTATTAACTATACGTTTGTGAATAATTTTTCGGTGATTCTAAAAAGTTCTTAAGTTAAAATTTAACGATAAAAAAATTTAAAATTAATATAGAAAAAATATATTTTTTGAAAAGTTACGTAACAAAATTTAGACCCCCCCCCTCCCCCTGTAACAAACCGTAACAAAATCTTAGACCCCCCCTCCCCCCCTAGTGCGTTACGTAATAAGTGAACGAACCCATTTATTAATTGCTTGATTTTTTTTTTTTATAAAACAATAGCTGCGACTCTATACAAGCAAATTCAACTCCTCAAATCCGATTCAACACTCAACCAAAAAAAATACAACATCACGTTCTAAAACCACTTAAAATTCCTGTTAATTTACTATGTTTGCACTTCTTCGGACTTGAAATATATTCTCTTCAAAAAATTCCCGACACTCAATTCTTCTTGGCTAATTGAGCTGATAATGTCTCTACTTTAGACGACAGAGAAATTGTTATTCTCATAATTTATTATCAAACAAAGCTTTATTCTCATAAAAATAATATTTAAAATCCTCCATCTAGTCAATACCGACGTTCAGTCTCTTGTTATAACTTGAATTTGTAACATCTTGTGTCATATTCTCTCCAACAAATTTGCGGTTTTTGTTTGAAGAGTCAATTAGTCGTAGAGAAAAAATCCAGTTTATCGGGTTATTCTTCTTCTACAGTTCATATAAATTACATATCAAGAACCATGACAAAAGCGTTATTTTCTTTATTATTGTTTACAACGGTGCTTATCTATAATGTTGTGGAATCACGTAAGTGTCATGACCTTTCATATTTTTTTTTGTCGCTGTATAGCTTCTTTTTGTGATCTTCTTGCTCATTTTTTTACTTCTTAAAAAAATCAGAATCATTTTTCTCTTCTTCTCTCCAGAATTCAATCGATGCTCAGCTAGTGAGTCTTGCATACCATTCAAAGATTGTGAGCCATTGAAGAGATTGACTGCGGCGGGTCGATTAACACCAGAACAAACAGCAATGCTTAGAAGTAAGCAATGTAATTCAATAAATCGTGTTGCTTATGTTTGTTGCGAAGGAAATATTCAGAAAGCTAATATACCAAGACCGCCTACCTGTGGAACACTTTTTGGTGATAGGGTGAGTAGTTTCATTAAATTTGGGTTTTGACTCAATTCTGTGCTAGATTGGAAAGTTTTCATTGCCGACCCAAATTTTTGAAACGTTTTCAGCTTCAAATATGAAAATCATAATTTATGAATGATCCCAAAGTTGTTCACTTGTTGAATGATCATTGAACCTTAGTTCTAAGCCTAGGGGTCGTTTATTTATGACGTCCGAAATTAACAGTAATTTTTCAAAAAAGAACAATTGATTTCCTGGAACTTCTATTGTTCTTTTCTTGTTGACCCCTCCCCCCCCCCCCCTGGACGTCACAAGTGAACAGCCCTCAATTAAATCGAAGAAACGTTATAACATTAAGTTATCGGCTTATATGTATGAAGTATTATTAAGGCTACATTCAAAGATCCAGATTATGTTGACAACTGAGTTATTTTTTACAAAACAATTGTTAATGTCATGAGAATAATTCATGCTTGCCTTGACATCTTTTAATTTCTTTAATTCTTTTAATCACATGATTATTAATCATCAGAATTCTTTCAAGTCGTTGGTTTGGGAAAATCCCAGAGACTCAAATGTGTAAAATTCTATTTCTTTTTTTGTAGATTTTTGGAGGTGAAGAAACTAGTCTGGATGATTTTCCATGGATTGCACAGATCCAGTATTCGAAACCACAGAATAAAATTGGTAAATTTCAGTAACTTGACAAACTCTCAAATTCCTAATAATAAAACTTTTCATCCTCTTAGCAAGTCATTGTGGTGGAAGTTTGATCAACGATCAATTCGTCCTAACAGCAGCTCATTGTGACCGCAAAGTTCCTAAAACATGGAAAATTATTCAAGTTCGTCTTGGTGAGTGGGACACAAGAATGAATCCTGACTGTGTAGATTATGTAAATGAACGAGTCTGTGCTGATCCTTACATTGAAGTTCCTGTATCTAAAGTTATTGTCCATCAAAGTTATGATCCAGAATCTCGTAATCAGCCCAATGATATTGCTTTACTGAAATTAAACAGAAAAGTCCAGTTTACTGAATGGATCAAGCCAATTTGCTTGCCAGTTGACTTTAGTGTAAGAAATCTTGACTTTTCATCTCATGCACTTGAGGTTGCTGGTTTTGGAAAGACTGAAGCAGAAAATGCAAGTCCTGTGAAATTGAAAGTCGCGTTGAATGGAACGCCACAAAATGACTGCCAAAATTATTATGCTCGACAAGGTGTTCAAATTGCAAGCTCTCAGGTTTGTTGAATAGATTCAGAATTTCAATTTTTTAACTGACAATTTTGCTTTTATTAGATGTGTGCTGGCGGTGAGGAAGGAAGAGACAGTTGGTAAGTTTCAACATGATTTTAGATTCCATGAAAATTTTATGATTTTGCAACTTCTTTTTTGAATAGTAATGGAGACTCTGGTGGGCCATTGATGAAGTATGGAACATACCCAAATTCGCAAACGTCTTACTACATGCTTGTTGGAATCGTTTCATTTGGACCAAAGAATTGCGGAACTAAAGATATTCCTGGTAAGTTTTCTTTGGTTGATTAAAAACTTTATTGAGGATTTTATTTTTTTTTTGTAAATTTTTAGGAGTCTACACTCGAGTCTCGGAATACATTGACTGGATCAGCACTAATGCTGTATAATTTTGTGACTGAAAATGCTCACTAAATGACTTAAATAAATGATTAATTTTGGTTTTTTTATATTGAATTTTGCTCGGTTTTTTCAATTGTCAAATGTGGCTTAAAGCAGTTGAGTTTAATAATTTTCAGAAATTTCTTAAACTTGATTGATTTTTCGAATTTTTTAAAAAGTAAGATTAAAAATAAATCCTTTGACTTTAATGTAAATCGTGTCGCAGTTTGAAGCTTTATTTTCATTGGAATCCAAGCTTATTTTCAAGCTTTGAATAAACGTTAAACTGATTTGTTGTAGAAAAGTTTTAAAATATATTTTTTGGTAAAATTTTGAAATTTTTTTTTTCTGATTTTTCAATTAGAAAAAATTAATTAAACTAGGAATGTTAAAATTGAAACTTTATATATTAGAAATTGTTTTAAAAAATTTAATTTGTAATAAATATTTCAAAATGATTAATCATTTTTTCATAATTTTAAAAATTGCTGAAGTTACTAATTTGATTTTACAATGAAATCATTTTTAAAAATAATTTAAATAATTTGCTTTTTCATCCGTTTTTAGTCAAGATGTTCATTTTTTTATAACATGAAAATTAAATATTTATCAAAGATAGGCAAAAAAACGAGAGAATAAAGCAAAAGCAAGAGCAAATTAAATACGAGAGAGCTACTCAATATAATTCAATTGGAATAAGAGATTTGAGAGCAGTAGTTTGTGAACGATCGTGAAGTAAAGTCTACAAAAAATTTTTGGGCAAAGTTTAATAATCAAGCATGCATGATTGTTTGTATATTGTTGAATAGCTGATGTGTTAAGTATTTTAATTTTTTGTCTGGTCTTATAATTAATAATGGATTTTGAAGAAATTTAATTGCTAGGCTATTTGCTTGGTATTCTTGAGGATTATTCCAAATTTTTTAAAAAAATTTGTCTTTGACTTTAATTTTAAATCCAAATATGGATTTATATTTTCAAATAACGTTTAATTTTTTTTAAACACCTATAACATTGTTATATGTTCGAACAGACTTCCCAGAGTTGAAAAACTGAATTTAAAATTGATTTTTGATATTTAACCTTTTTGAATTTAAATAAAATCATTCAAATTCACACAAATATTAATATATAACCAGTAAAACTAATGAAGTTTTATTGCATCAGCTACTCAACCTACATTCAATATGACATTTGAAACAATCGCGTCAGATTTTTCGGGTCAAATTTCAATAAAAGTAAAAATAATTTATTTTAATAGTGTTTATTTAAAAAAAAAAGTTTCATTTGATAATGAAAAGATTACAACCAAGTCAGTAAATCTAAAAGGCTAAATAATCATTTATAAAATTGTGCTGTGTAAAAAGTTAAAAATTCAACAAATCTTCAAAAGCAAAATGATTAAAGTTTTAAGAAAACGATTGTATCATAAGCAGGAAATATTTGAAATATGAGTTGGAGTGCATTATATCAAATCGTCTGGCAATTCAACGAATTCAATAAGGTTAAAAAAATAAAAAGATATCAATCATTAGATAATAAAAATCATAGATAATGATCATTGCCCTGTAAAAACAAAATTTTAAATCATTTTATTTTTAACTTTTATCCTTGAGACTTGGGGTAAATGTCCGAGCGTGACTTTTTTAACGAATATCTCTCATGATTAATAAATTAAACATACGCAAATTGAAGGCGTATATAAATAAAAAGATGGGGAGTAGGTTGATAAATATTGCGCATCAGCTTTAAATGGTAAAGATCACTTTTTAAATGAAAATATTTTTCAAAATTAAGAAAATCTTCCAATTTTTTTTTTCACATAAGCTGAATACAAGTTTTAAGGTTCCAATTTGATTCATATTATATGAATTTTTCAATTATTCATTTAAAATAAATTGCTGACTTAATATTAAATTTACTTATTTTGTATTCAAATTATATAGCGAAATTCATTGAATTTCAAGTAAACATTCGTCGTTTGTATTGCAAATTCTTATAAACATACATGCTTGCAAATGTGAGAGTATAAAACATTCAACAATCATAAAGCTAGCGCGTTTTTTTAATGAATTAAGCAGAATTAAGAAGCATTTTTAATAAAAAAAAACCCCTAGAAAAATAAAAGTAGACGTGGATGGATTTGTCCCTTCAATCCCAATCTTGCCTATGCGCTCTCATTATTTATTTTAATTTTGACAGTCTCATATCATAATTAATTTTGAAAGTGATGAAAAGTAAAGTGCCAACATTTCAGTGACATATCAAAAATCCAAATTTCAGTAAGTTTATTCAAGAGTTTCAAAAACATTGTCAGTTAATAATAAATTTTAAGAATTTTAGTTCAATTTTCACAGGAATTTTTACAGTTTTAAACGTTTTTGATGCAGGATTTTTTTATGCAGTCTGAAGGAGTTAAATAGAAACTTTTAAACGAATAGCACAGGTCGGCTAATCGAAAAGAAGTCAGGCACCAAGCTGGAATAGTGTTGGATTGGATTTAACTTGCACCTTGCAAGAATCACACTGAATTGGTTCCGATTTTTTTAAATATTAAATTGTTTTTATGGGGCTACTCTTCGGGAGGTGACATCAGAAGTATCGAGTCTTATTAAAGCGAATCAACTTGTGCTAGTGTAATGCTTATGTGGCTGAGTGGTTAAGCATAAATATTTATTTAAGGATATGGATTCAATTGACACCAGGGACCAATTTTATCAATCACCAAACTAAAGTTTTTAAACTTTACAACTTTGAATGGTGCGGAAATGAACAAAATGATCAAAAATTATCAAAATCTAATTTATCAGTTCCACATCTTGACAATTATTCGCACACAAATAATATATATATATATATATATATATATATATATATATATATATATATATATATATATATATATATATATATATATATATATATATTTAAATTGTTTTTAGGCTTGATGCTGTCGAAAGACGACCAAAAAAGGAAGATATAATATAAATATGCAAAAAAAATTCCTGGATTGGCAAGAAGATTAGCTTTTCTTTTTAGCTTTTGCTATAACATTTATTGTATCTTAATTTTAAAATTATACTTGAAATAATATTTTAAACATTTTTTAAATAAAGAATAATTTCGAAAAAAAACAACAAATTACATAGAAAATTAAAAACTTAATTCCAAGAAAAGGTGAATCAATTTCTGACTTCAAACTTTTCCAAAGAAACATTTTAATTTTCTAATAACTCGAGATTAATTTGTACAAAGATTTTTTATTATAAATGCAAGTAGTGAGCAAGGTTTTAAAGTTATATTTAATTAGCTTAGAGAATGTTTAGAGTAGAGTCAAATCAGGTTTCCACATTCAATGGCATGACTTCAAGTTACATAATTTAAATTAACTTAATTTTTGTTTGACAAATGCGTTTTATTATAAATTCAATTTAGAATGATTTTGGCTTAAAACTATTAAATTTAGGTTTCTAATAGCCTTTTATTAAAAATTAGATAGATTCATAAACCTCAGTAATAGCATGACATTTCAAAAATGCAATCAAGTAAAGACGTCTTAAAAGAATGTTTTGTATTTTCCGGAAAAGCAAAATAACGAAAAACAATTTTTAAGAATTTTAAAATTTACGAATGTTCATTTTTACGACAATTTTTATGATAAAAACTCATAGGATATAATTTGAATCTCAAAAAAACGTTAATTAAATCAATATTAAAAGACAATTAACATTAATTTCATTATTTAAATGCGATTAGTTATGATATAATAATTATTATAAGATGAAGGATTAATAGAACTACAAAAAGATTTGCATTTATTTAAACGTGTAATATTTTTTCTTATTTTATGGGTAATTCCATGAAAAAAATTTATAACAAAATAAAATTTTTATAGAAAAAATATTTCACATTCAAATAAATGCAAATCTTTTTTGCAGTTCTATTAATCCTTTATCTTTTATTAATTATTGAATCATGTCTAATCGCATTTAAATGATGAAATTAGTTTTGATTGGCTTAATATTTGATTTTATCCAATGGTTTTTTGATAATCAAATTGTATCCTATAAGTTTTTACTATAAAAGTTTTTGTAAAAATGTACATTCGTAAAATTGAAAATTCGTAAAAATGGTTTTTCGTTATTTTGCTTTTCGGAAAAAAAACACTCGTCTAAAAAATTTTAAAATATTAAGTGAGAATCAGATATCGAAATTGCTTAGATCGGTGGCTTACATAAGCCGTTTTGTAAACTTCGGCTTTACCGAACATTTTCTAATGATTCAAATATCATAAAGTTTATACTATTTGAATCATTAGAAAATGATCGGTAAAGCCGAAGTTTACAAATCGCCTTAAAAGTCGGCAGCTTCGATCTCTGGTGAGAATTGAGAATTTAGAACAGGATTCAGTCATCATTTAGATAAAAAAAAAACTTATTAAATTGGATGTGATATTTCAATCATGAGACAAAGGAAAATTTAACATTAAGTGTTTTTTATGGCACAGCATTGAAATTATGAATTCAAATTCTCATTTTTGGTACTTCTTTTTGGCTAAAATAAGTAAGCATTAATAGAAACTCAAAGAATTTAATGCAAAGTTTTATTACCTTCGACAATTATGCGCACAGTTTCAGCATAATCGCCATTGCAGGCATCAAGTAATGCATGGTATAGTAAATGAATATCAAAACCATAGTCATTAACTAAGGATTCAACAATGGAATCTAAAAATATATTCATTAAGAATTTGATGATTTCTAATATTTAAAATATTCATACCACGAGATGCTTCAATAACTGTAATTTCGAGCTGAGATGAGGGCGTGTCAGTAGAACTGAAATTATTTATTTCGTTCATATTTTCATCAACACAGATCACTGGAAGGCTTTCAATGTATGAAGATGCAATTGCTGGTTCATCGTCATTGTTTACTGCATCTGTAAAATATGCTTTCTCGCTATCGGGATCGGGATCGGGATTTCCCGGGATTTACCGATCCCGATCAATCCCGGGATCCCGAAATTTATCGGGATCGGGATTGAAAATCCCGGTTTTTTAGTTTAGGAAATTATTGATGTTTTAGAACCTGCTAAATATGAAGGAACAATTAACTTTTTGCTAGACGAATTGTTGCTACAAGGAACATTATTGTCTCAAAAGGTTTACGATATGAATTGCGCTCGCATAGGTGTACGAAGAAATGGAACATTAATTGACTTAATACTTTACCTCAATATATTTCTTTAGACAAGCATTTTAAATCGTCAACAAAAGCTGCAATACATAAACTTGGCAATGACTTATTGAAGAAGTATTTTGTCAAAAACTCTACAAATGGAGCTATGGAAGCTTCAACATCCAGTGCAAATCAAATCCAACCGTCAAACATTTCTATTCGAGATAGACTGAAACTAAGCATATCTGAATATACATCATTAACAACAGATGCAGCAGCAACAGAACCAAATAACTTGAAAAGAGAGTTTAATTGGTATGACAAAAATAAGAAGAGAACCGTTTTGTTAGATCAACTTTACGATGCATTGATAACAATGCAGCCGACCTCAACTCAAAGCGAACGAAATTTCTCTATTAGTAACAACATTTTTACAAAACAAAGAAAACGTTTACTTGACAAGAATCTAAATGCAATTGCATTTGTTAAAAGTTTTTTCATTAATGCTTAATTTTTATTATTATATTCACACCGTTTTCTTTAACCTTTAAACTTACATCTTTATCAACATTTATTTTCTATTTTTGTTTATGCTCACATTTTTCAAAGGAAACATGGATTAAAACTCTACCTTGTAACACATAAAGTATAACTAATTAATTAAGGAATAAATGACCGTATAAGTAGCAAAAAAATATATAATTTTTTTTTGGGAAAAAAGCAGAAAAATGCTGTTTTTTAAATTTTTTTACATATTCGGGATTCCCGGGATTTCCCGGGAAATCCCGAAAAATTTCAATCCCGATCCCGATCCCGAAAATTTGTCGGGACCGGGATTTCGAGAAAGCATACTGTAAAAGACATGAAAAAAGTTATTAAGTACAAAATGAAGTTCATGCAAAATTTTCTAAAGCACCTCTTGTCAAATCTTTGAAATAATCATCCAAGTTGCTCTCGATGAAGGTTTTAAGTGTCATTGATGTTTCATTAGCTGTGATTCGAACTGAATTTGATTCAGTGCGTGTGTCCTGAGATGAGTGAGCTGGTTGATTAGTTTGAGGTGCATTCTTCTTCTTGCGATGGTCTTTTGAAGTCTGAACTTTTTTGGCATTCTTGCTGCATTCCTGACATTTGCAAAATCTTAATTGACAATTGCTGCGGTGTCCTTTTTCAAGAACATCGATGTTATGGTTAGCGCAGAATCGACAGAACTTTGGGTTTCTGACGAGTTTTCTGTTCTTGAATAATCTACTCATCATTGCTTGTTAGTGAATATTTCGTCAGAAATATTTTATATTGTCAAAATCTGAAAATATATTTTTTTGTTAATATTTGGATTAGATAAAACTAAAGACGTCTTTATAAATGATTTATTGCGTTTTTATATTAAATTGTGCGAAAACAATGAATCATGTTCATAAATGTTATCAAAACCTTGATTAAAATTAACGGATTTTAAAAATTCAAACTGTTATCCTTATCAAATGCATAACACAAAAATGTTATAATCAGGAGTGATTTTTTTTTTGATTTTTTTTTCCATAACTTCGCAATTAATTTTTTTTAAAATATTTTTATTTTCCATAAAATAATAAGTTCCCAGAAAGTTATAGAAAAATTATTTTTAAAAGATTTAAATGTTTAATGCCTGCTAGCAAAAAATTATGCTTTTCTCTGGCTTTGAAATAATAGTCCATACCTTGGCACTCTACAGAGGTGTTGCCAAAAATTTAAAAGGGGACTTTGATTTATTTCCATTAAAAACCCTTAGCAATTTTAAATAATTTTTTTGTTTAAACCAAGAAGTGAGATTTTCAAAGATTTTGGCGAGAAGTGAGATTTTCAAAGATTTTGACAAATTTCCACTCAGCCACGCCACCATAGAATTTTCTAGTAAAGAATTGATACTGTGTTAATATTAATTATTGTGAGTTGTGTTAATTAATTTTTCGAGAATTTTAAAATTAAAATGAAATAATTGAAAACAAAAAAATTAAAGTTTTTTTGAACTAAGTTAAACTTCGTAAAAAAATTATGAAAAAAATCTCAAATTTGTAAAATAATTACAAATTTCTTGCAAAAAATTTCAAATTAAAAAAAAAACTCACTTCATGTTAAAAAGTTTTCAAGAAAATAATTATTAAAATGTTTTAAAATTTCAAAAAAATATTATTAATTGAAATTATTTAAACTTTCCATATTCGCACCACTCACACAAGTTGTCAGCATAGGAATTTTTATATTCACACCGTTTTCACGTGTGAATCTATTGGTTTTGTTCAGATTGAAAAATCAGTTTTTTGAATTTTGTGAGGATATGGAGCAAGATAGCTTAAAATGTTCAGAGATGAAAAGTTTGTGCCTTGAATTTCACATCTTTTGCAAAAACAGATTTCAAATTGGTTGCGGCATTGCTGAAAAAAAAATCGCAAAATATGCTTTCTGTAAGCAAGCAAACAAGCAAACAAGCAAGTTAATAAGCAAGAAATCTCAACAACGAGACATTGTAGAGACTTCTAGTTTTTTACATTTGATCCATGCTGCTCTATAGAAGAGCTGTATTGTTTTTAGGCAAGGTAGGAACAGCCGTTGCTTCAGAAAAAGCAAAAAACTTTCCTTTCTTACGAATTTTTCAAATTAAAAGTTCACTGTGATTTTTTTTTAAATTAAACTTTGGATGAAAAAAAATTTTTGAAACTTTGCATAAATATTCTAATGCTTAAAACAAATACAAATAAAACATCCTAAAATTTTTTTGAGCAAAGAACCAAATAGGAAATCAATTTTCAATTTTGGACTAGGGGCGACCCTAGTCAAAATCAATTTTCTCACTTTTTTCATCGAGGGTTTATCCAAATGGATTGAAACTTTGCATAAATATGCATAAATATTCTAGTGCTTAAAACAAATACAAATAAAACATCCTAAAATTTTTTTGAGCAAAGAACCAAGTAGGAAATACATTTTCAATTTTGGACTAGGGGCGACCCAATTTTCATCTTTTTCCCCTTTTAGCTTTGAAAATTTTAATTTTTTTATTTTTTTTTTTAATAAACCAAAGCAAATCGTTGATAATTATTCTTTAAAGTGACATGTTTTGTTTTAATATTCACTTAGATTTTTTTTTTGCATATTTAATAAAAATTTTAATGATTCACTTATTTTTATTCAACTTACTCGATATTCTTTTTTTTTTCACCGGTTGTCTTTTTTTTAAAATAATGTTTCTAATTTTTTAAAATCTGCTGGATTTTTGGAAAAAATAACTTTTAAGCACGGATCTTCAAGTATCTCCCAAAAAATAAATTTAATTTTTAAATCCATCCACTGATCACTAAGTGTACTGAATTGATTGACCACTGAGGAGCAAATGTGAGTATTCCATTGAATATTCGACGTTCTCTCTGTTGAATGTTTTTCAACTCATACATTCTCAATTCCTTGATCAAGCGAGGAGAAAATATTGAAGGGGTATTGGGGCAAAAACACAAATAAACGCTTTGAATAAATGTTGATCTAATTTATAAAATTCAATTTTCGGACATTTTTTGCTATTTTTAATTGCACTCAATTTTCATACTAAATAAATTAAGAAACAAAAATATTTTTGAATGATTTTGCAAGGGTGTGGAACTGAAGAATTACACTTTGATCATTTTTGAACATTTTTGAACATTTCATCAGTACCACACCCTTTTGATTTTGTTTTAATTTTGTGAATGCTTTTGAAAAACATGTTAATAATCACAAATGGAATTGCCCCAAAGAGTATATATATATATAAATAACGTGTGAAGGGCCCAGCCTTTCAGCTGGAGGCACTGCGATTCAAATTAGAACAGAATCTATTGTACCACACCCTTTAGACCTACAGTTTATAGTGGGATCCGAACCACTTGCAAGCTCTGTACATTGCAAAGACACGAGTACGTCATAAGACCTGATGTACCTTGCAATGTACCTAGTCACAATCCGTGTGCGCAAGATGCCGTAAGGAAGTCATCCAGATGCTAGTATATCCTTGTATACCTAGCAAAGGAGGCATATTCTATGCCAAAGACATCAATACTACACCCAACACACGAACCGAGCTTCGTAACTAGAACGGTGAAATGGAAAAAGAGCTTCGAAAATTAGACATGGCCTGGGATTGAACCCAGGACCTTTGGCAAAAGAGTATATAGTAAAGAGTTAATAGCAAAATTACACTTGCTATTAGTAAAGGGACGTTTGAAGCTGTGTGTTAGTTGAATGTTTTGCCTTGAATTTCGCCATCATGTAAGACATTACGGAAACATGCTGAAGAACATTGAATGATGACGCGTAGATTGAAAACCAGCAAACAATAAAAAACGTCTCTCTTTCCTTCTTCTTTCATCTCATACCCGATATATGTATATAACGAAACATTTTCAGATAGGCAGAGACTAATCAATAAATAATTATTTTAAAGTACGCACAGTTTATGTCCTAAATTTGCACTTTATCAAAAACGGTTGATGCACATGACAATTGGACTCATTTCTAGACCCCATAGGATGTATGTGACAATAAATTTCAGTCTCTCTCCTTCATATTCTCACTTCCTTCTATTTAAACACGACCATTTAAGCGACACAACGTTGAATAAGCGATAAAATATAGTAAGCACCTTACTTCCCATTTATTGCGAAATAGCTCTCTTACAAAATGCGAAAGGAAAATCAGTGTCAAGGTCGATTCTTCTTTTTAATATGCGAATCATACACTCTTCCTCATTTCTCTTTGAATTTCTTCTTTAAATTCTTAAACACAGTTGTGTTGGTGCTGGTGCGAAATAATTGTTTGAAAATACTTCCATGTTTATGGCACTTAAACATGATATTCTCCATTTTTTACAAAGTTCATGAAGCATGTCTATTATCTTTATTGTAACCAATCGTGTTTATACCTACCTACAACTTCCCAAAGCGCAGACGTAGCAACCATTATTAAACAATGTACATTATGCTTACATATAGTTGAACAACACTCATTCAAGCTGCTTCTTATTTATTTTATTGAATTCACACATACTCATTGTGTGTGTAGAGCAAGCAATTTTGCGGTAAAATATAAATTATGCAAATCAAGTCAAGAAGAAAAAATTGATTTTGTTCAGTTGGTTACAAAAATGCATGCGGATGCGCAAGGTCATTTTAATGTCACACACACGCGTGTGCGTTACATTCTTATTGCTAGTCTTCATATTTTAGGCGATGAGATCATTCTTTTCTTTCTTGACATTGCGTGATATGCAGCTGCAAAATTTATTTTATGAAAAATCAACTATGGTCGAAATTAGTAATTGTAAATTAATTACTCATCTCCTTATGAACATTACGTTCTGCTAGACATGAGTAAGCCTGATAATTCGACTAGAATCTGAGCACACGCTTTAATTTAGCCCAATTTACGTAAACGGTGGAAGAGTGGGGATGAAATCTGACAATTCTATTCAACTTTTTATAATATAACAATGGTCTAATATTAAATTTACGGTCTAATATTTAATTTTAATTGAAATGTTTAGATCAAGTTAAGTGAAAGCGGAAACGTGAATGATAATGACACATTATATTAAAAAATTAATTTCATACGTTGATAAGGTTGCAGTCATTATCATTTGTAATTTTTCGAATTTCTTCATCATTTCCCGCCAAATGCTATTTGAGAATATTTGCTTTTGACGTGAATTGTTAAGTGATAACGTTAAGCTGGGAAACGAAAGAATTTAATCATGCCATTCAACATAACCCACGTAACCAAAGTATTCCACACATTTTCCATTGACATAGATGGAATATTTATGTACTTTCCCCGAAACAGTACATCATGTATAATTTATGTATTACATGCATGGAATAACCATGTATAGTCCATGAGTAATACATCTATGTAGCACTTTAAAAATCTGGCCATTCAGACAATTAAGAACATTTTTGCAGCATTTTATTTTTTAAAATTATTTGTTTATATTGTGAAAAATGTGTTTTGAAACTTGTTGTGAAGTGAAAATATAATTTAAACTCACAATTTAGATGTGAAAATAATTAATAATTAAATGGAGCAAGAAATGTTGATTGGTGAGTAATCATAGGGAATAAAGTAGAAAATCAATTGGTAAGGTAAGAATAAAATATTAATTTTTAAAGTGTAAAATGTCTACGATGTTTAAACATCTATCTAATATTTTAATCATTGTCTTTCTTAATTCTTTTTTGTTTATTTTTAGGTATATATTTCAGGCAAATTTAATTACAAATTTACAATTTTTCAGCAAATTAATTATATTTTCAAAAATATAGTTCAAAATGTAGTTATATAGAGTTATAATGATAAGTTTTTTCTATGTTTAAATAGGCCTTTTTGATTGTTGTGAGTATTAAATTATGTTATTTTTTAATAAATAAAGTGTTTCACATATATTAGTGAAACTATAATTATAAATATGTGCATTAATTAATGAAAATCCAGCATTTTTTGTTTCAGGCGTTTCAATCCATTTATAGTACACAAAATAGTACAAATGTTTTACATCAATGTACTATACATGGAACGTCCCTAAATTCTTCCATGTTTCATACATGGGTGATCCGCATGTACTATACATGGAAGATTTTCATGTATTACATGTATTATCCATCTAAGGTAATTTGGTTACGTGGGAAGTGATACATAAGTGGTACTTAAATGTACTACATATGTTACACTTCAATGTAATACAGAAGTAATACTCAATATCTTCCCAAATATCGTCCATCTTCATAGGACAATATCATTCCATGGATTATCCATGGATGATACGTATGGACTTTACATGGACTATTTTCGTGTATTACATGTATCATCCATTTACGGGATTTTGGTTACGTGGGAAGCGATCTATAATATTTGATAGTGTTAATTAAATTTAAATATTTTTTGCAAATTTTTATACGCCTACATCCAATTTTCTCATACAGTCACTAGAAGAAAGAGACAATCTTGTGAAAACTGTAATAAAATGCAGAACCGAGCCAAAATGTAATAAAATGAATTGTGCTTGTGTTCCGGCTTAAAAATTTTTTTTATTCGTGAGGCTTAGAATCGCATATGCGGACTGGATTTAGACATCTATTAAAAAATGATTTATTTTACTATATTTGTGTAAAATGATTGCTCAAATATTTCACTTGCCAATCAAATTATTTACTTTGCTAATTTACAAACAGTTTAAATCGCAGTTCAATTAAACGCTTAATCAGCATTAAGTCGCGCGCGAATCACTGTAAATGTGCAAATAGCAAAAAAAATCTGGTTATCGCTCTATTAAAATCACATGGAGAGAAAAAAGAACTCAATGTCACGCATATTCATATTCGTCTGTCTAATTTTCAAACAAATTTTTGATGGTGAAATCTTGCCTTTTTAGAAAGAAATATGCAATTAGCCAATAAAGAGAATAGTTCTGATGATTACATCATTGAGAACCTGTGCAAGAAGTCAAAAAGTATGTATTTTCTAGGTCAAGTCGGCTTCTCGCAATGAAAAGATGGACTTACCTATGCAATTACTTTACTGAAAATGTCCGAAAATCAAACAGAACAAAAATCTCTTTTTCAGAGTCATTGACCAACTGCATGTCATTTTTATGCATCTTTAAAACTCTTTATTAACCTGTGAATCATAAAGCGTACGTGATAATTTTCTATTCGGCTTCTGTGTTTAATTTTAAGTGTATACATTTGCCATCACGCGATATAAATTTTTCGTTCCTTCTTTTCATCAACGCGAGATTTCACGTCGAATGTCATTAGGGGTCGTTCACTTATGACGTTCTATCAATTTTTAACAGGAAAATAATCGATTTTCAGGAGTTTCTATTGTTCTTTTGTTGCTGACTGATCATCACAATTCCGAACAAATGACACGAGAGAAGAAAGAGAAATAAAATTTATGACATCATGTGCTGAAGGCACGTAGCTTTTAATTTATTTTGATATCTTTGCTTATTGATATCTTATTAAATCATTCCATCGAACACATATTTAGACGATATTGCCATAATTTTAATAAAAGAACTCTCGATTTCTGTTAATAAAAATTGATTCTGAGAATTTGTTCTATAAATAATAATATTTTTTTTGTTGATTTAATTTCCTGTGCCAAAATACGGAGATGAAATGATAATATACTTAATTTATGCTAATTAATTGGTTTTTTTTACAAATCAATTCATAAATAACATGATCTATAGGAAGTAAGTGGGCAAATCGAACTTTATGAGTCATGCGCCAGACACAATCTTTATTCAAGTCATTTGATGTTTTTTTTTTATTTCTCTCTCATCTGTTCGGTTTTGATGGTGCTTAATTCTTCGTTTTCTTTTAATGAGTGTTAATTAAAATTCAGCACAATTTTTTCAATGATGCTTATTGTGAGTTGGAGAGTTGTGAATGAAATAATCGCTGATAAAAAACTACAAACTACGCTTTTGCCTAAAATCTTAAGGAAGGATAATAGGTACAAAACTAGCGCATGAGAAGTTTTTCACAATTACACACACATCCGTGTTAATGGCAATGATACTTACACTGATGTTTTTTTAAGTAAATAAATTTTTTCACATTCAAAAACTGTTTAGAGCATATTATCTTTAACTTATGTACCTCAATAACTTTGCAGCAGCTAGACATTTGAATGATTCATTTACTTGGAATTCCGAATTTTTTACGACAATATGTTTTTTTGCGCTGTTGTCAATTTGTTATATTTTTAATATAGATTATCAATATTATAGGTATTCTGCTTTTCAAATCAGTTGTTGGTAGATATGTTTATTAAAAAATTGGACTTGCTTACACGGAATGCAAGAAATTCAATTGTTTGAGTCATCCTACCCCCCTCCCCCTCCACCCTCCTGTTGCGTAATAACTGAATGGCATCTTTCTACAATAATATAAACAAGAAAAATATATTGAGCATGTTGAGGAATGGTTTAACTATCGCGTAATGCATTTACAGCGAAAAAAGAATGGAAGAAATGTGAATGAAATCGAGTCTAAATATTTGTAAGCTTATTTTTTAACTAATATTGATATCAAAATTGTTTGTTTAGCTACTCAGTCAAGGAATCACACCTGCTTCTTTTTGAAACCTATTTATTGAATATTTGCAAAGCAAACTGATTTTCAACAGATTATTCACAAGATTATTTTCACTTCCAATTTCCTTACCAGTAATTGTCTTTATATTCAACTTGCTCATTAAAGCTTGATACTGAAACATCTTGAGGTCTAATCATGCAACAAGTTTCGTTCATTTAAGAATTCTGAATTGACTTGTGTAAAACCAATCTTCATGTGTTCAATGCTGCTTAATTTATGATTTGTCGTGCATATGACAAAAAAAGAAAATAAAAACGAAGAGATGAGACGAGAGAATGAGTCATAGCAATTGATATAGTTATTGAAACTTGTGTGATTTTTTAACTACTCGATAATGTTCTTTTATCTTTTGAACTTATATAAATAGACACAAATAATTAAGAATTTTGGCCATGACAAAAGCTTGTTGTGTGTCATTTAATAAATCTACAATGAGAAATAAGACTCGAATCATTTAATGTGCAGCTTCTTTACAGCATAGGTTAAAGTTTCTAGATCTGTCTAGCTGTTTGCTCAAAAGCGGCTTTAAATCGCACTGGCAGATTCGTCTACATATGGCTCGATACCTCAACCACAAGTGAGATTAATTAACTGCTCAAACAATTTATTTACTTACGAAAAAGTTATATAGCCAAAAAATATCAAAAGAAATATAGTTTAAAATAATTAGATTTTCGTAAATTTTTGATTGACTCATTATAGTCGTGAAATTGAAGTGCAAGAAGATAATGTTTTTATTGTTTTTTGTCAAAGATTCCATAAATCCTACTATTTCAATAAAAAAGATAAACTTTCAATAAACTTGCTTATCGTAGAATACAAAAATCTTAAAATGCTGAAAAACCAACACATTGTGAAATTTTTAAAGTCTGTATTTCGTTTCATTCGTTGTTGTTTTGTTGCTGTATTAAAGCTTCTTTTATTGTGTCAAAAGAAGAACAAAATATGCATTCTTTTTAATTCTTTACGAGTGGTCAATTATCATTGGGTCCTTTTTGAGTATGGTTCGTAAAAATAAACTTCTTAACCAATAGGCCGATTGTTGAGCGATTTAAACATTATTCATGCTTGACCAAACAGCTCTTACAAAATGACGGCTTCAACCTTAAAAAATGAATTTAAAAAGTAGAACAAGAATCAATATTTTTTTAAAAAAATTCTTTCAAAATTGATTGTTTCTAAAAATGAACATTTTGCAGAATTAAATAGTTTCTTCATTCTTTTAATGTTCTTATTTGTCTCATGTTGTTTTTGATGCTATTTACAAATAATCTTAATAATAATACAGAAAATTGATCAGCGCGTTGCTATAAAAAATAGAAAAAATTTTGCGCACATTATTTTATGTGCGGTGTCTGTGAAATAACGTATGACTGTGTGTATGTACACTTTTCGTGTGATGTCCTTGGGAAATTCTGATTATGTGAATCATTATCATTATCAACATTAAATGCTCTATTAAGTAATTGATTGAGAAATTGGTGTCTTTTTGGAAGTGAACCCTAAAAAAAGGGGGAATTTCAGATCATTCGTCAACATAGTTCTTATTTTTGCGCTGTTGGTTTTGATTTCATATAGCTTGGTACACCAGATTCATCTCTGCTTCGACATCACACTGCTTACAATTATTTTGCATACTTTTGAAATTTTTTATGAATGAATTTTCGTCACAAACACAAATTTGCGTGATCAAACATTTATAAAATATTTTATTAATTTAATTTCCGGTCACTATACAAAAAATCAATTAAGTCAAGATGTTATGATTTTTATGAATTGATTCTTAATTAGTTGTGGGTGTAAAAAAAATCAAAAGATGTTGATTAAAGCGTTCAAAAAACAGTTTATAATGTTTAGCGCTGATTCATTAACAAGAAGAAAAGCCATTAAAAAGTGATAGCTACTAAATGTATTTAATGTTCTCTTAATGTGTGCTCTATTTAAACCTATATTTGCAAAAAGTGTATGCTTACACACCACTAAATAAGCAATAAGGATATTTATTCTAAGTAATTATTTACTTTAGCGACCAATTTTATAAAGCATCACTTTCAATTGAGACTTCTGTTGATTTATGATCTACAGATGTCAGTAAGTTGATTTTTATTTCAAACATCTGTTAAAGCTAATCCGAGACTTTAACGAATTTAAATATTTATGACATGAACTGTTAAAAATGAAACCAATGTACCTAATCATGCAATTCTATTATTTAATGTTAATCGTTGTCAACTTCTCTTTGAAATACCGCCAAAAACTGCTCAGTTGAACAGTCATGTTATCAGTAATGCCAAAATAAATCCACACATAATTTCTATTATGAGTTTTCATTATCGCAATACAGCAGGAAAGATGTGTTTGATGCAGTGAACTGTAAAATCAATTGTTAATGTCAACAAAGTCACGAAAATAAAACTTGTTATATATTTAGATTATCTGAAAATTTGCAAGACAAATGAACGGAACTGCAAAAACATTTATTCGATGCCATAAAATTTTATTTCTAATAACATGACCAACTTTTTAAAGTTTTAAGCAAGAAAAGTTATAAAATATGATTGCCGATTGCTACACCAATCACTCATCTTCATCATCGACAGATTCGATTAATCCAAGTTGTATTTGATTCATTCCAAAGTTAAGTGTATTATTCATTTGCTCTAAATGGTGAGCGCTGATGAGATCCATTTGAAAATCGACTTCGAATCCACCAAGTACCTGCCTTTTATCTAAAATTACCCACTTAGCGGTATCCAAATTATTCAATTTGAAGATACGCTGCAAAATTTTCGTGTCGTCAAGTAAGAGACCCGGTATGAAAGTGAAATACTTAAACGTGGGCAAATCAGTCATCACATGAAATTCAAAAGGTTGTCCATTGAATGTCCAAGTTGATATAACTTTAACAAACCAGATCAATGTCCAATAATCAACAAAATTCATCCTCCATGCTCCACCTTCTATCCAATCACCAGAAAAACTGGGAAATCCTTCCATTTCTTCATCAATTTTGTCATCGACACTTTTTCTAAGAAAAGTTGCAATTTCTTCTGTCATTATAGCATTTGAAGTACTTGGTGGGAAGAGAGCGCCAGATATTGGAATCTTTGATTTTGATAAATTTATTTGGACAGGATCTGAAGGACGTTGGTTGTTAACGCGAAGATCTGAGTAGAAAAATTATGTTTGATCTTTATTTCAATTTTATTTTTTACTACTTACTGTGCAGTGAGCTTTGAGTTGAATCAACATCCATTAACTCTGAATGAAAGGAAGCAGGAATGGCAACTGTCAGAATTAAATTATTAAATTTCAATAAATTCATGTCAATAAATTTTATCAATTTACCGGAATTTGTAGAATTAATTTTTTTATTTTTTCGGAACCTTTTTGCTGTTTCAATCTTACGTCTACTAGTTGAGCATTTAAGGCATTCACATTTTTTGTGTTTACAATTTCTGTGTCCTTTCTCCAAAACTTTTTTATTGTGATTTCCACAAAAGGAGCAATGCTTTGAACCTTTGTTCTTTTTAATTGCGTGAATGTCTTGCTTGTTCGGAATATTTTGAAGAAAATGCTGGGTTTTTCCCATTTTATGCTAGCAATTTTTTTTAATTGAATGAAATGAATTTTGAAAAGAGAAGATTTTTTAAAATTATTTGAAATGATCAATTCGGAGGAAGGTTTTAACTCAAAATGAACGCGATTTTACACGCGAAAGATTGGATGGAAGCACGGCAAAATGAGATTTTTTTTAAAGAGAATTGTGAGCTTTCAAACCATTCATCCCCCTCTTTTTATTTGAGCTTTAAATGTCTGCTACAGTTGACACAATTTTTCAAATATTTTCAAAATTAAAATGCTTGAACCATTGATGAATAACAAGGAAAGAGCATTTGCGCTCTATTATTTATCACTAGCTCACTGTCATTTAGTTAAATATTTTTTCAAACCTGTGAAAACTTTGTCAAAAATTAAAATTTCTTCTCCTGTGTCTGTGTAACTCCAAGTGCTTTGCGAGACTGAATGAGAGTGAAAGAAAAAGGAAAAAAAGTTGGTTGCACAGAAACACTTCTGTGCTAGTGTGGAAGAGAATACAATTTTATAACTGTGTTGAGTTTTTTCTTTTTTCTTTCGTGTTTGATATATTAAGCATATACATACATAATTGCACGATGATTACACACACATGCATAAAATTGAGAATGATCAGTAATAAATAAAAAGTAATCTTGCTTATTTTTGCGGATAAAAGATCAATTAAGATATTTATGACTCGGTAAGATGGGTGTCAAATTTGTGATGAATGGAACTTGAGGAATGGATGACCCTCGTTCATTATATCCAATCATTTTATTTGTATCCAGCAAAAGCGCATTTTCTTCATGAAATTGAAGAAATGTTGAAATTTATATTTAACCATAAAAATAGGCAAATTAGATAATTTTTGATTCAAGAAAACATGCAGAAGTTCTTCAGCCAGTTTCAAGCGCCTGCGGCTTGGTTCTCAATGTGTGCCGATCAATTTACTTACTAGAATTTAAAATAAAAATGTTTCAATTATTCTAATACCTTTTTAAATTTATCTTTATTTAGAATAATGACCAGGCAGTCGACATTCAACATAAACGAACCACAAAGAACACCAAAAAATCAGAGCTTGAAGAAAAACATGCAAAAATAATGTCACACTATCAATTTAAATTATACGTTAATAAACGAGTTGATAAGACAATAATTGAAGTAAAAAGCGTTCCCTTTTTTATTGGGTGATAAGGGACTGCATGCCGATCGTCACAAGACAACGAAAATTTGTCATAGTGGTTTTATTATTTCTTCTTATTATTTATGCTTGTTTTTCGCTAGATTAAATTTCATTTGTAAAAACAGAACAAGAAAAATAATTGAATAAGATAATGAGATGTGGTAGTTCTACACAGTAGCTGCAAAAAATGACAGTTGTGGTGTAGATTAAAGAGAATAAAATTTATTTTATCTTTAAAAAAAACATCTAAGATTTTTGATAAATTTGATTTAAATTTACAGAATTCATATTGGAGAACAGTGGAACAAATTTTGAATATTCCTATATAAACTTTATTCTATTTTACAACAATTGAATTTTGTTCATGTTTTTTTCCGCACGTACGCATTTAATTTCTTCTATATTGTCTTAAGCGCAGGGATCTATAAATGAAATTCACATCATACAGAAGACCCTTGAATTCAAAAATATATCGTATCAATTTCTTTTATGAAAAGTATTGATAAGAAAATCAGACATCATCGAACACATGAAAATGATCAATAGCTGCTTTTATTTTCTATTTATGAGTAGATTAATTGCAATCTTTCAAGCCTTAGTTATTGCCTAAAAAGATATCCAGTCTATTATTTTTATAGCAGATTTTAAATATATTTTTCTTTTTATAGAAAAGACTGAATCAAAGCGAATGTTTATTTTTTGGAGTAAAAATACACAACGAGAAAGAAATGACGACAAAGCTGATGAGTAATTTAGCCTTGCATAGTTGTTGCTACTCCCTTTCATACAAATATATAGTCTGTTTCTAGTTATCCAACAATAAACATATTCGGCCTGTTTCACTAAAGTGGATTATCCTCGATTTCTGATTATCCACTTCAGTTTTTTGGATATATCTCCAGATGCTTAAAGTTATTAAGAGATCTAATGTGTGATCTAGTAAGAGTAGTTTGCTACTTAAATTAACATATACTTAGAAATTTTATATCTTGATTAGTTTGAGAATTATAGCGAAAATCGAAGTTAATCTACTAGATTTGGCTAGAAAATTGAATAATTAATACTTCTTAACAAAAAGTAAAAGTTTAAAGTATGCAGAAATTTCAGGCATAGTTCACTCTATTATAATCTAAAATTAGAAATACTCCTATTAAGTTTAAGATATTTACAAAAAACTGAAGTGGATAATCAGAAATCGAGGATAATTCACTTTAGTGAAACAGGCCGATTGTTATTGATTACAAATCCCAAAGAGTCTTTAATTAACTTTATTAATAAAAAAATTTTTTTTGATTAGACCTATAAATTTATTAAACCTCTATAACAAGGTTGCTTATCAAATTTATTATTTTGATGGTGTCATTTTTTTTTTCATCCACAAAAACAAAAAATTATATCGATCAATTATGTCATTTGATAATTTATTTCCTTTTTTTTTGTTCTTTACTCAACAATCAATTGATTGTTCATAATCGTTTCCCCAGTTTTTCCATCTTAAGTAGCCACCACATTTATAAGTTTAAAATTCTAATCCCCTAACCCATTTTGCGATATATTAATAAGTCAACGGACACTTACATAATTTAAGGCAATCCAAAATCAAAACATTGATGAGTCATATTAATGAAGATATAAATTCAAAATTGAAAAGTGCTGAAATGCTAAAAGGCTAACATACAAAGCATCACATGACTAAAGGCTCCCGTTTTGAATGATCAAAAAACAGGTCGTCAATATACTTACTATACCAATAACCACAAACAGAAGTCAACATAAAGCGATTAGTGACGTAAACTTATCTCATTTGTTGATATTTAATGCTTTAATTATTTGTTTTTATAGATAGAGTTTCATAGCGAGCGATGAATCTTATTAGCACATATTAGGATGCTCGACAAGAATTTGTTATTTATGACGACTAAACTATCGGAATGTGGAGAGTGAATTTTGCATTTTGATGCTATATTATGGCATTTAACCATTTGCGGTTTAGCAAAAATTCCTTAATAAAAATTTAAAACACAATTTTGAGAATTTTTATTTCTTTTTTTTTCTATTTTAAGAAATTCCTTTTTCAGCATTTTAAGTTGGGAATTCCTAAAATATTATAAAATATAAAATGCTTATTTTTGTGAATATCAATTACTTATCAACTGGGGGATGGTGTTTTCTGAGCTGAACTTTATGAACCTTAAGGGTGATTCCAGAGTAAGTTCATTTTTCATCAACTCGATATTTTTTTACAATTACAGCAACGATGAAGCATACATGACTTCGAGTTCTCTTTTACTTCTCACACAAACTCGAACGCATTCTCCTTTTATGTCAAGATAGAAGTCTCTTGAGCTAATATAAAAAGCACCAAAAATGTCAACAGAGAAGCAAACTTTTTGATAAGCAGACGGTTCTGGACCTTCATCGACAATCCATGACGATGTATCAAGTTTGTTTCTTTCTTGAATTTCTTTCAAAAATTCATCGCCTTTTAAAAATATGCTTTGCTTATTGCATAGTTTGCATGACATCTTTATAATTGTTAAAAGATCTAATCCATTAATAGCTATTATTTTTGGTCTCGGATATCTATGCTTAAATTCTTCTGCTAGTTTTAAAACCTTTCTTCTAGTTTCTTCATCTAAGCATACAACTTTTATGTAGCCTTTCTCAAAGAATATATATTGAATCTTAAGATCAGCAGCTGTCGAAGTTTCTGGAAAATTTTCAATCTCGGCCATAAATTGATCAGCATATTCTTTTGACAAAAATCTGAACGGGTAATTGCTGTGCATTATGATTATGGTGAATTCAGATTCACCTGAACCTACATTATTGACAAAAAAAATTTAAAATTTGATTTTAAATTTTTAAATTAAAAATTACCAGAATTTATGCAGTCAGAATTTGCTAATTCATTGCTGTCATCTGAATAATCTACAAAAAATTAAAATAAATTACAGCTTTTAAAAATTTAAATGTTGTAAATATATCCTACTAAGGTGTTCTTCCTTTAAAGATAAGGTCTCGTAATCATATTCAATGTCTAAATGATCATCATCGAATCTAGCAATGACTTCTTCTCCAGTTCCACTTGTCACGTTTGACTCATCGAATCTACATTCACAATTATTTTCGCGATACCTTTGCATGTTTACTGTTTTTCTATAATTTTGTTTACAGTCTATACATTCTTCAAAATGACCTTTGTTGTTGTATCGGCATTTTCCTCTATGGCCCTTTGCCAAGCTTTCCTCACGATGATTTCTGCAGTAAGCACATTTATTGAACTTTTTACGATCAACATTGGACCTTGATTTTCTTGGAGACATTTTGACTGTCGTTTCCCTTAAATGTTTTTTTAAAAATAACTTTTTTTGTATATTAAGCAGGCGCCAAAGCGTCTGACAAATTGCTTTTAAGATCAACAGATGTTGTTTGTATTGCTCAAAAGCGTGACTTAATAATAAATATTTATTTATGGCTCACATTTAAACTGTTTGAAGCGTTTGAAATATTATGACTTATCTCATTTTTCTCTGAATTGAGTCTTATTTTATATTTAAAATATTTTATTTTATTTTCATTCTTTATTCTACATCTGAATAGGTGTTTTGTGCCATAAAAATCCTAATCAAATTGAATTGATTGGTTTTGATTCCCACACTTATCTGATAAAAAGTTTTTAAATTAAATTGTGTTATAGAGCAAATTCAAAACCCTGACTTTGTTATATAAATGTTATAGATGTTATTGGTAGTTGATATAACAATTCCAAAAATATTTTTCTTTTTACTTAATTTATAAAAAATAAATAATCTAACTTGCATCTAAGAAAAATAATAATGATTTTCCTAAAGGATTTAAATCTATTAAACATCAGTTTTAAAATTGGATTTAAGGTAGGTTTAAAGTTTAATAAATTGATTTATTCATTTTTATTTTAATAAAACATTAATCAGTAATTTTAGGTTATAAATTTGAGTTCATCAACTATAACGCGAAACCTAAGATGGTGATGAAATTAAAGGACAAATAATCCTTTTTTAAACAAATTTTTAACAATTTGTAAGAATTAACTCACCAACCACCAGCCACTCCACCTCCCTACGAGAAATCTGGCACCGCCCCTAATATGGCTGTTCATAAGAATTCAATAAATCAGTCAATGTGGGTTCAAGGGGATTAAAACAGTAAAACTCATTTTCAAAAGCAATATTACTGCCTCGATTATTGAATATTAGATGATTTTACTATCACTAATTGAATCTATTCCCTTCAGCTGAAATGCTGGGCACTTCACACATTATTATTATTATTATTGAAAAGCTCTATATTCTATAAATTCCTGAACATACTCTTTTTTTGTTATGTGACTATGTAAGATAACCATGTTATCCGCGTTGTGTTGCTTACTAACATATTTGAAGTCTCATCGATCGTGGAAATTTTATTTCGTGGAATTAATTCAAAAGTTTTTGTTCAAAGATGTGATAAAAAAATACTTGGAAACTAATACTAAACTTAGTAGCTTAAAAAAATAATAATATCAAGTCCTTCAGTTCATTAAGAAATAAAATAAAACTAATAAAACTCAATCAATCAACTAATCAATGCGATTGTGAAAAAAAATTGAGAGAAGTGGGAAGAAACTTAAATACAAAGTCTAAAAAAATTCAAGTTTTCATCAAAAGTGTTAAGAAGTAATTTTATAGAAAGTTAATTTTTCACGATAAATAATGAAATTCAAGGAAAAAATAAAAAGTGAAATTAGATTGAATCTATTAATTCAACAATACAACTTAATTTAAGTATCAACAAGTCCAATTCTCAATTTTCGATTATTCTGAATTCTCAAAAAGATTAAGATGATTTTTGAATTTATTCTGAAGATTATAAGTTTTTATTGCAGATTAAAGAACATTATTCAGTCAATTACTGATGTAATGACTTTGTGCGTTGCGATTTTTATAAATATTATTAAGCTTTGGAGTGGGACTAGTGAACATTTAAATTTTAAAACTATTTTTTTGATACAAAAGTCAACATATAAAAACAATTAAGTTAATGCCGCAAGAATTAATTTAATAGAATTTAATTAAGACAATGTTGGTTCAGAATTCAAGCTTACATTTTTATTTCTGAGCCCTCAATAATTTTTATTATGTCTTTATAATGAATTTTTGTTCTTTTTTCAAATTGATAACAAATCTACATTGCAAATAATCATAAATTGTTGGGGAATCACGTCTAAATTCCATTACTCATTCGGTAACATTTTGTTATAAAAGAGAGTTTTATTAATTTTATTATACGAAAAAATTTCTCAATTTTAAGTCTCTCGCAAATTTTTTTTTCACTTTTTATGGAGCTTGAATTTTTTAAAACTTTCAGATAAATAGGATAAATAAAACTATTATATCGGGTGGAAACCCAATGCGGATATATTCACACCGTACCATCAAAAGACTTATCGATAGACCAAGATTTGCTTAGCATAAGTTTGAAGGAATAAACCTATCGATTCAGCCGAGCATCGCTCAGCATAAGTTTGAAGGTAAGAAGCTTGACGAATATGCAAAACTTTCTTTCAAAGTTTTTTTGAAAAAATTTTCATCCAAAGTTGAATTTTATAAAAATCACAGTGAACTTTTGTTCTGAAAAATATGTAAGAAAGGAAAGTTTTTTGCTTTTTCTGAGCAACGGCTGTTCCTACCTTGCCCAAAAACAAAACAGATCTTCTATAGAACAGCACGGATCAAATGCAAAAAACTAGAAGTCTTTAAGATGTCTCGTTATTGAGATTTCTTGCTGATTAACTTGCTTGTTTGCTTGTTTGCTTGCTTACAGAAAGCGTATTTTACGATTTTCTTTTGCGATTTTGCAAAAGATGTGAAATTCCAGGCACAAACTTTTCATCTCTGAACATTATAAGCTATCTTGCTCCATATCCTCACAAAATTCAAAAATCTGTTTGTTCAATCTGAACAAAACCAATAGATTCACACGTGAAAACGGTGTGAACATAAAAAAAAAATTTTGCAATATTTTATATTCACACCGTTTTCACATGTGAATCTATTGGTTTTGTTCAGATTGAAAAATCAGTTTTTCGCATTTTGTGAGAAAACAAAGCAAAATTGGTTATAAAAGGGCAAGAAGAAAAGTTTGTGCCTGAAATTTTACATCATTTTAAAAAAACAGATTTCAAATTGGTTGTGGCATTGCTGAGAAAATTGCAAAATACGCTTTCTGTAAGCAAACAAGCAAGCAAGCAAGCAAGCAAGTTAATCAGCAAGAAATCTCAATAACGAGACATCGTAGAGACTTCTAGTTTTTTACATTTGATCCGTGCTGCTCTATAGAAAAGCTGTATTGTTTTTGGGCAAGGTAGGAACAGCCGTTGCTTCAGAAACGGCAAAAAACTTTCCTTACGAATTTTTTAAAACAAAAGTTGACTGTGATTTTTATAAAATTCAACTTTGGATGAAAATTTTTTTTAAAACACTTTTAAAGAACATTTGGCATATTCGTCAAGCTTTATACCTTCAAACTTATGCTGAGCGTAGCTCAGCTGACTCGATAGCTTTATATCTTCAAACTTTTGCTGAGCGTAGCTCAGCTTACGCGATAGCTTTATAACTTCAACTTATGCTGAGCGAAGCTCCACTGCCTCTCTAGCTTCATACTTTCAAACTTATGCTGAGCGTAGCTCAGCTGACTCGATAGCTTTATATCTTCAAACTTTTGCTGAGCGTAGCTCAGCTTACGCGATAGCTTTATAACTTCAAACTTATGCTGAGCGAAGCTTAGCTGCCTCTCTAGCTTCATATCTTCAAACTTATGCTGAGCGTAGCTCAGCTTACGCGATAGCTTTATAACTTCAAACTTATGCTGTGCGAAGCTTAGTTGACTTATCAAGCTTCATACCTTCATACTTATGATGGGCAAATCTTGGTCTATCCATAAGACTTATGATAGTACGGTGTGAATATAATCCGCATTAGGTTTCTACCCGATACACTAGTTCAAATTCATGTTTTAAATTGTGTCGAATATTATTTTTTCAATTTAAAATTATGTTTTTAAAAATTTTATAAGATTTTTTTGAAAAAAATTGTTTTAAAATTTTCACCTTTTCACTTTTAATTTTTGATTTAAATTTAAATGAATTTCACCAACTTTTTTGAAAAGAAAAATCAGAATTCAAGTGTTAAACCAAAAAATTTAAGTTAAACATTGTTTAGAGCTAATGATAAAAGTTTAACATGATTTTTGAGAAATAATTTATGAATGAGAATTTAAAATAATTGCTTTTATAAAGAAACAAAAAAAAATCAAAATTTTGCAAGATTTATTAAACATTTTCAAATAATTATCACAGTTTCACATTTTCCAATTTCACTTTTGCTCTTTATTTTTTGATATAAACGGTCCGAAAAATTTTTATTCAGTTTTTCAAGCCACTTTAAATTAAACTTTTTAAAATGTAATTCAAAAAATACTCACAAAATTATTCAAATTCAAAAAATCTTAAATTCGTTTTAGCAAAATTATTTTCCAACTTCTTAAGATTTATTTCATGTGATCCTGCCAATGTGCTGAATGATAATGCGAACCGCACAGGGAAAATTTATACTAAAAAGCTCAAGTTTTTTTTATTTTCTGTGAGAGCGAAAAAAAATCATTTAAGCAATTTTACGTTTTGAGAAGAAAAAAACGCGAAACTGTGTTAGTATCAGTCAATTCTCTTCAGTTGTCAGCTCCATAATAATTTCTATACATACCATAAAATTAATTTTCTAGAAAATAAATATCGATCAGTTAAAAAAATCATAAATGTGCTTCTAAAATTGCCAAACATTTTCTTTTTGTCGGTAATCTTAAATTATCAAAACATTCTGAGTACAACCGGCTGTTTAATCTCTCATGTATATAATAGGCATGTATATAAAATATATCGAGAAAAGAGCGTCAAGTTTCTCATATGACCAGCGTTGCCAGCATACGTGTGTGAATAAATCTTCGTAGTTTTTTTCAACTTTACGCAAAAATGAAGAATTTGCCGAATCTTTATTATATTGTGAGAGTGCGGCTTCCCCGAAATGAGTTGTTTTTATTTTTATCAATTTTACTTTAGCTTCGGCAAATAAAGTTAATTTGAGGTATTGAATATTAAGTGATTATTCTTTTCGACAGTAAATGGTGTTTAATTTATTTGAATTCGGAAGAATATAAAAGAAGGAACGCTGTTGCAGTGAAGATAAAATTATCGTTTAAAGGATAATAATAGAAGAGCCATAAATATCACTTTCAGGAGGCAACAAATAAGAAAGAGATGAGTGGGGGGTAGGTTAAAATGTACAATATATTCAACACCAAAAATTAAAAAAAAAGCTCATGACTTCAGTTTAATGACACCAAGGTGTCTCCTTAAAATTTCTATATCATCCAAATAATAATAGAATGGAAGCACTAAACAATTTTGAGTCACTTGAGTCTACAAATCTTATGTCATAAAGATTACAATATGCTCCTACTCAATAACTGCTGCGTATAGTTACGAGGAACGTAATAAAATTGATAACCATTTGTTATTAAATAAAAACGTCACTCCTTTGGTAAGACTAATATTTGCAAACTTTTCGTATGAAGTAATTTAATTATTTATATTTATGATAACAGAATTTTTATTTGCCACAGTTCCCCACAGTTATTTGCCGCTTTTTCGTGTTTTTAACTTTAAATCTAATCCAATTTTTTTTTTTAAATATAAAAAAAAATCCATTAAGTGCGAGTAAAAAAGAAAGAGCAACGGCACACGCGAAATCGAAAAAGTGACGAATTTGGATTTTCCTCGAATCCATGAAGGTCACTGTTGCAAATATTCTTTGACTGCTTCTTCCTTCGATATTTTATTAACGTGTAAGCTGAGCGGCACAATTAAAATTTGTTCCGTCAAGGTTTGGATTCCAAATTCATCCATATCCATTGTGCCGATCGGGTAACCTAATGCTTCTTCGACCAACGAGCATTGAAATGTTGTCTATACAGCAGCTAAACGGATAGAATGCTTAAAACTAAATAGCAGCTCCTCAGCATCCAATTAAAATTTTTTTAAGTTTACTACTGTGTGGATATCAAGTTAATGTTTATAGATCGGGCTTGTTAATAATGCGGGTTGATAATAAAAATTCTTTGCAAAAAAAATATTGTTTAAGAGAAAAAATTATTGAAGATCTTTAGTAAAAGAAATAAAATTAGCATCCAACAGAGAATTTTCAAGGTCATTTTTGTTTATATTTTTAAATGATATTCACAACCGCTTATGAATGTGACAATGAAGTCAATGACACAGTTTCTTTAATGATTATTTTTATACTAGGCTATTCAGAGGCGCCCGAAGCGCCTGCTATCAGGGATTAAATTTAATTACTATTATGTAACTGTAAGATGCAAATAACCATAATGTTTCTAAGGTCAATCATACCACAAATCTTCACATGGCTTCACAACCTTCTCAAACTCGGATTCCCTTAATCCAACAAAAATTTTATAAATGGCTTCACAAAACTTCACAGGGCTTCACAAACCCCCTCGAACTCGAACCCCCTCAATCCCACTAAGACTTTATTCCCCCCGCAACCCACCATGTCCCCCTTTACCCACCTTGTCAAACCCCACCCGACACCCACCTTATCAACACCCCCCAAATCATTGGCTCCACACAGCTTCACAAATGGTTTCACATGGCTTCCCTTCTAGAGTCAGTGAGTCAGTGAATTGGGCTTTTATAATGTAGATTTTATCATCTGTGATTCTCTAGAAAATTATGTTGCATGGCATTAATCGTGATGAATTGGTTCAGATTCCATCTTAAGCAGTGGTTATAAAGTATTTGATAAAATAGATTTACAGTCGCTGTGCCTTCAAGTGAACAAAAGCTGAGCTCTTGAAACTTTAAACCATTAAAAAGACAATCTTGAATTTGAGAGCACTTGTTGATTATTCGACTTGCTCTCCATGTTATCAAAATATACGTTGTCGTTTATTTTTAGAAGCACTCGTTATTAAAAGCTTCGTCATAAAATTATCTTTGTAAATTGAGTTGAATTGAGCAATTGAATAACAAATGGAAAGAAAACTAACCTAGTTCAACGGCACAGACTGAAAATGATTTGATGTCTATTTTTAAAACAAAAATCGTCATAAAACACTGTGTCTAGCGAATATGAAGTGGAATAAAGAAAATTTCAATTCTTTATACTTAGCATCAGTGAAGTTTTGGACATCAATTTTGAGAATTCTGACAAGTTTTGTAAACCAAAAAATAAATTCCTTGTCTCTCGTCCTAGAACACAATAGTAAGACAAATAAGGGAAGGGGGTAAAGGGTACATAAAGTTTAATAATTAAAAATTCCAATAATTTTACTGTGTCTGAAACAAAAATTTATTTCCATTCTTTAAAACTTTAACAACAACATTTTGTTTCTTCCAATCTAAACAAAAGTGTCTAAAATGAATATAACCAGCACTTTGAAGATCGACGGAAAAGTGCACTTTATATTTATCATCGACTTGCCTGATACTATTGACAATCCAGCCTGAAGTGTCCAATCTATTTTCAAGTCCGACTATTTTAAGAAACTCACTATGACTCACTTTTTCAGTAATGTTGCAGGACAATCTTATATGCCTTGGCATTTGATTCTCATGAAGAACTTTGAGCTCCTTTTCATTTGGTTTAAACTTCTTCACGTCCAAAAGCGAATCTATGATCGTTCTATTAGTACACGAGACTTTAAGGCAGCCTTTTTCGTAAATCTTTTTCATGTCATTCATTGGCATCATTAAGTCAACTAAGTCAGTGATCAAGTTTTCAATGTAATCCGATTCCTTCTTTGTAAGAATTCCAAATGGATAATTTTGAGCCATAATTATTATTGCAGTTGAGGTATTAGGTTCAAATTTTTGGAGTTGAAAGCCATTTAGTGCATGTATGAAGAGAAGATTCCTACTTGATGGCTGGATGGTAGTTTCGTGACTTGATGGTTCTGATTTGATAACTGAGAGGATATAAATTAAAAATATTTTTTATGAATTTTCTATACTAAGTTTAGGTTAAAATACTGTCTCTGAATCAAGACCACGAATTCCTAGAATAAAAAGGCTTCACATTCATAAGCTATCAATCTAAGTTCTTGTTCCAGAAATACAAAAACCAAGAATTTTGATTGTGCTTAATCAATAGTATTGCTTAAGTGTAGCTCATAATCTTATCATGTTAAACAAATACACAACTACAACTTTATCATACCAGGCATTTCTTCATCCACATCTGTACAATCTGAATCATCGTAAGGAACTTCATTCTCATTTTTAGATGTAGAATCGTTTGCTTCCTCAGCTGCAGCAGAAGTACTTGGTTCATCAATCCCATTGGCACCTGATTCAGCCTTTGATTTTCTTTCCCTATGCTTTTGGGTATTTAAAGTCTTCCTTTTGTTGCTTTTGCATTCTTTACATTTTTCTAAATGTGACTTGACATTGTACGGACATTTATTTCGGTGACCCTTTTCAGGCTTATATATACTATGATTTCTACAATAGGCACAGAATTTCGGTTTCATTATCTTCATAAAGACAACTGTCACATTTATCGTTTTTGTTATGGTTTATTTATTGTGAGGAGCTTAAAGCTGGATCTGTTGGGAGAATTTATTACGATAAATAGTTTTTGGTGGTTTCTAATGTTTATGGATATGGTTTTAGTTAAAAACTATTCGATTAAGTCTATTTATGAATGATGTTTAAGTTTTTTTCACTTCCAGAGTCTGTCAATTATAATTTTACATTACTTTATTCTAGAAACTTCTATAAGTTTTGATATTTCTTAAAATCTTGTCAGAAACTGTATGAATTGTGATTGAAAATTAATTGTTCATTAGTTTTGGCTGTAAAACTGTTATTGACATAATTCACATATCAAAAGCTTCATTAATTTGGCTTAAATGTTCGAATTATTTTCGATTGTCACGTTTTTAAAATGGCGCTTGTTGCTTCAAGTATTTTGAATGTGTGAAAATATTTTTTCTTGAAATTTCTTCCACATTTTGCCATTTTTTGGTGACAATACGATTATAAACACTTAGTTTCTTATCGCAATTCACTTATTACACAAGATATTACGTCACTTACTTAAAATATTGAAATGCTTTTAATATATTTCATTATTTAAATGTGTTTTTGTAGTGGTATAACATGTTGAATTATAACTATGTTATCGCATACCTTGTTATGGTATAACATGATCCTTAGTATGGGTTAGCATAGTCTTTTGTTTCATAACTTTGAGATTTTGAATATTTCTTTAACGGAAATTTTAGAGGGAAATCTTTAAAGATTTTTTAAGGACTTTAACTTTAAGGAAATTAATTTTTTTTTAATTTCTTAAACTAGCTAGTCTTTCAAATCATTTAATAGTTTTAAGCAAGGATAAAATGGCCAACAAAAAGACTCAAATTAAGTGTGAACACATCTGGAAAAACCAAAATTTAATGTTCGTTGATTTTTTTTGGGGATTTTACAACATCAATATTATATTAGGTCAAAAACAATTAGTTTTTCTTCAAAAATATTAAAAATTGAGTTGCGAAGAATTATTCTGAATAAAATATAAATCTTTCGTGATCTTCTCGTAATATAACATTTGAGATTATATTTCTGACGTACATCAATTGATGATTCAAATCCTAAAATTCATTTCTTTTCGGCATGAATGGGCTATGGAGCGTCACACTTGCCACTGACGATAGTATTATGTTAATTTAATTATTGACGTACAAAATGTGCCGTTGAACTTCCTTTTGCAGAATTTTTTATAGATTTCTTATGAATCACATGCTTGAAAAGTTATATAAAATTTATAGATGCTAATTTTCATGAATATTTGAATGATTTTCTCAGAAATTTGTTAATGTCAAAACTGTTGCTGTTCTTGACAAGTTTTCTGCCTAATCGAAAATTATTTAAAGTTGCAAACAATTTAAGTTGACATGTTGGTTCCGCTGGAGGTTTAAACAGTTTAAGAGCTGCCAATATTTTAAACCAAATGTTTTCGAGTCTACAGCACCTAGCATTTTTAAATTTATTTTTTAATTTTCTCAAAATAACAGAAAAACATGTAAAAGATTTTCAAAAATCTATAAATAATTTATTGTGGCTCGTCGTTTCTGAGAATTTTGAACTATAAAATTAAATGACATTAATATGGACGTATATTTTTTTTTGCATATATTAAACATTGTTTGAGTCAGTTTGCTTTTTGTTTGCTCTCTTTTTTTCTCAGATCATTAATTCACTTTAAAATGTTCAAAAAAATTATTTTATTTTTTCGGATGTTTATGTTCGTTATCTGGTTGACTGGGAATTCCTCATTTTTTTTTAAAAAATAAAAATTAAATTCAAATTTTCAAAATAATTGATAACATAGCCAATAAGTGTCATAAGTGAACGACCTTATCAAATTTAAATCTAATAACTTTTTTTATATTTTTGGAGAATTTTGAGAGAAATCATCAACAATCAAACATTTTAACATGAAGTTTGAGAGTTAAGACACAATACTTAGTTGAAAGGAGATACTTATTAGTCATCGTTTGCGTTCTTTAATAGTGATGAATACAACTTCCATTCATTAGTCTAAATCAGTGTTGTCAAAACTTTTTGAGCCACGGCACACTTTAGGGGTTAGTCGCACACAGCATAAGGTTCGTGTCATTTCGAAAAAAAAATCTAGAGCATACTAGAGTGCCGTGGCACACAGTTTGGACAACATTAGTCTAAATACTTATACTTCTCACGAAGCGATTTCATTTATTCGATTACTGATATATTTGATTAAGATTTTAGGCATTTCTTATCTTTTTACTATATTTTCATTCATTTTTATGCAAAATTTTACGATTCACGCTTCTACTGTAAACATGAGCACTTTAGAATTGCTGTAATCTGTTTTGACGGATTAAATAATAGTGATAAAAAAATAAAGTCAAATATTTGAGTTTAATTCGAAAGAATTCGTAAGAAAAAGATGAATCAATAGGAAATTGAACTTTTTGACTCCTGATGTCTCATTCAAAGCTATTCGCTTGATTTGTGTAAAAAAAAAAAAAAAAAAAAAAAAAAAAAAAAAAAAAAAAAAAAACCTTTACCTATTCAGATCAATTGTGATCCAGAGGTGCGCTAGGGCGATTCGCAGCTAATGTGAGTTTAACGAGTAAGGATGCGCCAAATCACTGCACTCAAACCTAGACCTACAATTTATAGTGGAATCCGAACCACTCCTTTGATGACATTTCTGTCTGTAGCCTACAAAGGAAGGCTGTGAGCCTCATTTCCAGTACATATGATTCGAAAAAGGACATGTGAAAAATTTCCCATTACCAGTCTCGAACCCATGATCGCTGTGTCGGTATTGCAATAATTAGGTCCCGAAGTACTAAACCATTCCGCCACCGAGCCACTTCAGCTCATAATTGATTTGTGTATATCTGCTTAATAATTTGGTGCAATAAAGTCACCATTAAAAGTTGATAAATTGCTTTATTGATCAGCCGATCGGCACACATTGAAATTCATTGAAATGTTTGCCACCCGTCAGCCGGGTTGATAGTATAATTAGAAACAATCGGCAACTCAACCCGACATTTCAATGCTTGCCGATGGAATCAATTAGAGCGAATTTTTTAAAGTTTTAAAAATATTATTTGAAAATATATCGGTATGTTGTATCGTAAATCAACATTGTCTCCAGAAGAGGAATCAATACAGATAAATTAAGCAAGATTGCTTAACAGATAAGCTTCTCAGAATTCACATTAATTTAATCAAACAAAGTGATAATATATTTACGAAAGAAGTGACAATAGAAAAGTTAAATTGACTATAAACTTAAGAAAAGATTCTCAATAATTTAATCATAGCTTTAAACAATATCCTCAAAACTCTCAATAAAGTCAATGTTGCTACTTAGCACTTAACGATTGAAGTATATAGCAATAAAAGCTTGTTGTTAAAAAATATATATATATATATATTTTATAGCTTCCACAAAAATCATTTTTGAAGAATTAAAAGATGATTTTTGGAAATTTTATTTATTTATTGAGGCAGCAACAAATATTTAACATTGTAACCGGAACTTGTGATTGTCTACATTTTAAAATGTAAAAATTTTGACACAAAAATTTGAAGATCATCTTTAAAGTTCGGAAGAAAGAAAAAACCAGGTTGTGTGTTCCATATTTGATGACATTTTATATCAAGAGCTGTTGATCCACAGCAAATTGCCACTCGAACTATCAATAAATCGATGCAGCTATTTTTGCAAAACTTGTTTGGCTTTTGTCTTTTAATCATTTATAAAATCATATCCACAAAGACATTAGCTCAATAAACTTGTAGAATTCTCAGAACCGTTACTGAATTTGCGTCTCAATAATTCAGACAAAAATGGAATTTTTTTTAAAAATGTTTCACAAACGCAATTTGATCACCCGAAAAGAGCTATGCCTATGTAAGTATAACTTTTTGTAGATTGTGTAAAAATCATTTAATGACTCAAACACATTTAAATTTTATATTTTTACAAAGTGATAGAATTTTAAAATTGAGAGGAAATGGATGAAGCATCATTTAGGATTAAAGTGATATTTTTTTCAATCTAAGGAAACAAGTGACTGATTTTAATCATTTGGTGATTCCACGTTGCATTTAAAAATATTTTAAAATATTTTTATAAATATATTAACATATTTTTGCGATAAAATGACAACACCGAAATGTAAATTATATAGAAACTTGAACCGCAACCTCTTTTTGATTTCATTTGGTAATTTGATCTTAGTTTTGATCAGCAACTTACTTTTTCATGTATTTGAAGATTTTATTTGTAAAATTTATATTCAAATAAATTCATTGTTATAACTTTTTGTAAATTTCTTTATTAAAAATAAATTATATTTTAATATATTCTGTACAATTTATTCAAAACTTAATTTTCTTAAGATACATTATTGTAAAACTCTTCTTTTAAATGCATTTAAATGCTTTTCTTAGTCATAACTATCATAAGTGATTTAATATTATTAAAATATTATTTAACAAAATCTTTTTGTACAAATTTGTTCTGAGAATTTTCAGAAACCATAAAATCATCACATTAAGTTGCGATTTTAAGAATAAAATTCTAAAAATGAATAAATGAATGTTAAAAATCGGTTGTCAATGCTTCAAACTTATTCATTTTGTTTAGCTTAATATGTTAATTGGTTCTTATTATTCAGAGCCTCAATCTTGGGATCAGAGTCGACTCCATACAAAATTTCATCCACTTCAAACTCAACTCTGGCCAGCACATTATCGCTGACATATCCAAATCTTGACATATAAAACCAAGGAGTTTGAGTTATTCAGTTCCTAAGCGAGGCATAGAAAAACACAAAGATTTTTCAAGCAAAATTTCTAAAAGTCTGTCATTAAAGTTTATAAAATTGTTATTTAAACGTTTATAACCGAATTCTCTTCAGAAAATGGATTCGAATCAATATTAACTTTCACATATTCATTCTTAACAATTAGCCAATAAGCATCAGTGTACAAATATCGATAACTTTTAGGATCGATACCGAAAAATACTTTAAATTGCTCACCAAATGGTTCAACTTTATCGACAGACCATCTTGATGCATTCAGTTGACCACCAGATATGATTGATGGAAGGAAATCTTGTTCATTTATTAGATTCTTAAGAATACATGAGGCTTTAATGTATCTCGGGAGTTTATTTTCTGGAATGACTTTTAATTTGAGATAATCATCAGATTCAATTTTCTTTATGTCCCATTTTAACACTTCATGTGTGAATAAGTCACGGGTATATTCATCAAGACAAACGACTTTCCATCGACCAACTTCAAGAGCTTTATATTGAATCTTTAATCTTTCTTTGTTCACTTTTTCCAGCTCTTCTGATACATTTTCAATCAAATTTATCATATCTTTCTCATTATCAGGATAAAGGATGTCATTTGGATAAGTTGTTGGCAGAATAATTAGTGAATATTCATTTTGGAACTGTTCATTCATTTCAGACATATTGACAGGAAAGTCTGTGTCATTAATGATCATTGGGTAGTTAAAAGCTTGTAGGAAGTTCGAAGTATCTGTGATTGTATTGTTTGATGAAAATGCGACGCCATTGTTGTCAACAAAAAGATCTGTTTTAGGAAAGAAAATGAAACTTAATGAAAATTGGATTTGATGTTGATTTTTGTGGTTTTTGTTGATATTCAGAGGAACAAGGGCGTATCTCGAGGAGGTTTTTGTTGTCCACAATGATCCATTTCAATTATTTCTTTAAAAAGGTCAAAATACGCTCTTAAATTCAGAAATCAACCTTTCCATATCTAATTGGTTGAAATCTTCAATATAATTTGAATATTGTTCTCAAAGTCATTTATTGATTGCAATGTATTGATAAGTCTTAACAGAAACAAAAACTCACCTTCACAAAATTCTCCATTCCATCCAATAATCTCTTCATCCATTGCCATAATAGTTTCGACTGCACTAATGTCTTCTTGACTTTCTAAATTAATAATTATTTCCTTCAATTTTTCATTTTTATCTGGTGTGCCTGATCGCCTGCGTCTTCCACTTTGAACAACATTTTTCTCTGACAATTTTTTGTCTCGAAATTTTCGTGCGATTCTAGTTTTATTGTAGTTTCTCTCACATGGTCTGCACTTTTCGAAATGATCATGATTGTTGAATTCACATGTTCCATGACCTCTCTCGAGCACTTCTTCCTTTACATGATTTTTGCAATAATTGCAACGTTTTGGAGCTCGTTTTACTTTTGTTTTCTTCTGGCTGCCTGATTTGGAGCGAGTGTGTGATAATCGTGCCATTTTTGGGGATACTGAATTGTTTAAGAGTTTTAAATTTCAATTTCTGTGATAGAAAAATTGAAAAAAAAAATATTTGAGGTTAATTACAAATATTCTGATATCAGCCAAAAATATAATGATAAGACGTAAGCATATGAAGTGCTTAATTTTTGTATTATTGAATTTCAGTTCCTTTTGTTGAGTCTGATAAAATTTAATCAGAACATGATCACACCCTAAGACTTCTAGTTTAATAGCCACTCAATAGAGAAATTCGTAGGAGGAATTAAATATTGATACGAAAAATCTCACAACCGTGCTTTACTTTTTCTATGAAATTGCTCACTACAACTTGAGTGTGCTTGAATAAATTTGTAAAATGATAAAAAAGCGTTCAAATGTAAGAAGAAACTTTATTTTTCTCAGAATTTTCAACTTTCGATTTTTTTTTTCGATTTAATAAAATAACAAGATTTTCTAGTTCTACAAAAATGTTTCTTTCTGAGAACTGCTTTGTTTGATCTTAAATTGAGTTTAGAAATGTCTGTAAGAATTGACGATTTTCTGAGATGAGACTTTTGGAATGTAAAATGAATGATTTGAACAAAGGATGTGGCATCAAAAAATCAAATTACACAAGACTTTGATAATTTATGATCAAATTTCCAAGCGTTTTTGAGCACAAAATTGAGTAATTACACGCCGATACGATTAATGCTTATCAAGCTAATGTTATTATTTTTGTTAATTGTCTCACTTAAAAAGCCGGTTTCATCACTGAATTTTTGTTTAAAGAATAATTTATTTCTTGGTACGTTCGTTATCATGAATATAAACATTTTCTCTCACTTGGCACTAAACTGAACATTTTCTCAGAATTTTGAGTATAATTTAAATTTTCAAAAATTTTCTCACAATAAAAAAAAAAAGATTTTTAAAAACACCCAAAAGCAATCTAACCCGATCGACACACATTGAAATTCATTAAAAACTTTGCCTCCCTACAGCCGGTAGTTGATAGTATAATCAGTTGGAAGTTGCTTTCAAGCGGCTGCCGCTTGGTTCTAATTATACTGCCGGGTAGCAAACAATTCAATGTGTGCCGATTTTGTAATAAATTAGTTTGATGATTGAAGCTCAAAACTCTTTTTTAAGCTTAATCACTCGCATGTGTTGTTATCATTAGAAAAAATTTGTGTTTGTTTTTGACAGGCATTTTTTCTTTAAAACTGTATTTGCTGATTATTTGCATGGAAATAAAGTGTTTACTTTATTAACACACATTTGAGTAATTCTCAGAATAGATAAAAACGTTTTTAATGATTTTTTTCTTCACATTCGCAGAAATGAATATTTTGAAAAATTTTAAAGACGTTTTTTTTTGTTGGCATTTTTTCTGCAATAATTTATTGGAGACTGTGAATTAAATTAGCACAATTCAAATTGAACATTTGAAATTTTCAAGGGTGCGGAACTCATGAAATGATCAAAAATTATCAAAAAATTGATCAAAAAATTATCAAAAATTATTAAAAATGATCAAACTGTAATTTATCAGTTCCGCACCCTTGGAATTTTTTTTAACTTTTTCTTTTTTTAAAACTTCATTAAAAATATTTTTTTTTAAATCATTGTATTTGTCATCACCTTTTACAGGAGTTCAATCAACAATTGTTATTTTATTAGGTCCAATTATCTTATTTAAATTTTATATCTTAGACTATTTAACAACTTTTCAGCTTGATTGTCCATTTGCGACTGACTTAGTCAATGAATTTTATTTTCTTTATATCACATCCACATTTGCAAAGTTTGAGCTCTTTCGCTCATTTTTTTTTGGAGAGAACTTTGCAGAATTTTTTTTGGCAATATAAAATATATATTCAGCATACATATTAAAAGAGGACAAGCACCGATCAGTATTCGGTCGTCATAGTTTGAAATAAAAGTTATTCCGTCACAGAAACTGATCTGACATTGTTTTACATGCATACATATCATGTCGAGTCTCAAGTCATGACGTAAAACGCGAAAGTATTTCATAAAGACAAGTGCTTGTATGGACGTCATAAGGAAGACGTCAGATGCTGAAAAAGTAGATGAAGAGTTTTAAGTTTTGATCATTGCAGCATTTTTTCAAGGAAGGAAAGGGGAGAGGGGGCGAGAGGGAGGAGGGTTATGATTTCTTTGTGTGTCTTTAAATTTTACTGGTGAAATAATTTTTCAAAGGTGAAGTGTGAGTCAATTTTATTAAACTACAAGCTGGTTACTTCTCAGCCCATTAACACTAAATCTTCACTTTAGCAACATTATCAGTCTTATCAACATCATATAAAATCCAAAAGTCATAAGCTATTATTAACAAGAATTGTTAATCCATTAGAATAAATCGCAAAGATAAGGAATTGAGAACTGTGAATTTATCAACTAAGGGCGATTGTCATACATGTGCGATTGTTTCAACTGAAAAAAATGTCCGATAGCCGGTATCTAATTTTTAGAGCAACACGCAATAGTTTTCTTATGAAACTCTAAAAAAAAGTTTTTATTGAAAAAGATTCGAGACTGTTTAAGGCTTGACATAGATTAAAGTGCTTTAACGAGTTTTTATCGCTTTTTAAGAGTAGAACTGAACAATATCATCGATTATCATAGGATTGATTTAAATATATTTTCATGAATACCAAGTAATGACATATAGCTATGATCGTAAGTTACTTGACTCTTTTTGAGTAATATTTCCTTTCATACGGTACGCATAATAACAGACTATTTATTTTTCATACAAACTTATGCCTTTTTGAAGGTATTTGTGAATTTTTTCGTATATAGTATCTTCATATAGTCACGTACACACAACTGAGAGTATAACAACTATAACACAGCATAACATTTCAAATAAAAACATTTTTAATGTTATCGAATGATATAATATTTTTTCTTTAATAATTATGAAATTCATCGAAAATGAAAATTATTTTTAAAACGTGGGTTTAATTATTTTAATTGAATTAGAAAATTAAGAAAAAAAATTTAAAAGAGAAAAGGAATGATTTACATTGAGAACCCCTTCCCCCTGAAGATCCTGAGTTTAATTTATAGATTAATTATTAATGGACCATAGAAATTAATAAAACTACTCGGAAGAAAACTTTTTTTCAGGATATTAATACTCATGGATTATATCAATAATCCTTTATAAAAACTTTAAAAATTCATTTTAAAAATGTTTTAAACTTACTTTGATACTCAAATCAAATTATTATATATTCACAATTAAAATACTTTTAAAACTTTATAACCAATCTCTTGAAAACACAAATTTACACTAAAAAATAAGGTCTGTTACAAAAATATTGCCGGCATATTTTCGCTCAGTTCTCTTAAAAATATAAGTTCTTCTTTTGCCGTCGTGTGCTTAATACGATAACAAAATACAGACGAAGAGGAAGTTTGTAAAAAGCTTAATTGAATTTTTTAATGATATTCAAGTGATCGTTTAGAGACCGTCAAATTTTTGTGTTTCTTTCAGATTTTTCAAGATTTTGAATATTTCATTCCCAGTATGAAAACCTTTATGTCTTAACGTAATTCAAGGAAAAGTTTAATAAATTATCAATTATGACTGAGAATTGAATTCTTAAAAATTCATACACTTTTTTAAACTACTTTAACGGCTTTTAAAATTTCAAAATAATTTGCGATTCTTAAAAAAAAATTAGATGATCTTCAGTTGAATTAAGTAAATTTAATTGAAAAGCTATAACAAAAATGACTGCAAATATCATTTTTTCATACAAAACTCAAAAAAATATTTATCAAAATTAAAAATCGTTTAATTTATTGAACAAGACTTGATAAAATACATTTTAATAGTTATAAGAAAAGTAGAAATTTTGAAACAAAAATGATAAAATTATTTTTCCAATAGTTTGACAATACGCTTCATAGTAAATATAATGTTAGTTTATTGTTGTTGATTTCCTTCATTCCAGCTGATATAATTGATACTTACAGTATGAAAATCTTTTAAGCGAATACTTCTAGTACTCATAAGACAGAATGGTCTTCAACAAACTACAATTTGCTCTTCAGGTTCCTCAAATTTCTCATCAACTTGCTCACAAATGAACAAATTTACTTGATTCATTCCAAAGTTGAGCACACAATTAAGATCCTGAATTTTATTCAAACTTATGGGATCAATCATGAATCTAATGAGAAACTGTTTCTCTTGCTGTTCAATTTCGCGGATGTACCAACGTGAAGTGTCAACTCCTGAATTTTGTTTTTGTATGCGACCTAGAATTTTAGCACTTTCAATAGCTTTTCCAGGAATATAGCCCGCACAAATGAACCTTGGGAGTTCATTCAATGGAATAACTCGAACTGGAACATTAGTGTTGTCAACAAGGCATGTAAAGGCTGAAGCTTTTTCTTTGAACCATTTTTGAGTTGATTCATCAGCAGATACAACTCTCCAGCAACCATTTTCAATGACATGACTGATAAATTTCGGTGTCTTCTCATTTTCACGCAAGTCATCGATCATGTCTTCGATTTGACTTTGGAATCTCATCGCATCATTTTCATTCAATAATACATTTGGGAACAATGGATGCTGAATTACGAGTGTGAATCCAGAATCGTTGCAATCTTGGTTTGGCAACTCTGTATATTGCTTCCATTCATTTTTGATTGAACCTGCGAGAATTAAGAATTTTTCTTAATGAAATCTAATCTTTTTTAAATTTAAAGTTCGGTTTAAACCTGAATCTTCAGCCATTATAAAATCATCAGTGATAATTTCAAACATTTCATCTGAACTATTTTGATCAACGTTTTTGGAGTTGACAATTTCATAATTAACCTCATCTAGGAATTAAATTAAATCATTTTTAAATGTCATTGAAATTAAAATGACTGAATAGATTACCTTTCAACAATTCAGCAATAATTTTGTCGATTGCAATATCTGATGGCTTCTTGTTAGCCTTCTTTGCTCGCCAAATGCGAACATTCTCAGTTTTTCTGTGATTTCGTTCACAAGGTTTGCATATCTTGAAGTGCTCTTTGTTGTTGTATTTTTCACAGGGTCTGTGATGCTTTTCAAGCACTGGCATTTCTCCTGCTATAGGATGGTTTTTGCAATAATTGCAAATTTTTGGAAATCCTTTTTTCGGCATTTTGGTATGCCTTAAATTTGATTTACTGGCAGTTTAATAAGGAGTGATTTTTGTGTGCACCTGTTGATGGAAAGAAATTGTTAATTCAGAACCATAAAAGCTTCACTGACTCTAGAGCGAAAGCCGAGTGAAGCCAATAATATGCTCTATACTGATCGTTCAGTTAAAATACACAGCCAAAACATAAGAATCTAATAAGATCTTGAAAGCATTTCATAAGATGATGAAATTAGATTTTTAAAATGATTATTATCAAACTTTCAAGCCATTTTTGAATACATATCCACTTATAAGTAAAAAAAAATTTTTTTTTCACCATATTGTTATACGTATTTAACTTTTCTAATCATTTCTTTCGTAATTTGCGAACAAAAACAACAAATTTTAAAATTCTACAATTTGATTTTTAAGCATTTTATTGTTGATTGTTTCAAAAACTTTTATTTTAAGTTTCTAGATAACACGATCATAATCAATAATATGGATAACCACTTACTTTATATCTCAATTAAGCATTTTTATTTGCACAATGTCAAAATAACTTCGATTACAAAATAATTTTGCGTTTAATTTTTTAAAATCTAGTACTTTTATGTTACACATTATACTCAAATGTTATATGTTGCTTTGAAATTTCAGTTCCCGTTATTTTTCTGACTTTATAAAGCTATGTTTTGGAATTTTAAAGAAAGTTCAGAAGATAAAGCAAATCATTAAAAATGATATGTATGGGTTAAGTATGTGGCTAGTGTCTAGGGCTCCCTGGTGCATTGTGGCAATCTCAATTGCTAAACTTGATTTACAATATATACAACAGAGCAACTCAATAAAAAGCGTGTAAAAACAATAGGGATGCGGCAATGACAGTTGAAAATAATAGCAGCATCACACGTGCATAAAATAAATTTTTGGTGGTGTTTTTCTCAATGAAATAAATGTAACTTTAATGCAGTAACAGCAGTTGAAAATAGCTTCAATAAATTTTTCGGGAAGTTTTTATGCGTTGCCTTTAATTTTTTTTTTGTTCCTTTAAGTTGGTCAATTTTTGCAAGCTTAAACGTTTATGAACTGATAATATTTCATTTAAATTACAACTTTACTGTCCAGCATTACCATGATCTAGTGTTTACCAAAACCTCAACCAGATGACGTCTTTAATGACCTAAATTTTCACAAGCGTGGTTAACAGTGTCCCATTTAATTTAAATGATATATTATTTTATGAAAATATTATTTTAATTGCACGAAAATTCATAGAGTTAATGAGTGTAAAATGGGAGATAGCCGATGTAGAGGATGGATAAAGATAGTTTTACAAGTGTTGTGTGTGTCACTTAGTGTCAGGTCCCCTCTTCCTCTCATAGATCTTCGACGTCATTTGTGAGTGACTTCACAGTCATGATTCGATAGGACCAAACACGGCGAAGCATCATTTGAGCTGTAGAAATTAAGAAAATTGATCCGCAAAGAAAATCAAGGTTACCTCCATTTATATTAAACTTCGTCACTTAGATTCCGTGTCCTGGTTACTCATTTTACCCAAAAAAAAAAATCTGCTTCTCTAATTTAAGTTATGTAAAAAATTCATCAAAACTGATAATGAACCTAAAGGCTAATTACAATTACTTCATTATATCGCCCTCTTTTCTATTCAATAGCCATAACAACACATTTACATCAACTCAATCATCCTCTCCACGCTTTTATAGACATTATTCTCATTTTATCGATGATTTATGTGACAGCAGTTTACAATTCGCATAGACATTTGCACCATAATTCAATTTATAAGTACATTCATAAGCTGCATCATAAATTTACTGCACCATTTGCACTTGTTGGACAATATCAACATCGAACTGTAAAATACATCCTTTTGTGATTTATTTTCTACCCGGAATTGGCATTTATTTGACGCGTTTTGATTTTGTAGTGGTTGTTGTGTGTAATGTGGGAATATGTCCCTTTGTTGCTGTTCCTGTAATCCGTTTTCCATTATTTAAATAGAAAAAAAATTGGTGATTTTATTTACAAGCAGATGTAAATTGTAAGTCAATGGACCGAATGGCCATGAAAATTATGCAGATGCATATGATTGATGAATGAAATTTACATACTTGTTTGGAATGCTTTGTGTTTGATTTCCTGAAGTGTTTCTTTGATGATTAAGATGATGTTTATCATAAATCTTCAGTGAAGTAGAGAATCGAATGCGATTGGTAAACACTGAGCATTACTTCCTGATAAGTTTATATCAAATGAAAGCTATTAAGTAGCGATTTATATGAACTACACACCTATCTATTCTGAATACGCCGTAGCTTATCATCATCACCCCAAACATTCACCTATCTAATTAAAAACTTTTTCAATAAAAACATCATCTGCTTTTATGAAAGAACTAAAGCATAAAACTTTAAAGCATTTTACAAAATGCCAATAAATAATCATAATACCTTTCAATATATTTTCCTTAAAGCTTTCCATTAAATTGATAAAAGGCATTACAGGGTACATACATTTTTCCTCCTATCGACACAGATGCTGGAAATTTTCCATGTAACAGCTGTGAACAATAGTTTTGTTCTATTAGTTTTACGTGTTCACAGCGCTTAGTTTTTTTTATTGATTGATATATATTTTGGTAACAAATCGGGGATTGTAAATCATTTAGATGAAATGTTGGGGATTTAGAGAATAATTTTTTAAGGAACTAATTTTTCTTACTTTTGGGGAGTCTCTGAGTTCATTTTTAATATTAAGGACATTTTTGCATTAAGTTGTGATAATTTAGAATTAAGAAAGTCTAATTACGATTTTCAAAACTCTCTGCTAGGGTTTCCAGAATTCCCGAAAACTAGAATTATGGATTTGGTAATGTGAGTCAAAGTCAGACTTCTGAGTCAGGTAACAACGATATACGTAAATACAAAAGCAATTAGATTGAAAGTTTATTTTTAAACATTTGAAAAATATCAAAAAAAATCCTTGCGTAAAAATTTAATAGCTTTTGAACTCGACTTAATATTTTTATAAGGCGAACAATTATTCCAGCCTAGGTATTTGGAGAATTAGCTTCGCTTAGCTTATATTTGAAAATTTAAAGCTTGACGAGTTGAAAATTTGTTTTATTGTACATTCTTAAGTAGTTTTAGATGTTTGGATGTAACTCTGACAATTTTAAAATTTTTTTGCTAAAGCTACATATAAATTTTATTATTAATCAATCAACTTGAGCCCAGTTTCTCAAATTGAAAGCTTTTTTCATAATTTTTTTTTAAACGTTTAAAATCATGGGTGTGGAACTGATAAATTAGATTTTGATAAATCTTGATCATTTTGATCAGTTCCGCACGCTTTTTTTAATATTTAACTATCAAAAATATTCAATCTTAATTGACAAATTTTTAAACAACTTATTTGTTGCGCTTTAAGAAGAAGCCAATAAATTTTCTTATTTTGATTTTATATTTGATTCTGGATTTTTACGTCTCGAAAGAATTTTGTTTTGTTTTATGTTTTTGTTCCAACTGTCGATGCGAGGCGTGTTTCGTTGTTTTCAACTTTTTTAAATAAGTTCTAATTCCAGGGGTGAGCAACTTGGTTGAAAACTGTTAGAAAACATCACGAAATGTACAATCGAGGAAATTTTGATTCTTAGGAATTATTTTTTAAAAACTTAAAATTTTTTGAAATCCTGAAATGGACCCCCCCCCCCCCCCCCCCCCTCCATCTAGATTGGAGTTTTAAATTTCAATTAATCTAGAAATAAAATCTATTTAAACAAAATCGCAAGTCAATTTTTTATTACATAAATTAGTCATCCCCTTAAGTTCTGATTTACGAACAGATGAAAATGGAAATTACATCAAGATAATCACCAGTGGTCCAAATGACCTTGAAAACTATGCTAAAGCTCATATGTGTCGTCTAGTTTTCCAAACTTGTAATTCATGATTTCGTTTCGTTTCTCTTTTTTCAAAAAATTTTTTATGATGACTCCGAAGATGAGTCAAAGAAAAACAAAAAATAGTCTTTCGTGGTTTGTGCGCTTATAAAGATACCTGCTGATTACACAATCAATAAATTGAGATTTTTTTGTGAGGTGTTAAATTTTAAATGCATTGAAAATTGCATTTTATTAAATTTAAATAATTTAAAAAATATTTTTTTTTGAAGAACTGTGAAATGTGAAGAATTTATTGTGAATTTAAAAATTTATTCAACTTTGCTTGAAATATAATTTTAAGTGAACTAAATTTGATGCAAAAAATTAAAATCTTGAATAAAAATCAAAAAAAATAAAATTCCAAAAATTAAGTGCCAAAAATACCTAAACGAGACTTTATTCACCTTGACTTTAGCTGTATTTTATGAACAACATTATTTTTAAAATCGATTAAGGCAATAAAATTAGCATAAAAAAATCAAATAAGCCCTCAAAAAAACCTTCAACGGAACAAGTTCAAACTTGTGTAAGCCCTTCAAAATCATCAAATAAATTTTAATTAATGAGATAAAATTATCTTGTCAATAAATTGTCATCAAAAATGAACTTCCTCCAAAGCTTGAAAACCTTAAAGAATCACATTCATATTTGTGGAATTTATCCATTTATATTGACGATTTATGGATTTTCAAAGTAAGTTGAGATTTTTTAGAGGCAGGAGGTATCAGAGGGTATCACGTGATATAAAATAACTTTCTGTCTGCTAAAATTTGGATGTTTTTTTGCAGAATTGTAGAAAAAATCTTCGGAATCGGATCTATTTGGGTAACAATGTGGAAAATTTTATCAGCTAATATTGGTAAGCTTAACATTAATTCTTCCCTCATTAATAAAATAATTTCGAATGTCCATCAGGTGAAACTAAGGAATTTCGAATGGCAATCATGTCACCACTTTGGATCATCCTAATTTACTACCTCACTGTCGCATTCTTCTTTTACATCCGAAGAGTCAAGTTCTTCAAGCCATATAAAATTCAGCCGGATGTAAAAAATAAATTTTCTGCTGCTGAGATTAATGAAATTAGGAACAGCATCTTGTTCAATCAATTTGTTATACTTCCGTTGTGCTTTTGGGCTGTTTATCATTTGTTTCTGCATGAAAATCATCCAATGCTGGATTTTGAAACCATTCCAACATTTCCAGTTGTATTCTCGAAAATTGTCATTAATCTGATGATCTTCGAGTTTACTTTCTATTATTTCCATCGAGCTTTCCATCATAAATGGATTTACAAGTACTTCCATAAGCAGCATCATAAATTTACAGCACCGTTCGCTTTAGTGGTTCAATATTCTCATCCATTAGAATATGTAATTTGCGATGTGATTGCACCAGGAATCGGACTCTTTGTAACCAAGTGTGATGCAGCAACTGCTTTGGCATACTCAGCTGTTGTAACTTCAATGACTGTCATCTATCATTGTGGATATCACTTACCATTTCTTATGAGTCCAGAAGCTCATGATTATCATCATGCGTACTACTATGAATGCTTTGGCAGCAATGGATTGATGGACTTCTTGCATGGAACTTCGAAGAATTTCATAAAATCTGAAAGATTTAAGATGCATCAGACGTTTTGGGGGATAGGAACAGGTTGCAATAAGAAAGTTGATTAAAGTAATTCAGCTTTGACTTCTTTTATTTATAATTTGAATATACTTTACTCGAAAAATACTTAAATTTAAAATTAAGAATTTTAACAATTTTGAAATTTCAGTTTTGGGAACTTAAGTTATTTATACGATCAATCATGATGGAAGTTCTATTGAAAAGTTGTATTTCAGACCAGGGTTGTGATCCAGGCACTCTCTATGGATGAGGAGAACTCTACAATTCCTTAATAATTTATAAGGTTTTTCCAACAAAACCATACAAATTCAAATAAAACCTCACAAATTATGAAGAAATTGTACGGTTCTCACTTGTGCACATGTGCTTGTGTTGAAACCCTGTTTCAGACCCATTTATAATTTGTGGGGGTACGATGAAGAAAATGAACCCCTTTATACGTAATCATTATTATTAATTTAATCAAAACATTAAGTTGTTGTAAACCAAATATGTAAGTGCTTTATTGAGACAATTAAGAATAAATAAATAATTAATTATTAAATTAAGGGGCTCTACAGCTTGTTTCTCTCTTGAAAGCTCCCTGCTAAACTTTCAGCTATGCACTGCCAAATATAAATTTGTCCAAGAAGCATTTAACTTCCATTTCAATAAATAGCCCGCCGGTTGAGATAAAACTGTTTTAATTCTACAAGTCGAAGTCAGCAATAAAGTTTTCAGCATTTGGTAATAGTTGCTGTGTTTGCAGCATACTAAACAGAGTTAATTTATTCTACAAAATGCATTTCTGAACCAAAAAACACATCTAATCTTCTTTATTGTAGCCAATGAAACTGTTTCGTAAGACATGCACATCTGTTTTTAAAAAGTTTGCATTTGGAAAATGGGAAATGGGAGGAAAAATGAAAACGTTTATTTGTGATATTGAAAAAGAGTTGGCTGTGCTTAACTTTTTTGTTACAAATTAAAGCTTGCTTTACATTTTGTGGATGTTACAATTTAGTATAAAACATGGTTTGAACTGCAATTGCTTTTAAATTGCTTTAGAATTATTTGTACTCTTGATGAACAAGTTGGACCTTCTTGGTAGGTTTCTGATGGTTCATAGATTCAAACTAGGTTAGATTTTTTGTAATAAAATTTCGGTAGTTCCAACAACTAGCCAATGAGTTCAGATATTCGTTCTAGTTTTGATTTTTTTTGTCGATCTTTGGCTTTGCATCAACATACTCACAACTTGTGAGGTTCACCACCCTTTTACATGCTAAACATGCAAGTTCATATAAAAATTCAACCCCTTTTTTGATTCAATAAATTTTCATTCCGAGACTATGCAAGAAAAGTCAGCAACAAACTTAACAAAACAGAAGCAAAAAATTGTTCATTAAAAATTCACGTTTGTTGTTTAAAACAAGTTACTACGTTTTTCTTAACTTGCTTTCTTATCTGTTTATCTGTTTATCTGTTTGTCGAGGGCAAATCTTGTAATCGATTTTTCGAACACTTCTACTGCTCCAATCGAGCTAAAATTTTTAATGCACACGTATTCCCGGTGACAATACAATATTTTAACACTTTGGAAACACAAAAATGCTTAATTATAGTACAATTTATGTAAAAGTTTTTTATATGGGAAAAAATCCAATGTCAATGATATAAAATTTTGATTTGTATTAAATATTATACATGTGATGCTCTAAAGTCATTTATATGATTCATTATAGTTTAATTATTATTACTAATTATTAATTATACCATAAATTTGAGCAGCTAAAGATATTCTGGTAAGACAAAAAAATTGACATGTAATTTTTTCATGAATATTCGTAAGTGAAAATTTGAATTTTCAAAAAAACCGTTAAGCACAAGTCCGTTACGAATTAATGCAAAATAACTATTAATATGCGATGTGCATTTAACACACATAGTTTGAGCATAAATTTATGCTGTTTTAAATGTATTGCATTATTTATAACACTTCACCAACTTAATTAAATTGACTTTTCTTTTTATTAACGGCTTGACGTATTTTTGCATAACATATAAATGATATTCATTGAATTTAAATTTGAAAATCCGTTATAAATACGTTACATATGTGATTTGCATCTTTATAGTAAGAATCCACACGTTATGAAGTAGAAATGGTACAGATAAACACAAAATCTTTACGAGTGATTTTTAATGTACTTTACTAATGAATGCTTTAAAAAATTAAATTTTATAAAACGAATGAAAAATTTTGAAAGTCGTTACTAATTTCCCATTGAAAACTGGTAATTTATAAACAGTTGAACGTAACGGAGTGAAACGAAGTGGAGTTCAACACACCTGTAACCTATAAACCTACTGTAATCTATAAACAGTTGAACGTAACGAAGTGCAACGAAGTGGAGTTCAACACACCTGTAACCTATGAACCTACTGTAATCTATAAACAGTTGAACGTAACGAAGTGCAACGAAGTGGAGTTCAACACACCTGTAACCTATAAACCTACTGTAATTTATAAACAGTTGAACGTAACGAAGTGCAACGAAGTGAAGTTCAACACACCTGTAACCTATAAACCTACTGTAATCTATAAACAGTTGAACGTAACGAAGTGCAACGAAGTGAAGTTCAACACACCTGTAACCTATAAACCTACTCTAATCTATAAACAGTTGAACGTAACGAAGTGGAGTTCAACACACCTGTAACCTATGAACCTACTGTAATCTATAAACAGTTGAACGTAACGAAGCGCAACGAAGTGGAGTTCAACACACCTGTAACCTATAAACCTACTGTAATCTATAAACAGTTGAACGTAACGAAGTGCAACGAAGTGAAGTTCAACACACCTGTAACCTATGAACCCCCTATAATCTTTATTTCTCTATTTCATTAGAATAAGACTAAAAAGTTGAAAATAAAATACTTTATAAAAAAAACTTTTTAAAAAAACTACGTTTTTCGCGTAGACTAAAAAGTAGAAAATAACTTTTATTCTTGGTTGTAAAGAATTTGGTTTTAAATTTTCAGATTATATTTAATAAATTTTTATATCCTAGTCAATATTGTTCACAAAGTTTCGAATAAGTGCACTTTGATCTTATCGTATAACTCAACAACTTAAAAACGTGGGCGCATTATAAGAGGAGAAATAAGTTTATGTGAAATCAATACTTTATGATAAACTTAAATTAATGCGCCCACGTTTTTAAGTTGTTGAGTTATACGATAAGATCAAAATGCACTTATTCGAAACTTTGTGAACAATATTGACTAGGATATAAAAATTTATTAAATATAATCTGAAAATTTAAAACCAAATTCTTTACAACCAAGAATAAAAGTTATTTTCTACTTTTTAGTCTACGCGAAAAACGTAGTTTTTTTAAAAAGTTTTTTTTATAAAGTATTTTTTTATTCCAGAATAAGAAAATTTCCTTAGTGTATTAATTACACATTGTTGTCTTAAAGGTAAGAAGTACAATATGCTGAACATAAAGTTGTTAAAACAGGTGCATCCATTTACAAAACATGCTCTCAATCTGTTACAGTTGATTATTAAAATATTTAAGATATATATGCATCAGCATAACCTAGGAGGTGCAACTTGTTTCCAAAAAGGATCTCAAACCTTAAACCTTTTAAAGCAACGCCACTGCATTTATCTGACGAGCTGGTCTAACCATAATTATCGAGCTCAATTCTCTACGATAAAGTAGTTTGTCTACATCTGCCAACTTTTTTGTTAATAAATAAACAGCGTGAATTAAAATAATAATTAACATTACAACACATCCAATGATAATCATACAATACTTTTGAGGCATAGAATTGCAATCTCTCAAAAAATTGTTAAAATTCTTCTCATTATTAATCATTAAGGTTTCATTATTGCCTATCAGCCAATGTGCAGAAATTTCTAGATAAAATTGTTGTTTGTTCTCATAAATTGAATCAAAAAGAATTGATTCCTTACTTTTTGTGCAGTAAAAACGACTGACATAGCCTGTAACTGGACGTTGACATTCAAAACTCTCATTTAAAATATCGTCTATATTCATTTCATAAGCATATCTAATAGTCTTACAGACAGTCTTGAACTGCTGAATAATATTCAAATCTTTTTCCCATGCTTTATCGCCAATTTTAATCACAGCTATATTTTTTGAAATAAATGTTCGATTTTTAGACAAACTTGATCCAACAACACTTTTAAACTCAAATTCCCAATCAAGCTTCTGGTTCAATGGAAACATTTTTCCAGTAAAATTTGACTTGTATGTTCCAATTGTTAAGCCTGAATTTTCATCAATATTGGATAAGTTAAGATGAAGATTTACATCATGTCCATAAATTATTTCAATTATTACAAGCAATGACACAATTATAACTTTCAGGATTGACATTATTTCTTAGGAATATCACTAGTCCTTATCAATAAGGCGCTGAGACTTAAAAATATATTTCAAGTGAATCAATTTAGTCTAGTTATTGCATAACTAAGGGGTCGTTCACTTATGACGTCCATCAAAAAACCTGATTTTTAGACCCCCTCCCCCCCCCCCTCTCTGTCACAAAAATTCTATAGGAAAAAATTTCCATTGTTTGAAGTATCACAAAATCCTAGACCCCCCTCCCCCCTAAATGTTGGACGTCATAAGTGAACGGCCCCTAATCGACATGATTAAAATCCAATCATCATTTTCAAATCAGTCTTAAAGTCAAAGGTTCAAGGTTAATCTAAATCCAATCAATAAAAGAAGACTGCTAAATAGCTTTAGGATTAATTCCGAGTAACATAAAATCAAACTACACCAAAGCTTTATGGGCACAACTCAAGAAGTGTCACGTCTTGTACAGATAAACAGTTTCTCGAATGTGCTTAAATATTCGCTTTTTTGAAGCATTTTGCTTAGTTGCAGAACAGAAAGCTTGAGTAGTTAATTGATCATTCAGTTTCAAACAAGAAGTAGGGAGGAGGAACGTCTTGGTTCATCATCCTCATTGCATTGAAGTGACTTCAACCTGTTCATTATCGCTTTTTAATGTCACTTGATTTTTTTGTGAAATTTTGATGAATATTATTTTGATTTTTTTACAGACCAAAAGCATCATTGTGATCACCAGGACAAACAAATAGCTTCCAAATGTAAGCAAGTAAAACTTTTGATTTGCATTTATAAAGTAGCAGTCATTTAAAAATTGTCTAAAGTTTCTATCATTATTCAGCACATGAAAGTCACTACGATAGATGGTCCAATAGACTTCAATATTTTTATGATAAAATATATACTCTGAGCTACGAATATAGACCTTCTTTTGCATTGCTTCATTCAGGTAGTAAAATTTACTTTTATAGCCAGCTACTTGATGCTTGCATTGAAAATATTCCTTAAGAAATTCGTCCATGTCAAATGTAAAAGCAGTTTTTGAAGAGTCACAGACACTTTGATATTTTACAAACATTTTCATTGTAAAATTGTAGCTTTTAGCATCAAATTGAATAGCCACAAGATATCCTTTTTTAAAAGTTATTCCTCTAAAGTCAAACATATCTTTAATTTCAATTTGTTGAGGTCGTTTTAATGAAAATGGCATAATTTCATCTTTGAAGTTTGTTCCTTCATAAGTGCCAGTTATTGATTCCTTAATTTCATCAATGTTTGATAAGTTAAAAAGTAAATTAGCTTCATATCCATAATTTAATTCAATCAGGATTAGTATTGTGAAAAAAATTGATATTAACACAATAAATTGCATTTTATTCACTTCCAGTTCTTTTTGGATCACTGATAAAAATGAAATCAACAATTCTTTTAGACTTTTTGTTCAAAATATCTAGTCAGATAATAAACCTGCTTCCAAAATTATTGAAACATCAAACAACATTAAAATGCAATCACTATTACAAATCAAGGGTTCGGAACTGATGAAATGATCAAAATTGATGAAAAATGATCAAAAATAGTCAAAAATGATCAAAATGTAATTTATCAGTTCCGCACCCTTGATTACAATTACACTGCAAGGGTGTATCCATTGGAATCTTATACAGAAGTTTTCATTCCAAAAACCTCAAATTTTCATACCAATATTAATGAAAACTTAAAGCTCTTATTTTTTCAATTCCCCAAAATATTTCAACCAGCCTCAAAATTCAACAATTTTCCACCAAAAAAATATTTTTTATTAATTTTTTTCCCACTCGAATTACATTTTTTGCGTCCATATAAATCATCCTTTAATATTATTTTTGTGGTCAGCATTTTATAGTCACGATTAATCTTTTGATCCTCAACGCGTATTTTCATTACTTTAATTTCATGTGGTGTGTATGTGAAATGAAAAATGTTGCCATTTAATATTATATCCTATTTTGTTGTCATCGTATGAAAATGTTTGATTTATGGTAATTATTTTGAGCTGGAATGGAGAATGTAAGGATATTTTGGAAGGTGAATTCATGGTATGAAGGGTTAAAGGGGTTTGAAAGTATTAGAAGTTTTGCTAAAGCCCAGTTGCTGAGTATACTTATGACTACAAACCAGATTGTAGTAGATTCTATTGTAACTTAATTTTTAGCTATGTCCAAACACACATGAGGGTACAAAGTGTCTTGATCTCTCTCTCTTTAAATTCAAAATGACTATAAATCCAAAATCTCCATTTTAGGAGTCAAATTCCTCTCTCTTTTTTTATTTCTATCTACACCTATCCTATCCTAGCTCCCAATAAGTAAGGTCTTTAAGGCTGATTTCATATTCACACAAAATTTTCAATTTTTGTGAATATTGTAGATGGAAAAAGAGCACGTGGACGTCCCAACAACTCTTGCAGAGAAGCTCTTGACAGAGACAGTATTGCACTTAGTACTGATAATTGGCAAACGGTAGCCTACGATAAGGCCAGCTTCAAGAGCCATCTAAGGGATCACAATTGATCTGTACAGCCAGAGAATTAAGTAAGTACCCTATATCCAAAGTTCAACCTAATGCAATGCTTATCATTCAGTATTTTTGACAAATTCAGGATGAATCAAATAAAACAAAAGTCACTTTTCTTTGCAGATGTCAAAAACTTTATTCACAATTTAATAAACTTTAAAGTGTCTTTTTGATGCATTTACAAAATAATGTCTTGGTCGAATCATATTCAAAATTATATTTAGGTCAACAAGTTTGCACTCAAGATATGTCATCATATCCAAATAATAAAAATACATGTCTCAATCGAGAGCCTTTCAGTCTAGTATGAAATAATTCACATAAACCAACTCCATCCTTTTCCATTAAATGTAAATAAAAATATGATTGTGTATATAAACTCTCTGTAGATATATGGACATTAAATACTTTTATTGGAGGTTGAAGAAGAAGGAACAAAAGAATAAAATAAAAAGTCAAAAAAGTGTTTATTGACATGAAATGTCAAAAGTAATTCAATAACAAAATGCTACACAGTTATAGTTGTCGATTATCAGCCAATAAAAAATAAATCCTTTACATGACACTGGGGCTGTGTGGCAAGTATGTGTTTGCGTTTACATTATCGGACTTTTCCATTTGTGTATATTCTGGCTCTGGATCGTATTGTCTTGAATTGGCGCTATTTGCTTCCATTTGCTTATCGAATGAGAATGGATTTGTCATGACCCCCAAAGCTTGCTGTAATTGCCAGCGGCGAGCAGCACGCAACGATTTTGTACGACGAATAGTCTTTGCCAGCATGAATGCACAAATTACACCCAAAAATTGAACAAATGCAACAGTTAGGGCTCCAGATGCAATCAACATTGCGCTCTTTTCAATTATATAGTTGAGGCGCATCAGGCAACCAGATTGAAAGAATTGAAAACATTCATTTGCGTTTGGTGCCATAATTTCACAACATGAGTCCGGAACAACGGTTTTATTCTCTTTCTGATCGTATATTTGTGCCCAATCGTCTGGTGAGTCAATGCCGCAACACTCCAACTGAAAATAAAGGAATAAAAATTCATTACTTCTCATTTTTTTTGTGCTTGACATTTTCAGGCAAAACTATTTGCCTCGAACCACAACACCACCCGTTACTCCTTATCATTTTAATAAAGCATGCAGAAGAGAAGTAAATTGTTGATTAGAATGGACATTGTTATCATGACTTTCGTATCATAGTGAGTTGAATGGACAGGCTTGACAGTGTGGCTACAATTTTTTTTCTGTGCTGATGAAAAGTTTTACTTTTCCTACTTTTACTGTGTTAGTCGGTAAGGATTGGAGGCTTCATGAATGTAAATCTGATCGCCTGTATATCCAGAAAAGCATTAATCAGGTAATCGAATTAAAAATCTGGCGCTCAGCTGACATGACTCCGGCATGGTGCTAGCCTCGATTTAAATCCAGCACCATCCCAGTGTCACACCAACTTTCAGATCGAATAACCGACTTGTGCCATTTTGGTATACTCTATCTCAGAGATCGAAGCCGATTTTTTCGGCTTAACTCAATTTTTGAAATGGGTGTTAAATGACTTTTTTCTATCAAAAAAATCAAAAATTGAGTTAAGCCGAAAAAATCGGCTTCGATCTCTGCTCTATCTGTTTAAAAGTCATTCATTAGCTTAATAACGCAAGAAATTCCTTTTCTGACCTCCTACTCCCTTTCTTCCTTAAACAATCATTCTCAACAATCCAAAACCAGTGCCACATCCTCGATTTTTCATCAACAAAACTTCATACATACACAAAAGAAGAACAAAAAATCGTCCAATAAAGTCGAAAAGGTTAAATTCCTTCATGTAAATATTAAAAGCTAATCGATAGGAAAAAATTGAATTGGATTAGAAGGTATTAATGCGAAGACTTTTGACTCACTCTTCAACCCGCTTAAATTCCTTAATTTTTTCTTTCACTCCATGTCGGACTTTTACGGTCATGAGAACATTTTCGAAATGGAAAATTAGTTTTATATCAATATTATTTTATGATGACTATAACGATTATGGCAATGGCAGTGAAGAAGATGACGGTCATTTATTTTTATACGAATGTATTAACTTGATTTCATAGTTATAGTTTCTTCACGTTCTGCAAAATGCTTTTTTGTTGTACGAACATTTTTCCAAGTCATTTATTTCCTGTACTTTTTCCTATACTGTAATTATTTCATTTCCATGGATTTGTTTTGATGATTCTTTAGGTTATGGTGTTTTAGGAATGAGGAATGAAATGTTTCTGAGATCTTACGTCAGTTAGTAATATGGAAACAAGTAAAACTAGATTGGGATCAGCGTGGCGCTGGTACAGCCTATATTGAGCCACAAACTGAATTATTGAACTTCTGGTGACAAAGTGACTTAATAGAGAGATTGAACAGTTAATAAACCTAATCAGTCCTTGTTTTAAGAAGCTTAGTATCCAGTCCCACCTTGATGGACCTTGAAATATCCAATAACTAAGAAAGATTAACAAAAATCCCCAAAACGAATCCTCTTAAAGACTATTCAGCACAGCCCATAACAATAAAAATCCAATATAAAATAATTAATGAGTCATCTCACATACAAAGATAGAAATGAAACAAAATACTGATGAGACATACGAGGAAATAAAAAGCACGTGAAATTCGAAAACAAAATCTATAAAAAAATCTCATTCCAGAGAGTCTTCATCAGAATAAATTGACAAGCTTGACGTGAATATAAACAACAAAGATGCAGACATTTCATCCTTACGAAGTATTGTTTTTCGTTTCACGGTAAAAATGCCAATGAATTTGTGCTGCATGACGAGCATTTTTATCAAGCAAGTTTATCGCTTTTTGGAGCTTCCTTTCATTATTTTCTGTATCATTATTCATCCATCTATTTCAACAATTTTCTTTTCTCCTTATTTCTGTGTTTTCCATTCTATTAAAAACCACTTCTTCATGAATTTCTAAATGTACACTTTTTGTTCTTCTTATAGCACTCGATTTTCTATGTTTTTCTACACTAGTCGTGCATAACATCCGCTCATACATATGGATGAAGAAGAATTCGTTGGATTAGATATTTATTTGGGATTTAGTGAAGGTTAGGGATTTTTGAAGGAATGATTTAATTTCAACTAAAGTATTAAGCCTTGCTGGGGACTCTAGGTAGCCAGGCTTTATTTTTGAGGCATCTTCTTAGATTGACTAGTTTTACTGTGTGTAAGTTAAGTATGATAGTTTAGAATCCAGCTTCTGATGTAGAAATAAAGATCCAATTCTAATTCATTGAAAGCTACCAGTCGATAACACGTCCTACATTCTCCACTTCATATGAAACGCCCTAAAACAAATAAAATCCGTAGAAAAAATTCAACTCACGTTAATTTGTAGAAAATCGATACCGCTGGCAACGTATTCATTTTCCTTGTAAGACATAAACGCATCATTCATTGTACGAACCAACATCATCGATACTTGACCATGCATAAGGTAGGCAAGGACAGCAGCTGTCAGTTCCATGCTGAATACGATGAACAGCAAGGCGCCAAACTATGCGTGTTGAAATCGAAAAGGAATTCATTATAAAAAAGCTTGTTTATGCTTGAAAAGCTCATGCGGTGAACTTTTGTGTAAGAAAATGTATAACTTACAATATTTACGAGCATTGTACTCTCCTTTATGGCACCAATACATCCTGTAATTGCCACAAGCATGAGACATATTGAAATGAAAATCATTAGATTGGCTGGCGTGAAGAAGTGATCGTCCATAAAGATATCAAAGTCATCGAATATTGTTGATATTGTTGAACCGACAGCGAGTAGTAAGAATGCCGTGAGCTAAAGATATTAAAAAAGACATTTGATTAGAATATTTTCACGAAATGTTTAGATTATTTCATTGTGTCATGATTGTAAATTTTAAGTCGTACATGCATCAGCTACACGTGACGTTTTAAAGCCAATTAACATTGCAACGCTAAATAACAAAAGCTGATGGAATTCGTGTAAGTTTTTATGTCGTTTGCGATATGGAAAATTGATTTTATCGTGTGAGTTGTGCTTGGTTGTTTAAATATGATGCTAATCTAGAGGCGTTGGATGTAATATTATGGGTGGATGCGGTGCAAGTTGGAATTTTGCTTATATGCATGTCTCAGGGTCAAATTCAGTGACTAAGAAGGTACTAAGGGTCTCTAATATCAAAACGATTTTCAATTTTAGAGTATGGTGCCTAGGGTAACCCTTAGCAGCTAACCCTAGTGACACTATGATCCAAAACAAACCAGAGAGTCATCATAGACTCTGTAAAATTTCAAAATTAATCAAAGTCCTGAAAATTGTCACACAGCGCCTAAATATAGTAAATTCTACAAATCAACATCGCAAAAATGGTAATAAACACCTACAATCATTCTGCTTCCTACTCATTTTTCTTCTCAAAAAACGTGCTTTCCTGTCAAAATTTGCTGTAAACATTTACTCTCACAATAATAAAATATATAATTAAAATATTTGTGAATAAATATTTACAAAAACAACTTTTGATGACATTGAAATGACGTGACTGACCCGCATTGTGTGTATATTTATTTATTTTTATGTTATACAAATTTTTTAGAGCTGCTTTCTAATGAAAAGATTTATAAAAATTGCTGGCTTTTCAATTTACATAATTTAATAAAGAAATTTTTATGAAGCCATAAAATTGTTTTAAATTAATTTAAGAATTCTAGAAAAAATGTTTTTACATCATTCTATGTCGTAAAAGGTTTTAGATTGTGTATGATGATATACAAAATAAAGTTAAGTTTATGGTTTTTATTCAGGAGTCTTAAGTCGGGTACCCAATCAAAAAAATCTGAGAATCCCCTATATATCCAAAAGGGGCTGTTTACTTATGAAGTCCAAGATTTGGGAAGGGGGTAGGGGGAAGATTTTGCGACAGGGGTGGGGGGAGTATGGTCATGAAATTTTTGACAAACAATTTTGCAAAATGGAAATCATAATTTTTGTAACCGTTCATTGGACGTCATAAGGGGGGAGTGGTAGGGTACTGGTATCTGACAAAGTGAATGACCCCAAAGACAAGCCAATAATTTCACAATCCACACTAAATCAAGAATCATTCAACTAAATCTCAATCTGACTCATCAATTCAAAATAACAAAACAAAAAGAGCACAAAATGGCTTATCAATATGATTGGGTTTAATTATAATCGATATGACAAAGGCATTTACGACATACATAGACAAAGCAATGATATGATAAGTTGATAAACTGATAAGACAGTTTGCTGATATTTGTCATACCTAGTTCCATTGTACAGGAAATTGAAATGCTTAATTGAACATTATTTGAATGAGAATCGTCACTTTAATTAAATAAAAGGATCACAATTCTATATTGATATGTTTCAGGATTGATGTTCACATAGAAAATTGATTTGGCATCAATTCAGATGAATTTGATTTAATTTTAAGTGCAAAGTTTGAGGCTTGACTAGACGATGGCTTAATGGGAAGATGTATGATGAGAATTTTAATTGGAGTGTTTTAATGGAAAAGTTATGGATTGTAGACATGATAAGTGAATAGGGGATGCTCTTGATAGATGAAAATTGTGATTGGAAAATAAATTATTGGGAAATTGTGGACGAGTTGTAAAAGATTTGAAGAAGTCAGAGAGTCTCGCTTGGATGCAGTATTTATTTCAATGATATTCTAATAAGTTCATAAGGATGACCAGTAAACCCTCAAAGAACCTAGTCTTTTATACACCAGAATCATTTTATTTATCATCAATTGATCAAGGAACCAATAAAGAGCTGTTACCAAGAATATTCTCAAAATTACTCACATAAATCACTTCAAACTAAATAAAATGATTTCACATCCAACAAAAATAAATTCCCAAAAATTTACCAAATAAATTAACACGTTGATGCCAATGAAGTATTGACATTAAACTTGATATTATTGTAGTCATCGATGATATCAATTTTAAACGTCAATGTGTGTCTTGTCAAAGTCATGCATGCTATATGATGAGCTTTTTAGATTGATTATTAGAATTAAGAACTAGTTTTCGATAAATTTTAACACATTATCGGGATTTGTGCCAAAAATAATGAGCTTGTCTGTAGCTTGGCTTGTTAATTGTTCGATTCTATAAATAAATTGACATGAATGTCCAAAACAAAAACGATTCAACCTTTCCATTCATTCTTATTCATTCCAACAATTAAAGCAAATTTTCATTCATAAATTATTTCATAATATTGACCTTTTTGTCATTCAAATAGGAAACAATTTATAGATTTTCCTACTGTGTAATTCTATGAAATTTTTATCACTAAACCGCACATTAAAAGACAGATGGTCTATTATTGATTTTGACGTGTTTTCCTTTCCATTTCCATGTGTTATGAAATTTTTATTGCGGATGATTGAAATAATCTATGCGATTATTTTCGTAAAGGCTTTTAATTACAAACAGGTGTGTATGGAATTTGGATGGAATCATATGTACTAATTAATGAATGTTATGACGATAAATCCATGAATCATGAGTCATTAAATTAATTTTCTAATTAATGATGGTGTCATAAGAGGTGCTGTGTGGGGATGAAATTTTTGAATTTTTTAAATCCAGAAGCATATCCAAGAAGAGTGATTTGAGGTTAGTTTTGACTCCGCTATTTGATTTGAAATTTTTTAAGGCTATGCAACTGATTAAACCTCTTGCAATTCTCTATCTGACACAGTTAATTCTCTGTTTATGATATTTACACTCATCAAAGGCGTAGCCAGGAATTTGAAGAAGGGGAGGTTATATAGAGGTGGTCTAAGATTTTTTCGGTAAATGACCTAGAAAAATGTAGACATTTCTGTTAACGTAGGGGGATTTGTTAGAACAATTTGTGATTGATTTTGTACAAAAAGTTTAAAATAAATTCTCAGAAAAATATTTTAAAATTATTTCACGTGTGAGAAATTTTTTGTCAGTCTGACTTGACAACTATAATTGAACTATTGTTCTATATTTTACAAAATACTTGAGTAATACATGATGAGCAGATATTCATTTGTGAAATAGGAGTCCTAACATTGCGAAATTATTAGTATTAGATGACTGACACTTGATGTCATTAGGTTAGTACATCTCCCTACATCTCTAAGCAATTAGTGATCAACTCAAAGATCTTTTTGGAATCTTTCGATGCTTTGTCAATTACTTTGTGGACAAAAACCTCACCCAAAATGTATTCTTGAATTCTTTATAATTCATTAAAAATGTCGCAGAATTAATTTAAATTTTTTTTATATTTCACAGTCTTGTTTAGCCTTAGGGTTCGTTCACATATGACGTCCATCAAAAAACCTGATTTTTAGACCCCCTCCTCCCCTCTGTCACAAAAATTCTATAGAAAAAAATTTCCATTGTTTGAACTGTCACAAAATCCTAGACCCTCCTCCCCCCCTCCCCCCTCTAAATGTCGGACGTCATAAGTGAACGGCCCCTTAGGCATGAAATTTCTTTTTGTTTCAAATGTTCACGTGCAATTCATATTTACGAACATCCAGCTTCCAGGCTGTAATTTAATAATTCATTCAATTTACTCAATTAAAATCATTCATTATTGTAAACTACTCATAAATGTAAATTGATCGAATTTTAAATTAAATTATCAGCAGATTTCATTAAGATAATTAATTAATTCCAACAAATTACTGTAATTTTTGAGGGAGTCTGTAATAATTGTGAGGGTGGCATATGAGAAGTTAACAAATGCGGTACGTGCTTTCATCATGAAAATTGTAATTATTGCTTTTATTGTTGAATTTTGATTATTTTTTGTTTTTGCTTGACAAGCATTGTAAATTTTTTAAAGGGGTATAAAATTTTTTTTGTGGTTGCTAATGTTCCATTTGTAGTGTTTTGAGCTTTTTGTAGCTAGGATGGCGTTTTTGAAATTTTCTAGGTATAGCTAGATGACTAAGTAGGCAAAATGAAGGGCAAGGGTCCTTATTAAAAATTCGTGACTCGTAAATAGTTTTAAAAATCAGAATCTAGTCACGAATTAACTGTCGCTGACTTAAAACTAAGCTATTGTCTCCCTTAGACACTCTAAATTTTATTTATCAAAACTATCTTCCTCATTTGTCCCTTTATGACCTTCCAAATCACACATTCTCCATATTGATAAAAAGTACATAAAAACAGGTATTTTTTATGACCTCAAAGTACATACATGCACAGCATTTCTTATCAAATATCATGACACGAACAAAATGTCGACCTAAAAAAATTAAAATTTTTAATCCTTACCCCAAACATAAACGAAATGATGAAAATGATAAATTTTATGAGCCTCATCCCTGCATTCAGGTTGTTAGAGTTTGTAATCGTCATGTTTGCTAATTTAATTTAGCAATATTTGCTTAATACTTTGAGAATTATTGTTGTTGTTGTAGTTCACGTGATGTACGGCAACAAAAAAATATGCTTTCTAGAATTTTTCTTTTCCAGGTGGTCGATAAGACGCGAATTTAGTGCCAAAGAAAAAAAATTTCTCCACAAAGTTTTCTTTTTAAAGCTACTCGCACTAGTCACAAATTCACAAAACTAAATGAACAGCGCAGAAAATTTTATTCCTCTACTTTCAATTTTATTTTTATCTTATCAATTTTTTATCACTTTTGTTTGCGCTATTTTGTATGTTGAAATAAAATATAAAAAAAAATCTGATGATAAGAGCTTGAATTGTAGCTATTTTTTTCTTGTGTCACTTATCGTGTCGTTCTTTTTTTTCGATTAATGCTTATTTTTTTCTTCACCAAACAATATCTGATGATATTTTAGGTGTATGTGTAAGGTGGAATTATCGAGCGGAAAATAAAATAACAAACTGCTTTTGAGAGCGAAAGAAAATAAACTGAAAAAAGAACTTATTTTATTCCTATAGAATAAAAATGTGTATAGGAAAATGTATTAAGTTTGGGAGTTGGTGTTGGTGAGTTGTAGCTAGGTTTGAACGCATTTATTGAAAGGTTGGTAATAGTAAAAATGTGTGAAGGTCCCAGCCATTCAGCTAGAGGCACTACGGTTCAATTTGTAAAGAATCTATTGTACCACACTCTTTAGACCTACAGTTTATGGTGGAATCTGAACCATTTGAGAGCTTTGTCAACTTAGACCTAGAAATTAATGGCTCCAAGACTTGTATTGGAATTTCCTAGGGTTCCATTGCTGTCTCTCAAATTAAGAGGCTAGTTTCTATGGAAGGTTAGCCTAAGTAGCCCTAAAAGCTGGTCACTATGGTCTAATCAGACTTTAATTGAAGCAGTAAAAGCAATATTCAATTAAGTTTAAGGAATATTGACTTTAATAATGTTAAATGAATATTATCCGCACTTTTGGAGACATACAATTGGTATGGAGCGGTTCTACATGAGCATCCAAAATTGTTCCCAAGACTACTCAACTCACGAATTCTGCCCAGCACCTCTAAATAATTCCAACAGCAATGTAATACATTCACGATTATAGAGCTATTTATTATTTGTCGATATATTTCATTCTACTAAGACAGACATTTGCAGTAAAATCATGCGGCATTGTATGGAAGTAAATGAGTTGTACATGAATTATTTATGACATTAATTGATTTTTTCACATTTCGACACAAGTTTTATTGTTGTGGGTTGTTTTTTTTATTTTCTTTCTTTTTGTGGAGCTTTTTTGACTGTTGTTGGGGGTTGGATGAAGTTTTGTGGTATGTTTTAGTGGTAAAGTGAGTTCTTTTAGTTTGATAATTTAAGTAAAACCATCAGTGGCCCCACAATTCAAAATCAACCCTTAAAATTTCCAACCATCGACCTTGACTTTCAAAGACTGCGCTTTTTACCATCCACAATGTCACATATACCTCAACATTAAAGCTTCTTTTCTGTATTATTACATTCATATTTCATACAATCAGCATGTAAACTGATACACAAAATGATTATCACCTATACATGCATGAATAAAGCAAAAACACAAACATGCATAATCACTCACAGCTACAACCACTAAAGCCAAACAATTGAACAGACATTAGATATACAAAATTGTTTATCAAAATTTAATGAATCAGCAATTTACATGTCGTGTGAGGTAAAAAAGCTTCGTGCGGAACTTCTGGTTTTGGTTGAATGGTAAAGGAATTTAATTTTCTTCTTTACGGCATCGACAGTGACCTTGAATGACAATCAAAAGGTTTTTGTTGAGGTTGAATGACATTATAGATGGTGCGGAAAGGGGTTGAAGGTTTTGGGATGGCAATTGTTTTATGAATTGATTTTGATGTTTTGGGTGAGATCTGAGAGATTTTTTGTGATTTTATAGGGTAGCTAGTTTGGACATCGTTCACAAAAATGTCTTTTAATATCACTTACATACTTACTTCGCTAGTCGTCCAGATCAATTGTGATCCATGACCTCCCTTAGTCGTCCAATAAAACTAGCTCTATCACTGGCTACTTACTTACTGTTTAAGTAATGAAAAAAAAATAAATGGGGTCTTTGGATGTGATTAAGGGGTTGTCGCTGCTTAGATGAAAAATCTAGACTTTTCCTTAATCGCATCTTGAGTTTTGTTTTAATTTGTTTTCAAAAGTCGAATGTGAGCATTGACGTACTGAAAAATGATCCTAGTTAAATTTTCTTTAGAAATTTCTATTTTGAGCTTTTAATGATTTCATTCAAAGTTCGTCTAAATCTGTAATTTGAGAAAAATAAGATTTTCATTACACATCAATAAGATTTAATGATTTATAAAGAATCAAAAACATTTCATCATTTTTCATTTTAATAACTTTTCCAAACATTCTCAAAAGTTTATTTGATGAGCTTCTCAAACTTTACATGCTTTGATTGCTGCTGTTTATATGTGGATGTATCAAAAATATCAAAATAGAATTATTTGGTAATTCGTACTAATGATTATACGGATAAAGTAATTATTTGAAATGAATTATTTTATTTTAATGAGAAGTTCAATATTTGATGAATATTGTTTGTGAATCACTAGAATTAATGTTAATCTATTCTTTCAAATTGAGGTGTGTTTTAAATTTCAAAATTGGATTAGTCAAAGTCAAAAGGATTGGGATTTAAAATTTAAATTTATGACTATCCATACCTACCATACCCCTTTTGGGGCTGTTTACTAATGACGTCAAACGTTTAGGAGGAGGGGGTCTTAAAATTTGTGACACATTGTGACAGGGGAGGGAAGTGTGTCAGGACTATGATTGAAAGTCAAAGGGGGGGGAGGGACATCTGTGACGGTTTTGTAACAGAGGGGGGGGGGGGGGGGGGTTTAAAATTCTCAAATTTTTTGAGTTTATACATGACGTGAATCCCGGTTGATAAGGTTCTATAAGATAACAAAGGATCTCAAAGCAATGACAAGCTTATTGCCTTAAATTAATCACTATTTTCTAGTTTTGTCGACTCAATAATCAAACCATGAAAAAATGCAATTTTATTCACCATAAAAACAATTTATATTCTTATTTACACCAAATTTATTTCGTCTATCTGATATATATTTTTTTAATCAAACTTACCAGTTGGCTGTTTACATTTCCCATTCATAAAATTTTGAAAATAATTTTTTTTTCACTTTTATTGCGAATTTTGTTGTTTACAGAATATGAAAAATGTAAATGTTTGACAATTCAAGGTAAACATTTGCGTACTGATAACGAACAACAGCATGTTTTTTTGCTGTTTGTTTTGATTTTTATTTGAAACTGTGAGAATTTTTTTCAGTACGATTGTTAAAATTTGCTTTGGGAAATTGAATCCTATTTTTAGATATTGAACGAGTTTGTTTGAACTAGAATTTTATTGAATCCATTGTTTTTAAATGTAATAGAATCAAAAGTATTTGCTCTAATTTTTTAAAGCGATATTTACTGAACAATTGGTAAAAATTGAGATTATTTAAACAGTCTCGTAAAATCAAAATAAAAAATCTTTTGAAATTAAATTGTTAAAAAATTATCAAAATTCTCCAGAATTGTGGCTGTTAAAAACCCATGCAAAATTAATTTTAATGTAACTTTAATTGACAAAAGATGCAAAAACATCAGAGATGCATTTCAGAACAATTATTTCCTTCCTTTCATCATAAATTTTAGCATGCTTCGTACTTCTTTTTGTAAATCATTTCAATGCATTGCAAAATGTCTTTATGTAAGTTGTTCGTTTTTATGCACAATAGAACGTGCATATGAATAGTTAAAATGAAACAGTTGAAGTTTCAAAAGTGTGGAGCGCAGTTCAATTAAAACATATTATTCGAGAAATTTTTTAAAGTTTTTTGAGATTGAAAAGTGCAAAAAGTTTTAACAAATTAAGTTTTTTTTAAAAAAATCAGAAAATTTTAAAACTGATTTTTCTTAAATTTTTGAACTTTTTGAATTTTTTTTTGGTTTTTGAAATTTTTGAAATATTCAAAATTTTAAAGTTTTTTGAATTTTTTGAAATTTTAAAATCTAAGAATTTTTTGAATTTTTTGAATTTTTTGAAATTTTTGAAATTTTTGAATTCTTTAAAATTTTTGAAATTATTTGAAAAACATGATTTTTAAAAAACCGTTTCACAATTTTTTGAGTTTTTAAGAATTTAAGACAGCTTGACAAACACGTCCCAAAACAACTCATTTCCTATAAAAACCTCCATCTCAAAACATTATGAATGTCATGAACAGCGAACTGAAATGGAAAACTTGATGCTCTCTCCTTTCATAATTTTCATTCATTTTCCACCGATATGTACATAAATTCATGTATAAATGACATTTTAATTTCTTTTCTTTGTTCACGAACGTTATAAAAAAAATTAATTTTCATCGAATGTTGGAACAAGAGAGAGAAAAAGAATTGAAAAAATTATTTTGTTAAATGAAGCGATGTAATAATGGCTGTTGTTGTCGAGCATTGACAATTGGAAAATTTAATTTGTGGGACTGAATTATTGAATTGTATTTTTTGTTTAAATTGTAAAAATATTTTGTGATATTGTTTTGAGGTAAATTGCAATTAAGAGGGGAAAGGGGTCTATTGTAGGAATGTTTGGACTTTATACTCTAAGAATCCATCAATACATTAAAGCTATCATAATCATCAACTTCATTCAAGTCATTCAACTGATTTACTTCCTTTATGCATCTTTTAGCTCCCTTTGTTTCACAAATTCGCCCCAAGCTACAAAAAACTAAATTGATTCAATTTTATCCATGTAATTTACTTACTGTCTTCTCATTCACAACCAACAAAACTTATCAGTTCACCATTTTACTTCCTTTGATGTTGACTAAAAGGAAAATTATGTCAAATGCAATTTTTTTTCAGCAAAACTTTTCGTTTTTCATTTACTTCCATATTTTTTTTATTGACTTAAATTTGCATGTTTTATTTTAGTCAGAAAAAGCTTGAAGAATCAAGAGCAGAGCAGCATTAAATGGAAAGACTTTTGAGTGCTTGATAGAGAATTGGAAGATGTCAGGGATTCATTAACAGAAAAATAAAGAATAAAGTTCAAGAAGTGGAAAAAGTTAAGAAATTCATTATGGAGTCACTCAATTAAAATAAATTTGCATTTCCTTTCCTGCTTGTTTTATTTTCTTTGACTTTTTTTTTAATGAAGAAGTTTTCTTCGGAATGGGCTATTTTATGATGGGAATGGAAGTGAGATTTCCAAGGTGATGGTGGTTTTGAGCTTAGTTCTTGATTTTTTGTAGATTTTGAGTGTATTTGTATTAGAGTCGTAGCTAATAATCAGAATAGTTAAGCAAAGAAGGAGCAGTGGTGTCTAGGGGATCTAAAGGATCCAGGTGCAAGTTTCTGGGACCATCCGTGGTATTTTATTTTAGTTACAGTCAAACTTGATTCATATTCTTGAGTGTGATACATCATTTTTTATTTAATTGAAGAGTCCTTGACTAGACTTCGGATTCAATCTCCAAAAATCATATTTTGCTTCAGAAATGACTGATCTATTTTAAAAATGGTGACTAGGCATATACATGAAGCCAGTGTTGGTAGCTATTCATCGCATTCAGAATTTAAAATCGATTTGAGGTATAATTCAGCTTGGACTAGGATAGTCTTCTTGTATATTCTTAGAAAGTGACCAATAGTCTTGCCAAGATTAAACCTAGACCTAGTTTAAAAATATATCTATCAAGCTTGTTGGATTCAGACACTAAAACCAATTAAATGAAGGTTCAAATCTTGTAAAATTAATTAAAAAAATTAAAATTTCATTTTATAATTTTCCTCAAATTTTCCTCACCAAACCAATAGTAAGTTACCATCTCTTGAGCATCATCAACCCCCTATTTCAACTTTACATTTCCCATTTTTACCTTTTATCTAGAAAAACTTTTCATTTCCTACCTCAAAAAAGAAAGAGAAAGGCAAAAATAAATTTCTGCATTACGACATCAGCACCATCATCACAAGTGTACCAAACCATTGAAAGGTAAAAGAAGAATCAAACAGCACAAAAAACATTGACTAAAAACTGCAATTGAAATTCATGAATTTCTTTTTAGTTATAAACCATAAAAAAAAGTTTTCATCGTATTCATTTGCTTGTTGGAAATTGCTTAATTGAAATTTATTTTTTATTTCTTTCATACTGACAGAATTCATGAATAGGAAAGAACATCTCTGTGAGATTTCATCCACTTTTCTGTGGTGTTAAAAAAAATTGAAAGAGTCGAGTTTTTTGCGAATAAAATTTTAATTAAAATGTAATTGAAATGCTAAAACAGTGTTTTTTATTCAGTCTGCAACTTTTAAAACGTTTGAAGCTTTCATATTGTAGTGGATTTTGTTGAGGTATTTTAGATGACTTAATTAGTGGAAGTTTTATTTCAAGTTTTATGAAGCAACTCAGTTAAATTAAATACATCATGGAAGATTAAGAGTGCTTGCATTTTGATGAGTTTTGAGAGAAATTGAGGTTTCTGGAGATGTGAGTGCTTTGAAAGAGTTGCCTTGTGTAGTTTGACGTAGTTTTGGCTTAAAGCTTTTCTCTAGACTTGATCTTAATAGGGTGTTTCTCTTTCTTCATTTTCTGTGTCGTGTGCCTTTATCTCCTTCATTAGTAGGGCTCACATTAGTCACTATAGCCAATACAAAGTGAAAAACCTTAAACTTGTAGCTTTTCCTGATCAACATCCAGCCAGTCAGTCACCCAAAAACTTAACAAAAATTACAAATCCTTCCAACTCCTATAAAATGCTATCCGACACTAGCAATTGCATTAAAACACAGCTTTTAGCTCAAGCAACATCCATTAAACCAATAAAACGTTAAACATAATAAAAGAAAATAGAACTAAGGTTCAATGTAGCATAGCAAAAAGTATTAAAATCAACAATAAAGCTAAAAATTCTTTTTCATGCTCCGCTTTTAGCTTAATGCCAATTAAATTATAATTGAATTGGATATACAGCGAAATTTATCAATACAATAATTGGAGATAAAGGAAGGTAAATCCTCCATGAATTATTGACTATTGACTTGTAAAAATTGATCTTGATGATTCATTCCTATCCTTTTTTCAGAGATCTTCTTTTCATGTTGAGTTTCAATTTTGTACGTTTAATAGTTTATGGTGAACGTGGAATAGAATTGAAATGTAAAAATTGCATTCTCATGGTACTTAATGGATGTATGCTGAAGAGAAATTTCATTAAGGAAACATTAGGATGTGAGTTTGGAAAATGGACCATCTGCGGTTATGGAGAGAAATTAGAGCAAACATTTTTCTGAAGATTAGTAAAGGAAGTCACTAGAATTTTTTTAAAATATGCAAAAATATTAAGAAAAGTTAAATAAATTTAAAATATCGGTTTTTCCTCTTCCTCATTGTTGCAAGTGCCTGTTCCACCTAACCCTAGCCATGCCTCCAATAACATTTTAAATGGGTGAAAACTCCTCTTTAGAGAAATGAGAACAAAAATAAAGGAGAAAACTAAAGAATCATGAATGAATGAATAAAAAGAGTTTGTCAGAATGAACAGCATGCATCACAAAAGAACTTTCAGTTTTATTTTTATATCCATAAAAAAACATGGAAAATCCCTCAAAGCAAATAAAGTGCTTTCATGTTAAATATTCAACATAAAAAAAAATCTACTTACTCAACTTTTACACAACGTTGCTGCTTAGCTCTGGATTTATCTTGTTACTTTGTATTTATTCAGGTAAGATTTTCATTTAATTGCTTACATTTGATTTCTGTGCGATGCGATTTATTGACGACATCTTGAATCCTAAAAGCTCTCAGAACAATTTGAAAAGATTTATTGGATGAGATTCAAGAGTCGCAAGCTGCACGTAAATAACTCAGTTGATGTTGAGCCTTAAAGATACAAAATTCTGCATGTTTACTTGAAATAAATCAATACTTGCTCAATTATTCAGTCAATTTAGATAAAGACCCTTTCGCTCTTCTTGGAACTGTTTACTTACAGTCTGTAAACCCTCGACTACATTGCTTCTCATTTTTCATTGGAAGAATCTCAAAACAAACTTAATTAGCATTAATTTTACTCATTTTGAAAATCAATCGGCTTCTTAAATTGATGGTATAAAGTCAATTCTTTTTTTATGGTTGTTCTAGCTAAAGACAGGAAGCTAGTTGAATTCTACGATGCAGCTATATGAAGCGGATTCCCTGATCATTATCACACAAACAGCTTCAATAACACAACATAATCTTATTAATAAGCTCGAATGATTGATGATTTACAGTAAGCAGTGCTTCATTAAGGCATTAAAGCATTAAAACATGAAAAAATTTCTCTTGAGCTTAAAAAAGGCTTGATTTTTTTCCCACTCGTACCCAAATTACGTTCTTTTTTGACTGCCTTTTCCACAAGCCACAAAATGTCCATCCACTTCTCGCACATACGAAGGCAAGCAAAAACAGCAACATCAACACTCGAGCAGCTGTTGATGAGGAAGGAGAGAAAAAAACATAGCTATGATGATGATAACTTCATTTGTGCCCCATAGCATCACATCAGAATGTTTGTTTTGTTTACTGACTTGAATATATTCATCATTATCCTCTATCCTTTTTTGCCTTGTAGTCCTCCATGCGAGAGACTGTCTGCCTTAGTTTATTCGATTTTCTTCTCGAGCTTTACGCTTTGTTTTCAACACTTCGTGCTTTTTATAACTATTTTTGGATGTTATTTGAAGGCTGGAGATGGAGTCAGTTTGGATAGATGCTAGGCAAGGGAAGAGCGTTTGGTGGTATCGATTGTTGACTTGGTTGACTTGGTGCAACAGAGATCTGAGGAATGATAGTAGTCATTTAAGGTAGCTCTAGCACCAAAAATGTTCCACTAAAAAAGCATTGAATGAGTTCCTTACTCTCATCAGAAAATTAATCCATCCTCCTTTGAGTAAGCATCGCTTTCGCTTTCAATATTCAGATATTTTCATCAACTTAAGGATGTGTAAACAATAAATAAAGGATAATTGATAATACTGTCGATAACTCAATACATTGAGACAAAGTCGAAGTGCGGATGACAAATTACACACCCTGATACTTAATTGATTATTTTGTCATGAGAATGGAATTAGATCAATATTGAATTAGATGCCGCGTATTTGAACATGAAGTGATCAATTTTATCCCGATCGGTACACATTGAAATTCATTGAAATGTTTGCGACCCGACAGCTGGGTTGATAGTATAATTAGAACCAAGCGGCAACCACTTTGCATCCAGTTGAAAGTTGCTTCCAAGCGACTGCCGCTTAGTTCTAATTATTATATCAAACATTTTAATGTGTGTCGATCAGGTATTATTTACTGACGGGTATTTTTGGATTTAATATGACAATAAAGGATGAGAAAGGGGGTCACACCATAGATTAGGTCTTAATAAAAAAAAATGTCCTTAACTTGACGTAATCCCGAAAGGAATCCTAACATTTGACGATGTTATTGTGTAAAATTGAATGAATCATGATTGCATCATTTTTGGGTAGCTTGTGCTCGCCCAAGCTATTTTTGGATATGAAAATAAATTTTTCGGTAAGCATGACAATGCTGTAGATGTGTAGGACTTTTTAATTAAATTTGTTGACATTTAAAATAAACAAACCTGTAAATATGAAGCCCAAAAAACAAGCCTTTTGCTTGTTCTGTCCATGAAAACGCAGAAAAAATCTAATTTAATCTGTGTCGCAACAAGTTGCTTATTTACATAAAACTTTGATGATTAAAATTGACATTGCTAATTAATAAGCGTCTCAATGGTAACAATAAATTAGTTTTTGGATTACAAAAATGAATGAAAGCTATTCAGAAGTTTTTGAAAAGCTTATTGTAAGGAAGTTATGAAATATTCTATGGAAACTATTGAATTGTTTTACTGACGTGAGTTTGTGCTTATGTAATTTTTGTTTTTGTTGATTAAATTATTGTTTTTGAAGTTCCTGAATGAAGGATTATGCAGGTACAGCAGAGCGTTAATAAATCTAATTAACTTGATGGGAAGAAAGAAGGTGGTTTAGAAGTTTTTGTGCTGGGTAGGTGAAGGAGGAGGGAGAAAGAGTCGT